AATTTTATGCGATAAGCCCATAACATTTTGATACCTAAAATGATTGATAAGATTTTATCACGGCGCGCATCCTAACCCGGCTGAAAAACTTCGAGCATTACTTTCGTTTGTTGTTTCAGCCCAATGACGTCCATTGCTGAACAAAGGCCGTCCCTAAGGTTTTTCACAACGACCATTCTTGCGCTGCCCGCATCCAGTAGGCCTAAGATGCGCGCCGCGATAAGCGGTTATCACGCCATTTTATCGATTTTCCCCATACATTTTGACGTCGATAAAAGTTATCACGGCGTGCATCTTAGGCCTACAGGTGTTTACTTGATAGTCGGTCCACAAACAGGGCTTTACATTTAGAAATTGGTCCAAGGATGACATGCTCATTTAAATCCCAATATTTTTCAATCCTAATATAGACACTTCGAGGAGCCTGAAGGACTTCCGGCGGCTGGTGTGCGTGGAGCCGCTGCAGGTGGAGCTGCTGCCGCCGCTGCCGGTCGGGACCTACATCCTGCCCGTGGTGCTGTCCCTGGTGGTCGACTACATCATCGTCTCCTTACAAATGAATAAGGACATCTAATTGCCCTTTAAATCTTTAATCCTTTAATTCTCAATTATATCTAATAAATTCACATTATATCACTGGTAGTAATCACCGACAATGTCTCTTCTCGTAGTATGTAAGTAGTTTGTGTGTCATTTACAGTGATTAATTTGTAATTATTGGGAATCATCTTCAAAAATATCTCTTCTTTTTAATCGAACATCCAGTTTTACTTAATTACTAGCTTTCCGCTCGCGGCTTCGCCCGCGTGGAATTTTGTCTGTCACAGAAAAACTTTATCGCGCGCGTCCCTGTTTCAAAAACCGGGATAAAAACTATCCTATGTTCTTTCCCGGGACTCAAACTATCTCTATGCCAAATTTCATCAAAATCGGTTGCGAGGTTTAAGCGGGAAAGCGTAACAGACAGACAGACAGACAGACAGACAGACAGACAGACAGACAGAGTTACTTTCGCATTTATAATATTAGTTGGGAAGTTGGGATGTACCTATTTATGTCAATAAATAAATAAATATTGTAAAAGACGAATAGCGAATTCGCTATCATATTTTATTAAATATTTAGCCATTAATTTGGCTAGCCAAACTGCTTTTATTGAGCAGAACATGGATGTTCGACCCTTGGAATCTGTTCCAAATCATAATTTAAATTACATCGTAAGACAATAGAGGATAACTCTGGCATACAAAATTCGGGTACAAAGAAATTTAACGGTTTTAATTTAGTGCATCAAAATGTACAAGGCTTCTCCGGCAAAGACTTGGAAATTGAGTTATTTATCCAAGAATTGAATATTCATGTCTTATGTTTAACGGAACATTGGCTCAGGCAATATGAACTAATGCTGAGCATTAATAATTATAAGCTTATTAGTTCATTCACTAGAGAGTTAGCTATTCGTGGAGGGTCACTAATATTAATCAATGATAAATTAAAATGTAAAGAGCGTAAAGATATTGTATCTCTCTCTGTTGAGCGAACTATTGAGCTGTCATGTGCAGAACTGGACGACTATGTTATTGTATGTGTATATAGACCCCCATCTAGTAACTATGAATTATTTGAAACCACAATGGAAGAGGTACTTAGAAGAGTGTGTAATAGTTCAAAGAAAGTAGTTGTATGTGGAGACTTTAATATCAATATAATAGAAGATTCCTCTCTTTCAATACGGTTTTTAAATTTATTCAAATCTTTTAACTTGTTAAATCTTTTCTCTGAACCAACTAGGGTGACTCCAACATCAGCTACTTGCTTAGACAATATATTCTGTAACTGCTTAGTGCTAGAGAAATCAATAATAAATTTTGTTAATTCTGATCATTGCGGTCAAATAGCGTCATTTCAACACCATTTTGTGCCATCGAGCAAGGAAATAGAATATAGACCAGTCACTGCATCCCAGAAAGACAAATTTAAATCTCAAATATCTATCACCATTAGCTACACTCACTTTTAATACACTCTTGGAATTAAAATCACTCATAACTGACCTGTTGTTACACATATGGTTTGTTGCCCCCGAGTCCACATACCAAACATCACTCCTTAAGTTAGACGATAGCGCTGAAATCAGTACTTTGGACTTGCACTGACTATCCTTCTCGTTTGACTTCTCATTCTTGTTTTTCTTAAACTTCTGCGGACAATTCTTCATGACATGCCCTGGTTTCTTGCACTTGAAACATTTCATTGTTCTTTTAGCAACCAAAGCGCTCACAGTGTCCTTGTCATCGCGACGTTGGTACTCTTGTAGCAGTTTTGCCTTAACAATTTCACTCGATAAAGTTGTGTTATTGTTCTCCAGAGCCATTATTAGTGGATCATACTCTTGTGGGAGACCACTCAATATTATCACAGCTACAAAGTCGTCGTCCAACGGGGAGCCTATGTCACAGAGCTGTTGAGCTAACTCGGTGACGGTGGATAAGTATGTGTCCATGTCACCCTCAAGTTTTGTAGCAAAAAGACCGGTAAAATATCTTCAGGGAGAACAACAGGATTGCTATCAATCGCTTGCAGGGTAGTTTGATTTGTTTGTCCACTAGGGCCTGGTTGAGGTTCTGGTTGCGGCAATTGAACGGCCACATGCGTGCTTGTAGACGGCAGATGAATAATGCGGGTAATTTGGAACCCGGTTCCATACTACCCGCACCTATAGGGTTCCAAATTCAAAATCTAACTAAATTAACAAATAACCAAGAAAATCACATCTAGTTAAAAGATACATTAAAACTTACCTTCGACAATCTAAACTAGTCTGTATGGACTCCCTATAACACGCACAGAATTTGTCTTATACTAAAACAAAAACCTTTTACAGTTTTTCCAACGGAGAGAAAAAAACGTTTGATTTTGACGTGAAATGTCAGCTGTGTGTGACAGATCAAATTCGATGCAAAATTGACGTTATTGGTAGCAAATATGCTCTATGGTATCAGTACAACGTATTTACATAGTTTTTTGGTAGATGTCACTGCCTGTTTCTGTGATATTAAAGGGTTCCAAAAAAACAGCAGGGTCCAAATTACCACCCCTTCCTCTACCATTTAAAATTGAAGGATACTTAAATTTAGGAGCCCGTCAGCTGAGTGACAGATTTAAGTAGTGTTTCAGTATTCGGCCGTAAGAGTACTTTCCCTCCAGGTGGCATTACAAAATTCCACCCTGTATTTTAGTGTCCTCATTTCACCTCGGAATCATTTCACCCAGGTGGTTGTCAGCACTCACCGATAAGTTCTTCGCCGTGGTTGGCGACGTCATCGATGCGGCCCTTGTTGGCGGCCAGTTCTGATTCGAAGGCCGCTTGCTTCTGGATCTTGCTTTGCAGGTTTGACAGGTCTCTGTGGCCAACGAAATTCAATGTTATAAATGTGAAAGTAACTGTTGTTTATATTTTTCGTATTCACGCTTAAAACACAGGATCAATTCAAACGATAATTTTGTATAAAGATAGTTTGAGAGCCAAGGAAAACATAAAATAAAATAACTTTCCTCCTATATAGTTTTTGTTAAACAGGGTTAAAGCGCGATTATGTCTTACTGTGGCAGGCTGAAATTCACGCGAGTGAAGTAGTGTAGAAGTAGTGGTCGTAATTTTAATCTGTCTATCCCAAATTATTTTTGTTTGTGTATTTAAATAATGAATTAATTAATTAATAAAGAATGAATGATTTATTGAATGAATGGACGGACGAACGAATGAACGAATGGCTGAAGGTAATAATGAACTTATGGTAGAATATAAAGACTATTGAATGAATGAATGAGTGGATGAATGATGTTTCATCAAATAAAAAAGTGAACGAATGAATGAAGTTCACCTGTAGTTCTGCGCGGTGGCCTAGAGACTGTTGCGGATGAACGAACGAATGAATGAATAAATGAATGAATGAAAAAAGTTCATCTGTAGTTCTGCTCGGCTACTTGCTGCTTCTTGGCTGCAGGTTTCTAGAAACTGATGCAGATGAATGAATGAAAGAACGAATGAATGAACAAAGTTTACCTGTAGTTCTGCTCAGCCGCCTGCTGCATCTTCAGCGCGATCCACTCGCGCTCGTGCTGCATATCCCTTGAGAATTGTTGCAGCTTAATGAACGAATGAATGAATGAACAGCCAAATCACCAATAGTTCTGCTCGGCTACTTGCTGCACCTCATGTTTCAGTCTCTAGTGATAGGTGAAGATGAATGAATGAACGAATGAATGTAGTTCACCTGTAGTTCTGTTCAGCCGCCTGCTGCATCTTCAGTGCGATCCACTCGCGCTCGTGCTGCAGATCCCTTGAGAACTGGTGAAGCTTAATGAATGAATGAACTACAATAAAAATCACCTATAGTTTTGCTCGGCCACCTTCTGTATCTTGGTTGCAGGTCTTTAGAAACAAATGCAGATGAATGGATGTACGACCAACTCACCTGTCTCACCGAGCAGAAGCTCGGCGGCCTGCTGCACCTCGTTTCGGTCTCTAGTGATTGCAAATATGAACGAACGAATGAATGAATGAAGTTCACCTGTAATTCTGCTCGACGGCCTACTCGTGTTTCGGTATCTAGTATTTGGTGAAGATGAACGAATGAATGAAGTTTACCTGTAGTTCTGTTCAGCGGCCTGCTGCATTTTCAGTGCGATCCACTCGCGCTCGTGATGCAGGTCCCTTGAGAACTGGTGGAGCTTAATGAACGAATGAATGAATGAACTACAAATCACCTGTAGTTCTACTCGGCCACCTTCTGTATCTTGGCTGCAGGTTTCTAGAAACTAATGCAGATGAATGAATGAAAGAACGAATGAATGAATGAAGTTTACCTGTAGTTCTGCTCAGCCGCCTGCTGCATTTTCAGCGCGATCCACTCGCGTTCGTGCTGCAGATCCCTTGAGAACTGATGCAGTTGCCTTGATTGTTCCAGCTTCACGCCGCGGGCTAGGCAGGACTCCTGCAAGACAAAAGTAAATTTATTTCTACTTCGGAGGCATGAAAGGTACTAACAGCCTGCAGGTTAACAACACAGTCAATGAAACACAACACAGAAATAAATGACAATTTTTTTTTCTATGAGAGGTCAAAAAGGCCAGTGCCGGTCAAGCCCAGTGCCCCAAAGGTCCTTGCTGAACCAGTGACATATTTACCTATACGTGACGAATATGAGCCAGGGACTTTTGGCACAGTACTTTAAAAATAACAAAAAAATTCCAAAGCTAATAAAACAGGAAAAGAAAATTAAAACATACAAAATTATTACAACTACATTGAAGTGTGTTTTAACAAATTGTGTTTTGGAATTATTGGATACTGGGGGCGTATTGTGAGTTTACGTCAAACGCATTCGATGTCGACTTCGTAAAAAAGTGACAGCGCCCCTAGCGGAATCTTTCAAGAACTAAAATCTTCATATATTTTTTAACACGCTGGCCAGTGACGACGTTTGATTTAAACTCTAAGCCCTCTTGTGTCAACTATTTCCGATTTAAATGTACTTTCATTTTTTATATAGAAACCTACCTTGAGTTTGTCCCTCCTCGCCATATAATTATTTACACACAAACACACATTTACTATTGTTACAGGCTAACCCAATAGGTATAATAGTAGTGCCAATCTTTTACCATAATTCAAATTTAGAACCCTTACCTTGAGTTTGTCCCTCCTCGCCAGTATCTCAGCCAGCCTCTTCTCAATATACTCCCTATCATAGTGGTCGTCCTGCAGCATCCCTCGAGCGAACTTCTCCAGTTCATCCACCCGGCCTAGCTGGGAATCCAGCAGTTTGGCGAACTCCGCGTGCTTGCGGATCAGGGTCTCTACGGCTGTCGGAATAAGGACGAGTTTAGAAGTGTTTTACAAAGCACCGTAGATAACGGTAGAGCACAAGTACATAGCTGCCAGTGATTGAGAGTAAACACAGCGTGAGAATAGTGAAAAGAGCCTTCATTTCATCATCATCATCTCAGCCATAGGACGTCCACTGCTGAACATAGGCCTCCCCCAACGCTTTCCATGTTACCCGGTTGGTAGCGGCCTGCGTCCTGCTTTATGATATCGTCGGTCCACCTTGTGGGTGGACGTCCCACGGAATCATACCGGAAAACGCCTTCATTTACTGCTGGGCTTTTATTGTTAGTTCTCTGAGATGGCTGAAATTACGATATTCAGTCGGGACCAAATGGAATAATTAGAGGTGCTTTCTAAATAATATAGTAATTTGTAAATAAAGATCAGAAATAGGGACTCTTTCACGCAATGCTTGCTACCAAATATCTACAGTAGTTCCATAAATTATAGACCCTGATTAAGTAGGATTAATGACCACGGAATATGTAATATTCCCAACAGAAGAATGAGGGTTTTCGCGAATGAAAAATCCGCCAGATGGCAATACGTAGACGCGAGGTCCAAATGCTGCATGATTGGTAATTTTTGACATGACATTGACAGATATGTCAAAATCTACCAATCACGCAGCAGTCAGACCCCACATCCACGTCCCGCCGTCCGCTAGCGGATCTTTCATTCGCGAAAACCCTCATTAAAGCAGTGAGATTTGATTGAAACAGACACTGAACTGTTTCAGTGAAGTCGACATTATTGTACTTTGCAATAAAAAATAGGTTTATTGCAACTGATTCGTACGCTCGACTGACGTAGACAACCGACGTTAGAACCAAAGAACCCGATGCATTGCGGTGGCGTTGCGACGCCGCAGCGGTGTCGCCGAGCGTCTTACATAGAAATATCAGTGGCGGGCACACGAGCGCATCGTATGTTTGGTTCTTAGCATTAGAGGAAATAAAGCCTAAATTGTACCCCACATATAATATGTAGGGAGCTACTTACCGTCGATGTTCTCTCCCAGGTCGATGTTGTTCAGGAAGGCTTCCTTAGCCGCGAGCCAGTCTTCCGTCTGTCGCGCCTGCTCCTTCAGCAGTTGCAGCTGGTGCGCCTGGAAACAAGTCCTATGTCAATAGTGCACAAACATAAGGCCCGGTTTCCATTAAGGCAGAGTGGAGCGGATTAGAGCGGAGAAGTCAGCCGTCAAATAGTATTTAAGCGGCAGCGGTGCAGCGCGTAGCGGAGCTGGGTGGAGCGGAGAAAAGAAGTGGAAATAATGAAATGTGATTTTTCAACACTTCTCCGCTCTGGTCTACTCAACCTTGGTGGAAACCGGGCCTGTGTCGGCTGTAGTTGTTCTTAATAAATAAATAAGCTTACGGTTTCTTATTAAACGCTATATGCGGGGTACGACGGCAGCGTTTGCAGTAAGCATTGTGTGAGTGTGATTTTAATCATAATAATGATGATCAGAATGAATGAAGAACTGCTTCTCAATGATTAATGTATCTACATCGGCCAAATGTTGGTCTCGAAGCGCTGGTAGGGTAAAAGATTATGAGACATGTAGAGGCTCCTTAAAACCGAACGTCCACCGCCGGCTAAATTAAGATAGTTTAGCTTAGCTCGCATAGTTGAGCCAGTTTTTCATACATGTGGCATAGTTTGCGGTGGACGCACATATATGAAAAACTGGCTCAACTATGCGAGCTAAGCTAAACTAATTTAGTTTAGCCGGCAGTGGACGTTCGGCTTAAGAGCCAAATATTTTGCAATTAGTACTATTTATTAGTCGATACAAATAAAGAAATTTTGACTTTGACTTTCATATCATGATAATAAATCAGTGTAGTGTGGGCCGAGTACGAGCCTCGAATGAGTGCTTTTCGAGCGTATGGCCCGGTTTCCACCGAGGCGAAGAAACATTTTGAATAATCAATCAGATTTCTTTCAGATTGAATGAAATCTGATACGTCATTAAAATATTTTCCGTTCCGCCTTGGTGGAATCCGAGCTTTTGGCTCGTGGTCGACTGTGCACCGCCTATTGCCGGTTTTTTGTCTGTCTGCTACAAGTGTTCCACGCGCTGCTTCTTCTCCGGGAGATGTTCCACCTCCTTCTGGAGGGACAGGATGGCCTTCTGACGCCCGTCGATCTCGGCCTAGAATAAGCTTTCAAAAGTTCCGTTACCTGCGTGATGTACTGCTTGCGCTGCAGCCACGCGCCGTCCAGCGTGCGGGACAGATGTTCCACGCGCTGCTTCTTCTCCGGGACATGTTCCACCTCCTTCTGGAGGGACAGGATGGCCTTCTGACGCCCGTCGATCTCGGCCTAGAATAAGCTTTCAAAAGTTCCGTTACCTGCGTTATGTACTGCTTGCGCTGCAGCCAGGCGCCGTCCAGCGTGCGGGACAGNGCTTGCGCTGCAGCCACGCGCCGTCCAGCGTGCGGGACAGATGTTCCACGCGCTGCTTCTTCTCCGGGACATGTTCCACCTCCTTCTGGAGGGACAGGATGGCCTTCTGACGCCCGTCGATCTCGGCCTAGAATAAGCTTTCAAAAGTTCCGTTACCTGCGTTATGTACTGCTTGCGCTGCAGCCAGGCGCCGTCCAGCGTGCGGGACAGATGTTCCACGCGCTGCTTCTTCTCCGGGACATGTTCCACTTCCTTCTGGAGGGACAGGATGGCCTTCTGGCGGCCGTCGACCTCGGCCTAGAAGATAGGCTTTCAAAAGTTCCGTTACCTGCGTGATGTACTGCTTGCGCTGCAGCCACGCGCCGTCCAGCGTGCGGGACAGATGTTCCACGCGCTGCTTCTTCTCCGGGACATGTTCCACCTCCTTCTGGAGGGACAGGATGGCCTTCTGACGCCCGTCGATCTCGGCCTGGAAGAACACATGATGATAATAAAATAAAGTAAAAAATACATTTTTCACCATCAATCCCTAATTCTTAAGTGACCCCTATGAAAACAAAATTCCTGGTGAAAACAGGCATTAGTCTATTATAAGCTTCAGAAAAGCACTAGAATCTCTCCCTTTCAAATTAAACAAGCTTTTTACATACTAGTAGGTATATGTTTTATTATGTTTTAGCCTTAAAAAGTAGGTATAGATGACCCACGCTGAACTGCCCCACCAAACTCAATGACAGGGGGGCGCTACCATCGTTCAATTATATGGTTTCCAACATGGCAAAAATCGGAACCAGCGATCCGGTATTGACGGTGGCGCCCCACTGTCAATGTCATGCGTAGGACAGTTCAGTATTTTGGAACTATATCACTATATTAAGGGTGCCGTATATGAGACTGCGCGCACGACCGACTTTTGTCACCGTGACAGTACGTGTCTTTCTTGTCTTTTTATAAAAAGAAGGATATACTGTGACGGTGACAAAAAGTAACTCATGCGCGCGTGCATTAAAAGTTACACCTGGGATGAACACTGGATTAAAATGACATTTTCAATTTTCCATACAATATGAAAATTTAAGCCAGAGTTCAACTAGGGTGTAACTTTTATAAATAAGGGGGTAAGAGTAAAATTAGGGGTTTAACGATGGATTTAAGCAGAAGATAAAACCAGTTTTATCCCCGTTAAGGACTCAAATTTTCATATACATCTTTGATTTTTAATATTGATAGAAGTAAAAATAACTTTGACGATGTAAATAATGCACTAACAAGAGTTTTAAGTTGGTTCACTACAAATAATTTACAACTTAATGCAAAGAAAACAAAATGTATAAAATTCTCTTTGCCTAACGTAAAAACAGTTAATACCCAAATAGAACTTAATAATAATGCCATCGATCTGGTAGACTCTACTGTTTTTCTGGGAATTACCCTGGATTCAAAACTCCAGTGGGGCCCCCATATAGAAACTCTGGCGGGAAAGCTCAGCTCAGCGGCTTTTGCAATAAAAAGGATACGGTCATTAACCGATGTTTCAACAGCTCGCTTAGTTTACTTTAGCTACTTTCATAGCCTAATGTCATATGGAATCATGCTATGGGGCAAAGCTGCAGATTTTGAAACAATATTTATTTTGCAAAAACGTGCGATAAGATACTTGTATAAAATGAAAGCAAGAGCGTCCCTTAGAGAATTGTTTAAAGAAATTGGCATTCTCACGGCCGCTTCACAATACATCTTAAACTGTATTCTATTTATTCAACAAAATATTAATGAATTCAAAAAGAAAAGTGATATTCACCAAATTAACACTAGAAATAAAAATAAATTGGCTATACCCGCTTTTAGACTTAATAAAGTGTTTGCCACTTTTATGGGACAAGGTATCCATTTTTATAACAAAGTCCCTGATAAATATAAAGAGCTACCGTATAATAAATTTAAAGATATAGTTAAAGATCACATGCTTAAAAAAGCCTATTATACAACTCGAGATTTTCTTAATGATAAGTCATCCTGGGAGTAGGATTATGGTCCTCTCATGCTCGCACTAAAAAGAATTAAAATGAAAAGTAATGTATAAACTAATAATAATTTCTCAAATGTTATAGTGTCATGCTTCTCAATCTGGACTGTTACTTAGCTTTATTATTAGTTTTTTTTTTTAAAGAGATAACTTGGAATTGTCATTCTCACTAAAATGTCTCTGGGGTGGTGGCGTAGTGAGGCGGGTCGTTACATTCCCTCTAATATGGTCGAGTGAAGCGATGGCTGGTTCACTCGTCATGTCTGTGAACAGGCGCTGCTTTCGGGGACTGGTCAATCCAAGTTATTCAAATTTATGTATGCGAGTCATTTCTACTAGTATCTTAATATGTAAGTCTAGATATTAGCACGTCACTACCTTGTTTAATATACCACGCAATCTTGTATACCCATTCTTATAAGATACACCATACAAGAATGCATGGTAAATTCAGTGAACTGCTCCTGAATCGAATGTACCTACTACTACTATTTCTATTTATTTATATTAACCGGCAGACAGTGGTGATTGAGTTTGTTGCGGCGCTTCTTCTCAGCACTTGCCAAATGTTGGTCTCGAAGCGCTGGTAGGGTAAAAAGATTATGAGACATGTAGAGGCTCCTTAAGAGCAAAATGACGATTTGTAAGAACTATTTATTAGTCTAAACAAATAAAGAAATTTTGACTTTGACTTTGACTATATGCGAGATAATCTATCTATAAATAAGTATTATAAATGCGAAAGTAACTCTGTCTGTCTTGCTTTCACGCCTAAACCTCTGAAGGGATTTTGAAGAAATTTGGCATAGAGATAGTTTGAGTCCCGGGAAAGGACATAGGATAGTTTTTATGCCGGTTTTTGAAACAGGGACGCGCGCGATAAAGTTTTTCTGTGACAGACAAAATTCCACGCGGGCGATGCCGCAAGCGGAAAACTATACTATACTATAGCTAGTACTGTCATATTTTTTATTCCAATTATCCGATAATTTCGGTTACGATTACGGATATTTTTTATTCCGGATATCCGATAATTTCGTTCACGGTTAGGTACGGTTATTTTTTATTCCGGATATCCGATAATTTCGGTTACGGCTATTTTTTTATTCCGGATATCCGATAATTTCGGTTACGGTTATCCATGACATCCCTGATGATCCTCTAATGACGTACCTTCCTCTCGTGGTGCAGCTCTAAGGCGGCCTCCGCGTCAGGCACGCTCTCGGGCGGCGCGGCGCTGTCCATGCGCTTGATGCTCTCCGACACCCACAACTCCAGCTCCTGGGTAAAACAATAATTAGGTATTAGTAGTGTAGATTACCGTAAAATTGTATCAGGATCCAACTCCCCTGTTTCAAGACTGTGTAAGTCATATAATAATCTCAGCGCTGATGTTAATTTGTTTGGCACAAATATTTCTAAATTCCGTCGTCAGATTAACCAAATAACCTAACTTAATTAATTAGCTAACTATTGTCTATCTTGGCACTCACTAGCCGCCTTGTGGTTGCTCGTTGCTTTGCAATTCAGTTTTTAGACTAAGTACTTACTTTCCATGAATGGTTTGGTTTATATAAACGCATGCAGTGTTTACCTACTATTATATATTGTACTCTTAGAACATAGTATTAATGGATTTTTTTGTTATATTGTATGTATTATTGTACAATTGTTGGTAAACCAATAAATAAAAATAAAATAAAATAAAATAGATAGATCAGTGGTTCTTAACCTTTATGTCATGAGGGACCATTTAAAAAAAATTCTGTCTTGTCAGGGACCACCTCATAATCAGTCAAAACCAGTTTGACTGCAAAAATCAGTGAAAAGTGGTTTTAACCAAAGTGTGCAAGTGGACCACTTGGAATGTCTCCAGGGACCACCAGTGGTCCGCGGACCACTGGCTAAGAACCACTGAGATAGATGAATAAATAGGGTAAAGTTTCAGTCAGAGGACACGCGAGGGCCGTATTCCAGTTTTCACCATCAATCCCTAATTTTTAAGTGACCCCTATGGTAACACATAACAGGAATTTTGTTTTCATAGGGGTCAATTCTGTCAATATTGTCATAAGGGTCAATATGGAGAGGGCTATGCTTGGTGTTTTTTTGCGAGATCGAATCAGAAATGACGAGATCCGTAAACGAACCGTAAACGTCGCTGACATAGCCCGACGGATTAGCAAGCTGAAGTGGCAATGGGCAGGGCACATAGTACGCAGAACTGACGGCCGATGGGGCAGCAAGGTTCTGGAATGGAGGCCGCGTACCGGAAAACGCAGCGTGGGGCGTCCACCTACAAGGTGGACCGACGACATCGTAAAGGTAGCAGGGAAGCGCTGGACGCAGGCCGCTACCAATCGATCAACATGGAAAGCATTGGGGGAGGCCTATGTTCAGCAGTGGACGTCCTGTGGCTGAAATGATGATGATGAAGGTATAGTAGAGTAGATAAATAACTACCACCATTGAGGATAATTATGTTTATAAGATAACCTTATTTTTCCGAGGCACACCATCTATACAGGGTTGAAACGATAAGTAATCTCACTCGATTATTTCTAAACTATACAAGATATCGTAAAACTGGTTACTGATTTTAATTGCTTCACAAGCTCTATCCAATGGTATCAAAATAGGTCACAGAATAAACTGGATCTAACCAACAATTCAATGTTTCCTTAATGTTTGAGTGTTATCGGTACACGCTAAATCATCCATGAGTGCACACGCACACTACAATAATGCCGCTCGGATTGCTCGGACCACACTCCCCGCACCCCGCGCGACCGGAACCACACATTGCTGGGGCGCGGGCGAGTGGATGACAGGATGACGTGGATGATAGGATGACGTGGATGACAAGTCGAAGTAGATGACATGATGATGTGGATGACAGGATGACGAGGATGACACCAGTGAACCTAACCTAAAGATAATGAGGGCTATCGTTTTTATACTCAACAGTTGGCACCCCTGGCGATTGACAGGACCTTACTCTACAGTGGCGCCATTTTGATGAGTGCAAATACGATAGTCCTCCTACCACTTTCGCGCTCACCAGTTGGCGCCACTGTCTTCGCTACTAGCAAGTGACAGGACCTTACTCTACAGTGGCGCCAACTGGTGAGCGCTAAAACGATAGCCCTCATTAGAACCAAACTAACCTTCAAAGTCTCATCGAACTTGTGTTCTGCGATGGCCTCCTCCAGCAGAGCAGTGCGCTTGTCCGCCAACTTCTGCAGGTTGTCCCATCCTTCGCGGAGGCTCTTCAGGCTGTCTTCTATCTCTTTCGCGCGGTCCGGGTGCCTGCGGGAGGGACAGAGATGGTTATTTATGTCAAGGGCAAGTGCGCTATGCGTTACAAGTTTCTGTAAGATATCAAATCAGACAAGAAGAAAGTTTTAGGAGAAACATAGACGGTTATACAGGGTGGAAACAACAAGTGATCTTACCCGATTATTTCTAAACTATAAATGATATCGAAAAACTGCTTACTGATCCTGAAAGTGCTTCACGAGCTCTTTCAAACGGTGCTAATAATAGGTTTCAGAATAAACTGGAACTATCCGAAAATTCAATGTTCAAATGACGTTCACTGTAGGACAAAGGTCTCCCACAAGGAATTCCACAACAACCGGTCCTGTGCTGCCCGCATCCAGGTACTTCCAGCGACTTTCACCAGATCGTCGGTCCACCTACTGGACGATTTCCTTCACTACCTTTCGACCCGTGCCTGCCTTTCGAGAACTTTTCTGCCCCAATGGCTATCAGCTCTACGAGCTAACTACCTACCTGTCTACTGCCATTTGATTTTAGCATTTCTGCAAACTATGTATTAGTAACACGATGGCCCACCTACAGGATACTATTCGACAAGGCCTCACATACGAGCGAACATTGACTCACGCACGCGTATTCTTGTGGCTGTACGTAGTACTTATTATTATTCTGTGGTATTGCCAAGATGGTGGTAACTTGCCAGAAGGAATTTGAAAGAGCCCTACCGACATCTATGGATGATTTTATGACACTCACTCTGCAGCCAGCTTAGTTCCTTCAGCCTCCAAAGCCTTGATCTTATCTCCTACAGCCCTGGTCTCGGCCGCTCTGGCAATATGGCGTCCCTACACTCTGCTGCTTTAGAAAGGGTCGTGATACTGCATTAAAACCTACAGGATGCCTGATGGGTGACTTTCTGATAGATTATAGCACTCACTCTGCAGCCAGCTTAGTTTCTTCAGCTTCCAAAGTCTTGACCCTTCCACAGCTCGCGTTATTGCAGCTTTAGTTTCGTGATTCTGCTTTGGAACCTACAAGATGCCTGATAGATGACTTGCTGATGGAATATGACACTTACTCTGCAGCCAGCTGTTCCTTCAGCTTCCAAAGCCTTAAGCTTAGTTCCTTGAGTTGACCTCTTGACTTGAATTGACCCCCACTTTTGTCTTTGCGGTTGCTTGCAGCTTACATGCTCCTAAAATGAAAATTTTGTCTATGTCTATGTCTAAATATAGTACTCACTCTGCAGCCAGCTTAGTTCCTTCAGCCTCCAAAGCCTTGATCTTATCTCCCACGGCTCTGGTTTCGGCTGCTCTCGCAATATGGCGTCGCTGCAACTCTCTTGCGGCCGACAACTCACGCCCGCGTTCGGTGCTACTGAACAGCGCTGCCTTCTTGGCGATACGCTCTTCTGTGTCTTCTACGTCCCTGTAAATAAATAATAAACATCAGTAAAACCTGTAACATGTAATGTGACATGCAATAAATTATTTGAATTTGAATTTAACCTGTTTTGAGACAAATAAATACTTTCTATCTATCTAAAAATCTTTGGATATGTCACCGTGAAACTGTAAACTCGTTTCTAATCTTTAAGTTATGAAACTGGTCAAAACGTGTCTCAAGTGACAAGCTACCTATTTAACTATTTAATACGTGGATGCCTTTAGTTTTGTAGTTGGGACGTTGCAAACGGTTGTAGGCTCGAGTCTCGCTCGAATGGCTAGCTTACAATCTCTCGCGTCATAGCACACCGCGTGACATCACACTCGTGACTTGGCTAGGAACACGTCGTGATGTCACGTTCGTGACTTGGCTAGTAATGTGTCTCCTTATGACGCCACGCTAGTGACTTAGCTAGGAATCATTGTGCCGAGATATCACGCTAGTGACTTGGCTAGGAACACGTCGCACCGGAACATCACGTTCGTGACTTGACTAGGAAGACGTCTCGTCGCAACGTCACGATCGTGACTTGACTAGGAACACGTCTAGGCGCAACGTCACGCTCGTGACTTGACTAGGAACACGTCTAGGCGCAACGTCACGCTCGTGACTTGACTAGGAACACGTCTAGGCGCAACGTCACGCTAGTGACTTGGCTAGGAACACGTCGCGCCGGGATGCCACGCTCGTGACGTTAGACCCGGGACTACTCGCCTGTTGAAGGAGTGTATCTCGAGCGCCGCGTTGAGGTTGTCCCGGTACTGCTGCAGCGCGCCGCTCAGCGCTCGCCACTTGGCTAGGAACACGTCGCGCCGGGATGCCACGCTCGTGGCTTGCTGCGTCGGGCCCTGTGATTTGAAAGGTATGATCAGTATCATCAAAAAAATCATGAAGCTTTTTTCCAGATTAGACCAAATCAAAAAAGTAACCCTTGGTAAAGCCCGGTCTGTGAGCACGTAGAATTTTTTCCAATGACCCCAAGCTACCCATCCTTATCGCTCGCGCGTAGTGTGTGCGAGCGCGACAGCAACATAATTACGCGCGAGCGATAAGGATGGGTAGCTTGGGGTCATTGGACAAAATTATACGTGCTCGCAGACCAGACTATAAATCCAAATCCATCCAAATAAGAATCTAGAAAACTAACTAAAGAAATCGTATCCAATGCGGAAACTACCATACAAATGTTCTACAACTGACGGATTTGGCTCGGATTCGCATACGTAGTGTGAAAATGCATTAATAGAACAGATCTTTTGAGACAGACGATGTTAGGATGGATTATTTTGTACATAACACCTATACCACCATGTTTTTATTGCAAATAAAGAATCGATGGATTGGTCGTAGCTGCCAGGTCTTTTATGTCAGCTGTGGGCACTGGGTTCCCAGCTGTGGGCATAAGGTTCTCAGCTGTAGCCGCTGGGTTCCCAGCTGTAGGCACTAGATTCCCAGCTGTGGGCTTACCTGCTGCAGCAGCTTGTCGGCGAGCGCGCAGATATGCTTTTAACATGCTTCATATCGCTGTCCAGGTCATCCAGCTTGCGGAGTAACGCGCTTCAGTACTCTGTCCCAGCTGTGGAACTGGGTTCCCAGCAGTGGGCACTAGGTTCCCAGCTGTAGGCTTACCTGCTGCAGCAGCTTGTCGGCGAGCGCGCAGATGCTTTTAACATGCTTGTCGTCGACCTTCATATCGCTGTCCAGGTCGTCCAGCTTGCGCAGTAACGCACTGCAGTGCTCGTAGTCGCGGCCTAACTCGTGAGCTTGCACCTGGAAGATGAGGAATGTTTAACCGACTTCAAACAAGGAGGCGAAGAAAACCGGCACGACTTGGAGCGAGATCAAACGCGAAGCTCAAGACCGAACGCGATGGAGGACTGTTGTGGACGCCCTCTGCCCCATCTCGGGGACATAGGACCTTAAGTAAGTCAAATAAAGGGTTAAATAAAGGTCAATCAAATAAAAAAAACATCAGGTCATGTAATTTCCATTGCAGGAGAACGACACTGTAATTTAGCAAAAGCAATTGGAGAATTTGGTTTACACGCTGCTGGTCAGACGGATTGGGGAGGCTTGTTATTAGCATGTTTTTACCTTAGTGGCCTCTTACATCATCCACGGAAAAAGTGGGGTACTTATTATTTAATTCTGCCGAAATCACACGACTATTTTACTCGTATATTCGGTCAATCGGAAAATTAAATATAGTAAAACATACCATCATCTCCTTGTCTCTGATCCAGGCTTCAATCTTGTCCAAATGCTGGTTGAACTCCAATATGTCTTGAGCTTCCTCCAAGCCACGACCTGAAATAAATAAAACAAGTTAGTTTCCTCCTTTAAAAAACCTCAATCAAGTAAAAGTCAGAGACGTCATTTGTTCGCCAACCTTGCAGTGTCCTTGTTTAGGATTTTAGGGGGCAGCTTAAGGTAGCTCCTTTCGATTCTCCTATTATTAGGAAAACCTCAGTTTCTTTTGATGGAACTAAACTATCTAAAGTCCCACATACCGTTTTGCTCCACAGCCACTGGTGATTCTGGAGTGTCCAGTCTAAAAGCAGCTACTCAAATGAAACTTACGCTGTAGCTTTCTCCAGCTGTCTCCATTGTTCTTTCAGCGCTTGCAGCTGCTGCTCTGTGAAGGACTGGTGCTTTTGGAGTGTTTTGGTCTGGTTTAACTCACCCTTTTATTCCGTCGCCTGCTCCAGCTGTCTTTACTGCTCCTTAAGCGCATGCAGCTGCTTATGAAGTGTCTTAGACTAGTCTAAAAGTAAAAGCAGCTACTCAAATAATTCATAATCTTCTGCTTAGTAGCCTATTCCAGCTGTCTCCAAGGCTCCTTCAGCGATTGCAGCTGCTGCTCTGTGCATTTCTGGTGCTTCTGGAGTGTCATGATCTAGTAGTCTAACAACAGCAACCTTAAAGAAACCTACCCTTCTGCTCCGTGGCTTTCTTTGGGAGTCTCTACTGCTCCTTAAGCGCTTGCTTTGTGAAGACCTGGTGCTTCTAAAGTGTCTTGGCCTAGCCTAACAGCACCTTCCCTCAAAGAACCTTACCTTTCTGCTTCGTAGCCTCCTCCAGCTGCCTCCACTGCTCCTCCAGCGATTGCAGCTGTTTCTCCACCTGTCACATGTGTACGTCTGGTGCTTCTGGAGTGTCTTGTTTTAGCTTTCCCTAAAGAAACCTACCCTTCTGTTCAGTGGCTTCTTCCAGCTGCCTCCACTGCTCCTCCAGCGCTTGCAGCTGCTTTTGGACCTCCGCGTCAGGTCACTAAGTGCTTTCCGAAGCACTCCAGAGTGGATAAAACAAAGATAAACCTACCCTTCTGCTCAGTAGCCTCCTCCAGCTGCCTCCACTGCTCCTCCAGCGCTTGCAGCTGCTACTAGAGTGTCTTTAGTCTCTCTTCTTTTTGATATCTTCTTCCACTGTTCCTTCAGCGCTTGCCAATGCTTCTGGAGTGGATAGAACAAAAATTAACCTACCCTTCTGTTCAGTAGCCTCTTCCAGCTGCCTCCACTGCTCCTCCAGCGCTTGCAGCTGCTATTGGAGTGTCTTGGTCCAGTTTAACAGCAGCCATTCGAATGAAACCACATATAAAACCTATCCTTCTGCTCCGTGGCGTCCTCCAGCTGCCTCCACTGCTCCTCCAGCGCTTGCAGCTGCTACTAGAGTGTCTTTAGTCACTCTTCTTTTCATTACCTTCTTCCACTGTTCCTTCAGCGCTTGCCAATGCTTCTGGAGTGGATAGAACAAAGATAAACCTACCCTTCTGCTCAGTGGCTTCCTCCAGCTGCCTCCACTGCTCCTCCAGCGCTTGCAGCAGCTTATGAAGTGTCTTAGCCTAGCCTAACAGCAGCAACCTTAAAGAAACCTACCCTTCTACTCAGTAGCCTCCTCCAGCTGCCGCCACTGCTCCTCCAGCGCTTGCAGCTGCTACTAGAGTGTCTTTAGTCACTCTTCTTTTCATTGGTTTCTTCCACTGTTCCTTCAGCGCTTGCCAATGCTTCTGTAGAGGATATCAAGACAATTAACCTACCCTTTTGTTCGGTAGCCTCTTCCAGCTGCCTCCACTGCTCCTCCAGCGCTTGCAGCTGCTTCTCCAACTCTGCATCAGGCCATATTTGCTTCTAGAGTGTCTTAGCCTAGAATAACAGCAGTGTCCTTCAAAGAAACCTACCTTTCTGCTCAGTGGCTTCTTCCAGCTGCCTCCACTGCTCCTCCAGCGCTTGCAGCTGCTGCTCGACCTCCGAATCAGGCCGCAGCTGCGCCGCCAGCGCGCCGACCTCGGCCAGGCGCGCTTTGTTCGCGGCCAGTTCAGCAGTGAAGGCCTGATGCTTCTGGAGTTTCTTGATCTTGTCTTCGAGGCTTGTGACTTCGCCTGGGGAGTTGAAATACATTAGAAAGAACAGAAAAATTGATATTTGACAGTCAATATCTTTCTTGCATTCCATGTTGTACATAAGGTCTTAGAGCGCTTTCACATTAGGGCGTTAGAAGCGCGACTGCAGCGCGGCAGCGGAGTTTTTATAATGTGAAGGCATGCATCCGCTGTCACATAGTATGAAATTTTCGGCAGCGCGTCTGTCGCGCGTTTGTCGCGCTGTTAAATCGCCTAAATGTGAAAGCGCTCTTAAACAATCTATGGTTTCAAACATAGACCACATAGGTTTGGGTACAGCAACACAAAAAAAGCGTGACATATTCAGTGGCTCTAGACAAAGTGCAAATTATAATCGCAAACCAGTCGAAAAATGGTCGAAAGGCCCCTTTTTTGTATGGAGTTTTGACGGATTCGATTTTCGATTCGATCAAAAAGTGCGTTTTGTCTAGGGGGGCTGATGCTGGTCAACGATGAATATGACGCCCTGTTCGGCAGCTATGTGTCATAAAGGACATACAGAGTATCTATCAGTAAGAGTTTTAACATCATCGTTATGTTCTATTTTACTACAGGCAATTGGAGGATTTAGTTTACATTTCTATGCTACGCCAGACGTTTTGGAAGGCCTGACGTTAGAATATTTGTCTCTTAGTTACCTCTTACAACATCCACGAGAAGAGTGGTTTTCTGCTCTACTGAAAGTATACGACCATCACAATCATTTTTTTTTTGTAGTATGAAGACCATTTTCAGGGCACTCATGCACGTCCCAAATTCAGTTTGTCCTACCACCACTTCGGACAATATAGGCTGGTGCTGACAAAAATCGATATGTCAACGTGAAATTGTGAACTCTGTCAGTTTATAATATAACGCGTTAGATTGTAAACTAACAGTGGGTTAGGTTAGGTTAGATTGTAATTTAACTACGTCAGATTATAATCTGACAGAATTCACAATTTTACGGTGACAGATACATACGGCCCAGTTCACACACAGCGATAAACGTACGGTTTTCGTTTTATATTTACGACTACCTACATCGAACTGTAACTGCACGGTTGCCTCGCCAATATCTAAGACCTAAATGCTAATGTGGTGAAGCAATAAATTCTTGAGTATTGAATAAGAAACCGAAAAACTGCGCTGATAGCGCGCGTCCGAAATGGGTTTAAAGTATGTACAGTCGCGGAATGAAAAGGTTCGTCACCTTAGTGTCGGTTTTTGCTTGCACTAGGTACTGTAAGAGTCAAACCTGCCAACATAACCGTGCAAGAAACAGTGCTGCTAACATTTAAATAAATATGACGTTTGTTAACGAATAAGGTTTTGCTTGTTTATTTTTCTATCCCATCAGTGCAATGTTACAAAATGTAGTTTTTTTTATTTAATAGATAATGGCAGGTTGAACCAACAAGAAGGTTTTAGTTTATCAATCATAATAATCTTCTTGACAAGATAAATCGTGAAACAACTTTGATCTGAATAATTTTGAACTTTACTGACGAACAGTTAAAGATTATTTTCTCTAACTCGAGATTATTCTGTAACATAGTTTCAAAAGGTAATATGTGCTCGCGATTCGTTGAAGGAATCAATTTGAAAACTGACGAACCTTTTCATTCCGTGACTGTACAAGGAGAGGGGTTTCCATACATATTTTTTCTTAGGACTATGCTATCTTAATTACAGGCTGCCACGGCATGCAAAAGTGGACCATTGACATAATTTTAACGTAAGAAATGCAGTTTTGATTTCAAGCAATACAACTGGTGATTATGGTACATTTTTTTTTGTACCACACAATTTTAAAGTTATCTTATATGATGTACTTGTAACTGAGGTTACCTTGCAGCTGGTCGGCGGTGAGCTTGGCGCGCTTGTCGGCGAGCCAGGCGCGCGTGTCGGCGGCGTCGCGCGCGAACTGTGCGCGCGCGCGCTGGCGTGCTAGACGACCGCGACGGGCCGCGCACGCCTCGTGCAACTGTGGAGGAAACGTTACTTGTGTTAGTCAAAGTCAAAGTCAAAATTTCTTTATTTGTTTAGACTAATAAATAGTTCTTACAAATCGTCATTTTGCTCTTAAGGAGCCTCTACATGTCTCATAATCTTTTTACCCTACCAGCGCTTCGAGACCAACATTTGGCAAGTGCTGAGAAGCGCCGCAACAAACTCAGTCACCACTGTCTGCCGGTTAGAATAATATACATCAGTACGGCTAGCACGAAAAACTTTCGAGTTCGCGTATTGCGCGTTTGCGTATTCGAATCGCCATTAACAGATTTAGTACGAAAACTGGAACACCGCCCTTGTGAACGTGTCGTAAAGTGAACTTAGTATGAGAAATGGTTGCATAAAACTTATTTTGAGAATCAAAATTGTCACGTTATCGTTTAATTCGAAGTTTGAGTATCGAATTTTGTCGAATACGCAAACGATTCGAAGACGCAAGTTGTTCACGCTAGAGGTATAGATCGACCGGTCGATCGCGACTATTTGTCGATCGTGGCAAGGCAAAAAATACTACATGATTGTGTACTAAACTATGCTGTTTCATTCAAGATTTCAAGAAGTATGTAAGTGGTAGATCGCCCAGGGTTTCGTTAGTAAACAGTAGATCTGATGTCTAATCAAGTTGGCCACCCCTGATATACATGATATGTCACATCATTCTGCTTGTGATATCTAATATTTTTTGTGAAGCAGAAAATTATTTTAAATATGGTTTTTGTAGCTTACGAGTAGGTAATAAGAATCAAAATAATAAGGTTTGGTGGCATATACGACCCAGATTATGGGAAAAATCCGAAATGTCAAAAAAACAAGATGGCGGCGGCATGGGCAGCCATTTTGTAAGTTGAAAATTTCTCGTATAGTGTCAATTACATTGGAATTTCATAGTTTAACAAATGCACACTATGGTGCAGAACTTAATATGATATGGTGGAAACTTTCGCCTTAACAAACGAAAGAACAAAGAAATGACTGTCGTTATACACTGTCTTGGTATTTCACGGTTGTATGACGTTCTACTTGTGTACCTGTATTATTGATTACGGGACTATTCCCACCTCTCTTTCCCACCGCTGCAACTCCTGTGTAGCCAGGATGCCAAAGGCTGTATTGATTGTGTCATCACTATCACATCTGAACCACCATAAGCTCCTTACCTTGGTCCTCCTCTCGTTAATGTTCTGTAGCTCGTCAGCAATACGCTGGCTCTCCACGTGGTTCTGTTGTAGCAGTTTGTCTCCGTGGCTGTTCAGGGTTGCTAGTTTCTCATCCTGAGGAAAGAGTGAACACTTTAAATGCTTTCCAGTCCTTTGCAGTCGTCATGTCAAAGTTAATTTTATGGTCTCAAAATGTCTAAATCTCAAAATATAATGTTTACTCTTAGATGATTTTTTTTCTCTATATTTAGGACAACAAAGAATTACTTCGTGGGCTTAAAGAACCTTAGTTAAGATATATATCTTACAGCTAAGAGATTGAGTATAGATGACCCACGCTGAACTGTCCCACCAAACTCAATGACAGGGGGGCGCTACCATCGTTCAACTATAATTATGGTTTCCAACATGGCAAAAATCGGAACCAGCGATCCGGTATTGACGGTGGCGCCCCACTGTCAATGTCATGGATAGGACAGTTCAGTATTTTTGAACTATACCAATGTAACGCCATATTCAACGGTTAAAGGTATATGGTGGTGCATGTAAATTAAAGTTACAAATCAATTAGGAGTATTTTAGCAGACAGCTGGCTGTATAAATCGCAACGAATTTAACTAGAAGAATACAGGAGAATTTCGGAGTATTATACGAATACATACTAACTTTCCTCCGTCCCAAATCTGAGAACAAAGTTACTTTGGCTGTAAAGTAAAACAAAAAGATAAAATACCTGAGTGGCGATCAGTTTCTCAAACGCCTCGTGTTTCTTTAGCTGGTTGTCGACTTCTTCCACGCTGCAGTCGGGAGATATCTCCACAGCTGTTGATGGAAAAAGAAACGTGTTAACAAAATGTATAGTATATTGATAGTATCCGGCTCGAAGGACCAATGAAAAGGGTCCTTCTGGGAACTTAAATCAGAGTGGACTGAAAGACACTAGGCCTCTCCTATATGATACTAGACCTCTCCTATAAGATACTAAGCCTCTCCTATAAGATACTAAGTCTCTCCTATAAGATACTAGGGTACTAGAGGAGACAGAATCCTCGCTCTCCTGCAAGTCTCATACCTAGCGCATGTTTCTGGGCAGCGCACAACTCGTGCAGTTGGGCCGCATCCCGCAAGAAGCAGTGCAGGTCGATGAGTTGGTCGAGCGCCACCTGTCGACTCTCCTGCTGGACACTAGGCCTCTACTACAGGACACTAGCCCTCTCTTGCAGGACACTAGCCCTCTCTTAGAGGACACTAGCCCTCTCTTAGAGGACACTAGATTCCTGCAGTATCCTCGGCCTCTCCTGAAGGACACCACGCCTCTCCTAAAGGACACTAGGTCTCTCATATAAGTTACTAGGCCTTTCCTACAGGACACTAGGCCTCTCCTACAGGACCCTAGGCTTCTCCTACAGGACTCCAGGCCTCTCCTACAGCACACTGGGCCTCTCCTACAGAATACTAGGCCTCTCCTATAGGATACTAGGCCTCTCCTATAGGGCACTAGGGCTCTCCTGTAAATTTCTTACCTAGCGCGTGTTCCTGGGCCGCGCACAATTCATGCAATTGCGCCGCATCCCGCAGGAAGCAGTGCAGGTCGATGAGCTGGTCCAGCGCCACCTGTCGCCTCTCCTGCAGGTCACTATGCCTTTCCTATAGGACCTTAGACTTCTCCTATAGGACACTAGGCTTCTAAAAGACACTAGGCCTCTCTTACAGGATACTAGGCCTCTCTTGCAGTACCTTCGGCCTCTCCAGAAGGACACTGGGACTCTCCTATAAGATACTAGGCCTCACCTGCAGGACCATAGCTCTCCTAAGGACACTAGGCCTCTCCTATAGGATACTAGGCCTCTCTTACGGGTGACTTACCTAGCGCGTGTTCCTGGGCCGCGCACAATTCATGCAATTGCGCCGCATCCCGCAGGAAGCAGTGCAGGTCGATGAGCTGGTCCAGCGCCACCTGTCGTCTCTCCTACATGATACTAGGCCTCTCCTGCAGGATACTAGACCTCTCCTGAAGGACACTAGGTCTCTCTTACAGGACACTAGCCCTCTCTTACAAGACACTAGATTCGTGCAGTATCCTCGGCCTCTCCTGAAGGACACCAGGCCTCTCCTAAAGGACACTAGGTCTCTCATATAAGTTACTAGGCCTTTCCTACAGGACCCTCGGCCTCTCCTACAAGACACTAGGCCTATCCTGCAAGTTACTAGGCCTCTCCTACAGCACACTGGGCCTCTCCTATAGGATACTAGGCCTCTCTTACGGGTGACTTACCTAGCGCATGTTCCTGAGCCGCGCACAACTCGTGCAGTTGTGCCGCATCCCGCAGGAAGCAGTGCAGGTCGATGAGCTGGTCGAGCGCCACTTGTCGCGCCGCCCACGCGCCCGCGGCCGCTGCTCTTGCTTCCACCAGTTGGGTGCATTTTGCTTCCACCTCCTGTGGGGAAAGCAGGGTGGAATAACGTTAGATGTGGGTATAAGGATTTATTTCTGAGCGGGACAGCAAAAAGGAGTGGAGCATGAGAATAAGATCATATAGGAGTCAAATATAGTCGAGCTTGTCTTGAGCCGAGTGAGTCAGTCGAGATAGTCTTTTTTGTCAGCTGGTCTTGTCAATTGGTGCCAGTTCATCCTTGCTTCAAAGGAGCAAGTAGCCGAAGAAGTACAGGCTCGCACAACCATTAAAGAGTCATCTCTCTTACCTACGTAGTGGGAATAATGGAAAACCTGCACCAGTCTCTTCTTGATCTAGCTTAAGAAGTACCAGGACCACACAGCTAGTAAGGAGGTAGCAGGATGCCTCTTGCGCAGGAGTCGTTAAAGGTTTCTTTCTATGTTGATCCAGCCTGAAAAGTACCAGGACCTCATAGATACTAAAGAGATCCCACCTATGAAGCCGGGTGTCCCTCCTACAGCAGATTTTTCTGCCCATTTCTTGTTGATCTAGACTGAGAAGTACCAGGACCACACAGCTAGTAAGGAGGTCACTCTAACCTGCGTAGCAGGAAGACTCTTGCGCAGGAGTCGATAGAGGTTTCTATGTCGATCCAGCCTGAAAAGTACCAGGACCTCATAGCCACTAAGGAACTGGCCTGTGAAGCCGGATGTCCCTCTTGCAACAGCCTCTGCCCATGATCAAGCGCAGCACGGAAGGAGTCATCGCGTGCGTCCAGCTCAGCCCTGAGCGCGTCGTGCTCTGCGCGCGAACGCACTAAGGAGACACTAGACTCTGGCAGTTTCTTTGTTGATAGACTGAGAAGTACCAGGACCACACAGCTAGTAAGGAGATAGCAGGAGTCAGGTCTCTTGCGCAGGAGTCGGTAGATGTTTCTATGTAGATCCAGCCTGAAAAGTACCAGGCCCGCATAGCTTCCAAGGAGCTCCTACTCACTTGTGAAGCTGGGTGTCCCTCTTGCAACAGCCTCTGTCCATGATCCAGCGCAGCACGGAAGGAGTCATCGCGTGCATCTAATAAAGCTCTGAGCGCGTCGTGCTCTGCGCGCGCCGCTTGAGCCGAGTCAGTCAGCCGAGACAGTCTTTGTCAGCTGGTCTTGTGAATTGGTGCCAGTTCATCCTTGCTTCAAAGGAGCAAGTAGCCGAAGAAGAACTAGGCTCGCAGAACCACTAAAGAGTCATCTCACTGTCCTACATAGTTGAGTATTTCTCCTGTTGATCTTGTCTAAGAAGTACCAGGGCCACACAGTAAGGAGGTCACTCTAACCTGCGTAGCAGGAAGACTCTTGCGCAGGAGTCGATAGAGGTTTCTATGTCGATCCAGCCTGAAAAGTACCAGGACCTCATAGATACTAAAGAGATCCCACTTATGAAGCCGGGTGTCCCTCCAACAGCAGACATTTCTGCCCATTTATTGTTGATCTAGTTTGAGAAGTACCAGGACCACACAGCTAGTAAGGAGGAGGTAGCAGGAGTCAGGTTTCTTGCGCAGGAGTCGGTAGACGTTTCTATATAGAAAGCCTGAAAAGTACCAGGACCTCATAGCTACTTAAGAGATTCATCTGGTTACTAACTTAAGGAACTCTAACTGACCTGTGAAGCTGGGTGTCCCTCTTGCAACAGCCTCTGTCCATGATCAAGCGCAGCACGGAAGGAGTCATCGCGTGCATCCAGCTCTGCTCTGAGCGCGTCGTGCTCTGCACGAGCGCACTAAGGAGACACTAGACTCTGACCATCTTTTTATTGATAGACTGAGAAGTACCAGGACCACATAGCCACTAAGGAACTGACCTGTGAAGCTGGGTGTCCCTCTTGCAGCAGCCTCTGTCCATGATCAAGCGCAGCACGGAAGGAGTCATCGCGTGCATCTAATTCAGCCCTGAGCGCGTCGTGCTCTGCGCGCGAAAGCACTAAGGAGACACTAGACTCTGGCAGTTTCTTTGTTGATAGACTGAGAAGTACCAGGACCACACAGCTAGTAAGGAGATAGCAGGAGTCAGGTCTCTTGCGCAGGAGTCGGTAGATGTTTCTATGTAGATCTAGCCTGAAAAGTACCAGGACCTCATAGCTACTTAAGATATTCATCTGGTTACTAACTTAAGGAGCTCTCACTGACCTGTGAAGCCGGGTGTCCTTCTTGTAGCAGCCTCTGTCCATGATCCAGCGCAGCACGGAAGGAGTCATCGCGTGCATCTAATTCGGCCCTGAGCGCGTCGTGCTCTGCACTAAAGAGACACTAGACTCTGGCCATCTCTTTGTTGATAGACTGAGAAGTACCAGGGCCACAAAGACACTAAAGAGATCTCACCTGTGAAGCCGGGTGTCCCTCCTGTAGGAGCCTCTGTCCATGATCAAGCGCAGCCCGAAAGGAGTCACCACGTGCGTCCTTTCTATGTTGATATAGCCTGAGAAGTACCAGGACAACAGGACTATTAAGGAGGTATGTCTGTTTTGCTTTTCAACTGACCTGTGAAGCCGGGTGTCCTTCTTGTAGCAGCCTCTGTCCATGATCAAGCGCAGCACGGAAGGAGTCATCGCGTGCATCTAATTCAGCCCTGAGCGCGTCGTGCTCTGCGCGCGAACGCACTAAGGAGACACTAGACTCTGGCAGTTTCTTTGTTGATAGACTGAGAAGTACCAGGGCCACAAGGACACTAAAGAGATCTCACCTGTGAAGCTGGGTGTCCCTCCTGTAACAGCCTCTGTCCATGATCAAGCGCAGCACGGAAGGAGTCATCGCGTGCATCTAATTCGGCCCTGAGCGCGTCGTGCTCTGCGCGCGCCGCCTGAGCCGAGGCCGCGTCACGCACGCCGCCGGCGCCAGCGCCGCTTGCCACTAGCGATGACACCACGCTGCTACACCAGGAGGTCAGGTCGCGGACCTTTGGACACAAAGACAGTTAGTTACATACACAACACATCTACACTTTTACACACACCCTACATCCATCCCTAATATCTCTTCATCTTTTGTGTACTTTTCATCTAAATTTTCATTTATTGCTTCCTTAAATAACACTGTCGGCTTAGCCGTGCTAATTCTACTTGTAAATCGTTATTCTTTCCTCCACAGGACAGGCAATGCCTAGTGTCTGTCTTTTAGTTATTGTATTGTTTGATTCTGGCAATAAATATTTTCAGGAGGACAGTAATTTAAAATTGTAGGAGAGACAGCGAGTTGTTCATTTAGCAAAAAAAAATACATGTACTCGTAGATGTCGAAAAATGGTAGTAGAACTGATGATCGCTGAGGCAGAATAGTTAGAATTAGAGATGAAACGGATAGTTGTTTGGCCGGATACCGGATACCGGATATCCGGCGAGCTGCTAGGCCGGATAGCCGGATATCCGGCGGCCGGATAGTTGGCCCATTGTCTCGTTGCATGTCGTGACGAGTTTAGCGCCGCACAGGTGCTTTAAACGCGATCAGTGGGTTTAGTAGGCTAGACAAGTCACACTTTTCGAAAATCGAATCCGTCCGAATAGAATGTCAGATTTTGCCACTTGTCTAGGGTGCCCCCTAGCAATTCGGGCGATTTCGGTTGCCATCGTGAGTGTGTGATTGAAAAGCTAAAGAAGAACGGTCATCTGTGACCCAGGCCCGACAGAAACGAGACATGCCTCAGTTTTTTTGTCATGTCTTAATTAGTTAAATTATATATTTTTTTTATTCGATATCTATGTATAACACCAAAATATTACCCTTTGTTTTTGTTTGAACAACTGAGGTATGTCTCGTTTCTGTCGGGTCTGGGTTTTTTTTGTATGGGGCGCGACCGTTCTTATTTAAATTAATTTACTTGCTGCGTAATCTGACTGAACTGCATCATGTCATCAGACCATCCAGTGAAAAAAAGATCGCCTATTTTATATGGCAATATTTCGACATTAACAGATATTTACTGTTTATGTATAGGTACTATTATGTTCTCGTATGTCATTAGAGTAAATAGCCCAGAAAAAGTTATTAGTTTTTTGAAAGGCCTTAATATGGCTTTTTTGTAACTTTTTGGACTTTAAATAAAAGCCGTCTTTATTATAAGCCATTTTATTGATATTTACCTGAAAGATTAATGTATTGCACTATATTATAGGAAATTGTCGTAGTTTTTTTTAATATCCGGTATCCGGCCGGATAGTGAGTTACTATCCGGTATCCGGCCGGATAGTAAATTTAGGCCGGATATCCGGCCTACCGGATAGTTACCGGATATCCGTTTCATCTCTAGTTAGAATAGTTCTCAACACACGAAAGACTGAAAGACGTAATGCAGACTGACTTGCCACTCGTTGGACCGACGATCTTTCTGAATACGAAGAGCGCAGAAGCGGTCATTGTGGAAACACCTGCGCGAGGTCTTTTTTTCCAAAAGTTCTAAATTCAAAAATTCTTATTGCTATTCCACACGTTAAATAGGAGACCAACAGTAAACATATTTTGGCTGAAACGAATCCTTGTTCTTCCTAAAATAAACAATTAACCTTGAGATGTGTGACCTTGAGTGAGATTATCACTTCACGGGATTTTTGCAACAGTCTGCCCGCGACCATGACTTGTGCAACCGAATTGAAACGTCGGGAGGGTAAATACCTATCTTATTTACCGTTTTAAAAAGATTTTGTTGCAAAAATCCCGTAAAGTGATAATCTTAGAGTAAAAAATGCAACATAATAATAAAAAAAAATAACCTGTGCCCTAAACTGGTGCAGATCAGCCTGCATCTCCAGCTGTCGTCGCCTCTCATCAGCAGCCGCTCTCAGCGCTGCCCAAGCGTCTTCCAACGCTTGCTGCTGCAACGCAATCTGCTGTACGTTGCTGCCTGGATACAGCTTTTGTAGGCGGGATCCTTCTTCTTGGAGCACCTGGGGATATCATGAATGAGGATTAGTATTATTCATAAGGCAAAAGTGCTAAATTTTTGCTGTTAAATTAGAGAATGTGAGCTTGTACAAAGACAAAAATTAGTTGGGAGAGGGCCAGCTAATGAGAAATACATATGTATTTTCTTGAATTTGAATTTGACAAGTGGAGCCTAGCCGTGTGGTGACGGCAGAGTAGAATACATTTGTCACCAACCCCTACTCTTCCCGCGGGTGTCGTAAGAGGCGCTTAGGGACTACACATCAAACAGAGAATGGGCAGCAGCGCTCTCTGAAAAACATCAATCTTTTAAACTGCGATCTCCAACCCGCCTGCCAAGCGTGGAGATTATGGCAAAACCCTCCACTATAGTGGAGGAGGCTCATAGTCCAGCAGTGGACTGTAAAGGGCTGTTGATGAGGAGCCTAGACCAGAGTAAATACAAATGAGTAGGTTATCTTCATATAAACCTGCTAATCCACGCTAAATTTTGTCAGTGTGTGCGTGCGCGCCGCATACGTATTGGCGCGCTCACATACAAACCGCGCCCGGTGCGTTTCTATGAAGATAACCTACTCATTTGTATTTACTCTGCCTAGACTCTCTATCATCAGTAGAAACTGATGACAAATCCACATGGATCTGTGGCGCAGTTCATTTTAGTGCTGTCTTTAGTCCTAAGAGACGCTGATCCTGCTGTAAGACAGGTAGTCAATCGTATTAGAGTCTCGAGACCACCAGAAACCAAGCACTTTAAATGAAGTCTTTAAACTTACTCTAAATTACAGGAATAAGCTTTAACATAAACACAACTACCAGATCTTATCTGCATCTGAGCGTCAATAGTCAGCAGATCATTCTCAGTGCTATCTCTAGTTTTGAACGTCATAGCGCCTGCTTCCAAGTCCTGAGACAGCTGGATCCTTTTGCCTTAAACAGCTGATGTTTAACAGGACCGTCAAAACTTGGAGAAGCTGAATAGAACCTTCCCTGCATCTGCGCATCAATAGCCATCAGGTCATTCTCAGTGCTGTTCCTAGTTCTCAGCTCACTGGTAAGTCCTGGGACAGCTGGGCTCTCTTATCATGAATCCTGACCAGATAGGTACCTCAAGAACTTAAGTAAATGAACAGAATCTTACCTGCATCTTGAGCGTCAATAGCCAGCAGGTCATTTTCAGTGGTCCTTAGTTTGTAGCGCCTGCTGGTCAGCCCTGGGACAGCTGGATTATAGCATTAGAGCTTCTAAAGTGACCCCTAAACGACTAAACCAGCCCCTAAATCACAGGAATCTCACCTGCATCTGAGCATCAATAGCCAGCAGGTCATTCTCAGTGCTGTCCCTAGTTCTCAGCGCCGCAGCGCCCGCTGGCAAGTCCTGGGACAGTTGGGCCCTCTTGTCGTGGACCCTGGCCAGTAAGTCAGCCACGTCGCGATGGAAGCGGTGTATTTCGCCAGCGGCGTGGAGTTTCGCGCCGCGGGATTGGATCTGGTCGACTAGGCGTTGCCAGGACTCGCTGGAGAGATGAAAAATACATTATTTTATGGAAATCTCAATTTCTACAAAGCACAAATAAAACTATGTATAGCACTGTAAAAAACGATTTTTGTCCTCGCCTAACTTCAAAACAAACTGTTTGGAAAATAAGTTAAAAAACCATAGTAAACGTTCGACCAAACCGAACCTTAAGTGCCTTAAGTAACATTAAATAAATTATGATCATCCGAACTTTAAGTAACATAATTATTATTTATTTTATGTTATAGCCATAGATAATTACTAATTAATCTACTCTTGCATTGGGGTCACCTGTAATGTTAGAGTTAAGATTGTTATTAAATAAATAAATAATCACGAACGCGTGTTTCTAGGCAAATACAGCAAATGTTTTACTATTCTGAAAAAACCGAGTTGGCGTAAGATAAATGACAAATTGAACCAAACCAAACTTCAAATAGAACCAAATTATTTTTTTCATTTTGACAGTTAACATAATAATTTATGATTTGCCGATTGTACAACTTAGGCCCGAATCATGAAAAATATGTAGAATAACGATTGACCGATATAATTTTATCTAGCTTTAGACTCTTAAACGAAGCGCTGAGCTTGAATCAAGATTATCCATCTAAAGCCAGGTCTGTGAGCACGTAGAATTTTGCCAATGACCCCAAGCTACCCATCCTTATCGCTCGCGCGTAATTATGTTGCTGTCGCACTCGCACACTCACTGCGGGCGCCCGTTACACAGTCGCGACGATAAGGATAGGTAGCTTGGGGTCATTGGACAAAATTCTACGTGCTCGCAGACCGGGCTTTATAAAATACATTTAATTTCATTTCACTTACCCCAGCGCCTCTTGTCTGCGCTCGATATCGGCGATGTATGGGCTGTCAGTAGCCAACAGCTTCTTGGCTAACTCCTCGCACTGGCTGAACCGTTCAGCACCGCTTTCCACGCGTAGGCGTAATTCCTCGAACTTGGACCTTAGGATCTGGGGAGGAAGGTTGAGTTTAGTGTACAGTTGCATGGTCAGAAGAACAATGGATTAACAATGTGTAGCGCAAAGAATTTTTGGACTGTTAGTGTCTTAAATCCTATTAAGGTTTGTCCATCTTCGACTTGATCTTTCGACTTGATCTCTAGATAAAAAATAAAAGTTTTAGTTTAAGCACCTGATGACACTGGGAAAGCAATATTAAAGGGACGCGTATAAGTGCCTTGAAATAAAATATAACACTGGCTAATAGAACAAATGACGCTGGGGACATGTAAAAAGCTGCCAGCTTATTTTTTGGCGTGACGATATTTTATTGAATTCCATTTCAGGATGTTCCTAATTCTTACTTAAGCCAAGCCCTAATACCTTTTAATTACGAGAAAATGGGGAATCCTCACTTCATTATAGCTGCATATTTCTCATTTGATGAAGAGCGAGGCCGTTCCATATTAGGGTTACAGTTTTTCTATGTGCTCTAATAAAATAAATATCAGCAAGGTTTTCTGCCACATTATACATATAGGGTGGAAACGAAAAACTGGTCACTGATCCTGAACGTGCACTTTCGTCTAGTTTTTTGATCGATAAATAATCGAGTGAGATCATTATCGTTTCCACCCTGTTTATAGCTAGAAACTCACCAGCAAGTGCTCGTAGTCTTGCCCGTAGTCTTCGCTGGAGGCAGCCGTGTACTGCTCCTGTATCCAGCTCTCTAGCTCAGCGCTCTCTGCCAGGTATTCATGTCTGAAATATAGAATAAAAGTTAACATTTATTTGAGAAATATACAATTTTCATACCTTAACCTAAAAATGATGGTCTTAAAACTACTATTACAGGTCTAGCAAATAGCTGAGTCAGTGCCTGAGGGCGGCGCGGGAGGGTAATGTCGAAAGATGGTCGAAGCATTGTGGCCATTCTGTGTATGAAGTTACAACGGATTCGATCACAAATCGCCATTTGTCTAGACCAGTGTTTTTAAACCTTTTTCATGACACGACTCCCCTCCCCCCCCCCTAGCATGAAAAAATATTTGGCGACCCTCCCGACTGTTCGCTTTTTTTTCATGCATTTTATAATGTTAAAAAGATGTTTGTAGGGACCGAATACTTCAATCCATACAACATTTTAATGCATTTGCATAAAGATTTTGAGTAAAAAAAAGAAGTTGTTTGCAAAAAAGAAGAACGAGGTTGAAAAACAATGGTCTAGACTAACGTCACAAAAACTTCCTCCCTGGTTTTAATTCCAGTCTATAATATAACAAAGTAAAACCGGACATTTGTGGATGCCCAGTGTGCGAGTATGGGCCGTATATCCTCTCTGCGCAATCACCTTCAGGACAGTGATGATGCTTGCTTACACTCACTCCCTCAGATAATACATTGTTTTCGTGATTCCCTTTAGAACTTGAGTGAATAGATGTGAATGGATAAGGAGATGTTTCGTGGCAGCCTGCAAGAGTGGAGTCAACAAGTAGCAACCTTAACCTTGCGTCTCAGCTCACTCGTTTTCTGACTAAATAATTCGCGAGTTAGTGGACATGACTTAGAATTATGACCGTTTTCACCATCAATCCCTAATTTTTGTATCGCTTAAAAAATAGGGATTGATGGCCGAATTACAGGGCCTAGTCTCGTAGGCCCTAAGAGTATACAAGCAGTTTTTTTACGACAAGAACCACAGACTAACCTGCATACGCTCTCAACCAGCGCTCGCTGCCGGTGCGCCGCAAGCCGCTGCAAGCGCTGCAGACTAGCTGCTAGCTGCTCGTGCCTCTGGACTAGCGCTTCGCCCTCACCGTCCGCCATCGACGCGGCCGCGCGACCCATCTCGGCGACGATGGCTGCGTATGTGTCTAGTTCTAGTTCTACGGCCTGTGGGGAAAGATTTGATTTGATAAGAAAGAAAGAAGAAGACATTTTTTTTTTTTACAAAATTACATCTACAGGGTGGAATTTTGTAATACCACCTGGAGGGAAAGTACTCTTAATACTGTAGATAGAAAATTTTACTGAAAGAAAACATTCCTTTATTTTTTAAAAGAAAATGAACTGCATTTAAAGATTTTCGAAATTTTTTCGAAAATTCACTACCATACCATACAATTTTCTGTACATCGTAATTAAAATTATTTCATGGTTTTCCTTTCATTTGATTTATCAAGTTTGTTAGAGAGATTTCATCCTTATACTTAACCCTAATGATCGATGCAATAAAAATACAGGATGTAATTTTATACAGATTTTAGTTGGTTAGATTCCCGGGAGTGGCAAGCAAATTTTTGGAAATCTTTGAATGCAGTTCTTTCAAAAATAAAGGAAAGTTTTCTTTGAGAAAAAAAATCGATCTACAATATTAAGAGTACATTCCCTCCAGGTGGCATTACAAAATTCCACCCTGTATACTAATATTATAAAGCTGAAGAGTTTGTTTGTTTGTTTACTTGAACGCGCTAATCTCAGGAACTACCAGACCGATTTGAAAAATTCTTTCAGTGTTAGATAGCCCATTTATCAAGGAAGGCTTAAGGCTATATACCATCACGCTACGAGTAATAGGTGCAGAGCAAAAATGAAAAATGTTGCAAAAACGGGTTTTCACACGTACGAAATCGCGGGCACAGCTAGTATTTTATATAGAACCGCTATGAATGGATCTGCGCGGCGCACTCAGCAGACGAGGCGAAGGAAATCGGCTAGACTTGCAGCGAGATCAAACGCGAAGCTCAAGACCGAACGCGATGGAGGACTGTTGTGAATGCCCTCTGCCCCATCTAGAGACGTTAAGTCAAGTAAATCATGAATGTATCTTTCAGAAACCGATAGGCCTTATGAAAGCAGTATCTTAGGCCCAAGTGGAATTGGGTTTTCTAGTGTGTTTGAAACAAGCGAGAAGGCCGTAAAAGAACATTGTTGGTTCATCTAATGCCTGCATGCATACAGCAGTTTCGTGGCTCTGTAATACTCACTTAGGCCCATATGGAGACTTCTAGTGTTTGTGAATCTTACAAGAGACTGTTTAAGTAACTAGAAAGCTTGCCCTATGCCTTGACAGCAGCTGGGAGACTATATTTACCTGTGCGACTCTTATTTCCGATAGCATTTGATCTCTCTGAACTGCGAGGCACTCTGTTACGCGTTTAGAACCTGCTAACGTTGTCTTTTATAACACTAGAGGCTGTCAAATCATGACTGTTTCACTTTATGTCGTGTCAGAAGCTGCGTAGCTCTCTGCAGAGTGTCTTTATTCCGATATTACGATCTTACTGTTGTTATATCGACTACAGACCATCTCACTGGCTTCTGTCTCCCTAAAGGGCGTAAAATCTTGCAGGAATCGTCTTTCATGACACTAGAGGCTGTCAAATCGTGGATCACTCACCTTGTGCCTCGTCAGGAGTTGCGTCGCCCTATGCCTGTCTCTGCCAACGTCAGCATCAGCTAATGCAGCAGCCTTATCCGCCATCCAGGCTTCCAGCTCGGCCGCGTCGTGCACGAACTGTTGCGCGCGCGCCGCGGCCTCGAGTCGCGCTGGAGTCACTTGGTGGCGAGTGAGAGCCATGAGAGAGACTGTGAAAGGAACTAGATAGATTACCTGTGATCTTGTCAGTAGTTACGTAGCCCCGTGTCATTCATTCAAGCCCACCTGGCGCGTGCGTGGCTCTATATCTGATAGGATACGATCTCACTGCAAGACAGCAGATGCATAGCGCTCTGTTACACGTTTAGAACCTGCTGGCGTTGTTTTTATAACTCTAGAGGCTAACAAATCATGGGTTTCTCCCTATGCCCTATTAGCAGATGCGTAGCCATCTGCAACGTGTCTTTATTCCGATATTAGGATCCTACTGTTGTTATATGGACTACGGACCATCTTACAGGCTACTGTCTCACCTTGTGTCTCGTCAACAGCTGCAAGGTTGTATCCTACTTTTTGATCCTGCAATGGTGCTGTAAGTCTGATCCTGTTTAAGTTACTTGACTCTCTGCAAAGTGTCTTTATTCCGATATTCTGGTCTTGCTCGCTTGTAATGCGAGAAGCTGTCAAATCGTGGATCACTCACTTTGTGCCTCGTCAGGAGTTGCGTCGCCCTATGCCTGTCTCTGCCAACGTCAGCATCAGCTAACGCAGCAGCCTTATCCGCCATCCAGGCTTCCAGCTCGGCCGCGTCGTGCACGAACTGTTGCGCGCGCGCCGCGGCTTCCAGACGCGCGCCGCGGGCTTCGGCCGCCGCTGATACTTCTTCGTAGGCGGTGGATAGCGACTCGCAGAGAGATGAGATCTGAAATGAAAGATAGATATTTATTTATTTGATCAAGGTTCGTTTCAGCCAAATGACGTCCACTGCTGGACAAAGGCCTCCCCCAAGGTTTTCCACAATGAACGGTCCTGCGCTGCCCGCATCCAGGCTCTTCCCGCGACCTTTACCAGATCGTCGGTCCACCTAGTAGGAGGCCTGCCCACGCTACGTCTTCCAGCCCTGGCTGGAAGACGTAGCATGGGCAGGATCAAGGTTACATTGTAGCATTCATAAAAAAGTATGTATAACAAGGCAGGTATTTGATTACAATCGCACCTGGCGTTAAGTGGGATGCAAGTGGGATCTAGGATGGTACATATCTTGTATCGTTAAACGACACATTGTTAAATGCAATTTAGTTATAGGTATATTATGGTAATAATTATCCTTGGACATAAGTCCCAGTTTCCGCCAAGGCGGAGCGGAGAATTTTTTTGAATAACCAATCAGATTTTATTGTCAACTAGCTGACCCGGCGAACTTCGTACCGCCTTAGCGTAGAGATTTTCTTAATATTTTTTTCCGTAAGAACCATCCTTGGACTTCCACAAACATTTAAAAAAAAGAATTATCGAAATCGGTTCAGCCGTTCACACGTGATGCCGTGACAACGCGAAACGGGTTTCATTTTTATATATATACACTCGCGAGCAAAAGTATGGAATCACTTACATGAAGTTGTTTCCACGCGATCTTGTGTACTAACGAATTTGTTAGTAACAAAAAAACTGGCACCATTTTAAAGATTAAACTTTAAACTTTAAATTGATACCAAATTCATTGAAATCACACCAGTATTTAAAAAGATATTCTGGTTAATGTGAAGAAGTAAGGAAAAAGACATGTATCAACTGTTTGATACGTCGCGAGTTGCGGCCTATTTACCCCCTATAAAAGCACGTGTTTTCGGATTTTTGCTTTCACACGTTGATTTTTACACATCTCTGCTTCTTTTGACACTTTACCTAGGATTCTACACCTTCAGATGCAGCACAAATCGTTGCACTATTGCAAGAAGAGCTCAGCCAGCGGGTTGTTGACGTCAGCTCCACATAAGCCAGTCCTGGGTTTCGAAAGTTTTAAGACGCTTTCGGGAGACTGGTGGCTTTATCCCGAGACCAAGTTTTAAACAGCGCTGGTGCACATCACAGAGGGATGACCGTTTTTTCATGTCAACCTCTCTATAAAATCGTCATTTAACTGGTATCGACGTCCAGCAAGAGCTCAGAAATGTTCGTAGGATAGCTGTTAGCAAGTGGACAGTTCGTCTAAGATATAAGCAATAGAATTTGACTCCAAAAAAGCCTGCCACGGGCTCGAAACTGACGGCAGGTCACCGATAAGCACGCTTTCAATTTGCTCGTACACATCTCGATGGGAAGTCGAGCAAGCCACCCCTATAAGCCAGTGTTTCAGCGAACCAGCACTGCACAAATCTCTCCCCAGGCCGCCTATAGACCCGACCTCTTCGACTGCTGCACTGCAAACACAGTCTGCATTCATCGGAGAACAAAACTCGCCTCCATTACTCGCCTTCCCATCAAAATAAGTGCGAGCTAATTGAAAGCGTGCTAGTCGGTGACTTGCCGTCAGTTTCGAGCCTGTGGCAGACCTTTTTGGAGTCAAATTCTATTGCTCATATCTTAGACGAACTGTCCACTCACTAACAGCTATCCTACGAACATTTCTGAGCTCTTACTGGACGTCGATATCAGTCAAATAACGATTTCATAGAGAGTTTGACATGAAAAAACGGTCATCCCTCTGCGATGTGCACCAGCGCTGTTCAGAACTTGGTCTCGGGATAAAGCCACCAGTCTCCTGAAAGCGTATTAAAACTTTAGAAACACAAGACTGGCTTATGTGGAGCTGAAGTGCGACAGCCCTCTGGCTGAGCCCTTCTTGCAATAGTGCAACGATTTGTGCTGCTTCTGAAGGTGTAGAATCCTAGGTAAAGTGTCAAAAGAAGCGGAGATGTGTAAGGATCAACGTGTGAAAGCAAAAATCCGAAAACACGTGCTTTTATAGGGGGTAAATAGGCCGCAACTCGCGACGTATCAAACAGTTGATACATGTCTTTTTCCTTACTTCTTCACATTAACCGGGATATCTTTTTAAATACTGGTGTGATTTCAATGAATTTGGTATCAATTTAAAGTTAAAAGTTTAATCTTTAAATTAGTGCCACTTTTTTTGTTACTAACAAATTCGTTAGTTCACAAGATCGCGTGGCAACAACTTCATGTAAGTGATTCCATACTTTTGCTCGCAAGTGTAGATTCCGCCTTGTAGCGTCAGGTCGCGTCCTGTAGCGTCGCATCGCGTCTTGTAGGGTCGCGTGCTATAGTGTCAGTCCATGTCACGACGCTTCAAAACACTCGTCGCTGATTTAAGACACCGCGTTCAGTAGCGTCTTTTAGCGTCCTGTAGCGTCACGTCGCATACTGTAGCGTCGCGTCGCATACTGTAGCGTCGCATCCTGTAGTGTCGCATCCTGTAGTGTCGCATTGAGTGCTGTAGCGTCAGTCCATGTCACGACGCTTCAAAACACTCGTCGCTGATTTAAGACGCAGCGTTCAGTAGCGTCCTGTAGCGTCGCGTCGCGTGCTGTAGCGTCAGTCCACTCACCTTGTCGACCTGCGGATGCCTGTCCTCCATCAGAGCGCGTCCCTGTCCGATGACGCGCTCCACCAGCGGTTTTCTACCAGCCAGCTCGCCAACAAGCTTGCTGTGTTTCTTGAGCGCCGTCTGGGCAGCGTGGAGGTCACCGGGAAGGGCTTCGGACGATGCCGCTGCTTTACGCTCGTTCAGCCAGTCCAGCTCGCCGGCTACTTCGGCAGCGAATTTGTGGAGCCTGCGAAAGAGATGTTTGGTTTAATAAGGCGCTTTTGAAAATTGAATTGCAAAAAAATATGTTGAGACTGTTACAGGATATCCCAGAATGAAGGTGTCTGATTGAAATATCTGAATGAAGTGAATTCTTAACGCAAACTGCAACTTTGTGTGTAGAATCGTTTCTAATAAAATTGTCTTAAGGCTGTGTTTCTTTATTAAAAATAAATTAATATTAAAACATCAAGTCATCATTCTCTCGCCATCCATACACAAAAACGAAAATAACAGAATAGAATATGCCAAAAGAGACTTTATGACTTTAAACATAAGACAAAAATGTCTTATCATACAACTCTCGTTAACTGTAGGGGGTACACCTATAGTCTGGTAGCCGAGCACGTAGAATTTTGTCCAATGACCCCAAGACTCATCCTTATCGCTCGCGCGTAATTATATTGCTGTCGCGACTGTGCGACGGGTGCCCGCAGTGGGTGTGCGAGCGCGATAGCAATATAATTACGCGCGAGCGATAAGGATGGGTAGCTTGGGGTCATTGTACGAAATTCTATTTGTTCGGCGACCGGACTTTATCGCAATAAGACTCACTGTAGACTAGTGCTGAGCGCTCTCCTTCTGTCAGCAGCTGGGGCATGTAATGCTTGAAGGGCGCGCGTCAACGCAGCGGATTCCCGCTGTATAGCGGCGGCGTCGAAGTGGCCGTCCGATACGAGGTCCTCGCCTTGCGCGGATAGCGACGAGGCCTTTTGTTCCCATTGGGTTAGCTCTTGTTCTACAGCCTGTTGGGAGATAACGACATATTAGTATAAAGAACACAGAAGAAAGTTATAGTTTCGAATCGATTCTTCCGCGAATGTTTGAGTGTTATCGGTACACGTTAAATGATCCATGAGTGCACACGCACACTACAATAATGCCGCTCGGATTGCTCGGACCACACATCACAAAGCTCTATTCAACGCTGAGCGTTCGATTTGCTGCTTCACTTAAGCAAGCATTGTTGGTGAATACGGGCACAGAATAATAATAAGTACTACGTACAGAAGTTTTACTTCGCGAAGGTATTTAAAAAAATGTATGCTCAATGTCATTAACAATATGGTGTAATTTAGCCTGTCTCAAGAGTCAAGCACCATTTTGTTGACAAACGTCAGTGATCGGCACTGCGCCGAAGCTATAGCGCTGACTTCGGTAAAATGATGTGACGTGAGGTGCCAAACTGCGGAAAATGGCGGAGGAAATACATGATTTAGCATGAATTATCAAGAATAATATTAACTACTTATTTACCTCTCAGTGTCTTGAGGCAACTGAAAAAAGTACATTCTGTGTTTTTATAATTATTTAGGCAGTTAAATACTGCACAGTATTTAGTACCTACACCATTTTCTTTATTTTATTCCATCATACACAAGAATACGCGTGCGTGAGTGTCAATGTTCGCTCGTATGTGTGGCCTTGTCGAATAGTATCCTGTAGGTGGGCCATCGTGCGTGTTTTGTTTTCGATGTAAACTCGCGGAGATGAACAGGCCTGATACGGGCGACAAATCATTTATAAATGGAAACAATACTTTAACACCGCGTTCTAATTAAATCGAGCGCCATCTAGGCTACCTACAGAAGTACATTTGACGGCAAATCAGACTACACTTTGATGCAAAATCAACCCTACCACAACTGCATAAGGTCTGTTCTCACCTGGTGCTGAGTCATGAGCCTCTTACAGCTCCTCAGGTCGGTGCCGACTTCCTCGCTCTTGAGCGCTCGCTCCAAGTCCACGAGCCGAGCCTTGGCGTCTTCCACGCTCCTGGAAATAATTATTGATTTATTTGGAAACTTCAGCAACTTTGTCGACAATTTATATTACAATATAAACAAATATTTCAGAAAAGGAAACTGGTTTCCTTAAAAAAAAAACCTAACATTTAGCCCGTCAATTAAGTTACTAAAAATATTGGACACGTATATTTTTATTTGTCAATCAAGCAAGTAATTACGACGTAATGGTGCGTTGAAGTTTCGCGTGACGTCACAAAGTTCTATACTTTGAAACACTCCTTGACGTCATAGGCCTTTTCTTTTGAATTTTGGCGCGCTTTTTCAATTAGTTTGAAAGATTGAAAAATACGCGTCGAGTATTTTTTGACAAGTTAACTGACGGACTAATTCGAAACTTTTGTTTTTTTACCGCGTTTAGAAGGCGCTATTCCCACCTCTCATTCCCACTGCTGCAACTACCGTATAGTGTAGTTTTGCAGGGCATCATTTTAGGACAGTCAATGCTGAACATCCCCAAGGATTTCCAGATTGGCCAGTTGGTAGCCGCCTGCATCCAACGCCTTCTTTAGAATTTTATCTATCCACCTTGTTGGTGGTCATTTTTAAAATTTTTGGGTGTACTAGACCTAATGCAAGGAAAAATGCAGTCTTGGGCAGTTGTGTTGCAAAGCCTTTTCGTTTATTAATGACATTTGTACTTAATTAACATTGTGTGACTTGTTTTAATGTTTATTTCTGACTGCAATGATTTGTGTTGACTTAGTAGGGAATTTAGTGCAATGATTTGTATGGAGACCCCTCCACTTTGGTATAGAAGGCTCATTTTTGCAACAGTGGTTCTTTGGGTGCTCCTGAGTGGATTTCCGTCGGTAGACATCGGGAGCCCCCCCTGTGGTAGCAGGGGGAGGGGGGGCAAGTTTCCTTCCGCCGCGCTTCACTTTAAGGCCCATATCTTCAAAACTATGGGTATTATGGAAAGTGTGGTATCATTTTCGGATAATTAAAGGATGGCGAATTCATTTCTAGAACAAACTTTTTGCCTTTTCATACAAAAAAATTGAAATATTGAGTAAAATTCACAAAAACCAAAAAGTATTTTTTTAAATAAACGTCGTTTACTTTTAAACCACTGGAGATAATCTAATAAAAAAAATATGACCTGAAAGCTACATTTATCAGGATTATAANTATTTTCGAATTTTTTTTTACGATATTTGGCACTAATAAATTCAACGACCTTTAAAATGGACAAGGAATAAGAATCGTTTTAATGACACCGCGGTGCAGAAAATCGACGCTCAAAGTGCTAGCGCCATCTAGCGGTGAGCGGTACAGGTGAACACCACGGTGCCGGTGTGGCGCTAGTAGTATTGATTATGAATGTGGTGTTACTCCAGATCTTCGATTTTCCTAGTTTTTATAGTTTTCCCTTTATGTGGCCATTAAACCCTAACTCTGTACCAAATTTCAGCTCTCTGAGTTTATGGGAAGTACTAGTTCTATTTTGATGGATCATCAGTGAGTGAGTGAGTGAGTGAGTGTCATAAATGCGAAACTTTGCTTTCACTTAACTTCAGAACTAAATGACCTACAGACTTGAAATTTTGGATTTTAAGTATGTGATTATAGCTTACTAGATGACGAAAATTTCTGCGTTCTGGTCTTATCCAGAGGTTCTCAAATAGGGGCCTGAAAATGCGGCGAAATGGTTCCAGTAAAGGATGGTACGACAGTGTTTGCTTCGCGCTCGACTTGGCGGGGGCACTGCCGTGCCCCCAGATAGATTTAACGATTGGCAGATTAAAAGAACAAAATTATTAAACGACAATATGACAGTTTTAGCAACTGACTCAAAAAAGACATCAGTTTCAATTTTAGTTTTATAGTCTTAAAGTATAATGCCCGTTTTCACCATCAATCCCTAATGTTTAAGTGACCCCTATGAATACAAAATTCCTGTTATGTGTTACTATAGCGGTCACTTAAAAATTAGGGATTGATGGTAAAAATAATAAACCTTTTAAATGTCGGAACTTTCAAAATACGGGCGAAATCGCTGTAGAAAGTAGTATAGTATACAATACTCACGCTCTCGACATTCCTGAGCTGTTTCTCGTTGGCCTGCAGTTCCCGTTCGAATGCCTCGTGCTTTTGCAGCTTGCGCTCCAAGTTGGCGAGATCCCTGCGATATCACAATATCGTTAACAATTTTATTCATACATCGACTAATCTTGGCGCACGGAGCTATTATTGTCCGAGCAAACACCGTCACTGTGTGCTTGCTTAACACACTATATAATTAACTTTTTAAAAAAATAAAACCGACTTCAAATGCGTGAACACAAAAAAAAACTAAAAATTAAAAATATTGCGTATAAAAAAGTTCATCCCCAATTTTCCACCCTTGGGGGTGAAATATTTTCTTCAAATTCGCATGAAACCACCCTTTTGATAATACCTATTCAACAAAAAAATAATCGTTCAAATTTATTTATAATCGGCGGAGATATTGCGTATAAAAAAGTTCATCCCCAATTTTCCACCCTTGGGGGTTGTTTTTTCTATTATTAAATTTAAATGGGACCACCCTTGAGGTATTACCTATACGCCGAAAAAAGATTTGTTCAAATCGGTTCATAATTGGCGGAGTTATCGCGTAACAAACATAGAAAAAAAAAACATACGGGTCGAATTGACAACCTCCTCCTTTTTTTTTAAGTCGGTTGAAAATTGGCGAATAAGTCATAGATTTTATAGCGTTGAAGATGAAAGAATCGCGGTCTGGTGGTATCACAAATTTTGGGTTTCTATGTAGCATTGTAAAGATGTATAGTTGTTATAATGAGGGCTATCGTTTTAGCGCTCACCAGTTAGCGCCACTGTAGAGTAAGGTCCTGTCACTTGCTAGTAGCGAAGACAGTGGCNTGCTACAGCATTAAAATATCTATCCAGTTCCAGGGTGCATTTTTCCAGTGTACATCTACAACACATTAGAGTGGTCTTTAATACATTTTGCATAGTTTGGAATGTGGTCGACTTGAAAAATTGTGTTTGCTCCTTGATAAAAATATTAAAACCTGTCTTTTAAGCACAAAAAATATGAATGTTTGGATCTTAAAACAGCAAAAACTAGTATTTAATGTAGGTATGGTAATAGATCCGGCTGGCTATCTAGAGTTTACATGCGATCTTTCCTGGTTTTAAATCAATTTTTAGAACTACGCAGCTTATTTATTTGGACTTCATTTAAACTCGCTAAGAAAAAAAAAACTAGATTTGATATTAACAAACATATTTGCTCGGGTTACTAAACGTATAAGATTTTTAGAGTTAATATTAAAAGAAAATGTATTTATAAATTATGAGGATCTACATTACTAGTAACTATTGTCTTGAAATAATATGTCATGTCGCCATACAATTCTTCAATGGGCAGATTATAGTGCATTGTTGGCTTGTCAACAAACGACACAAAATATCGATATTTGATGTATTGTTCACACAATTTTATATTGTTTATTGACAAGAACACGTGGATTTTCAGTAACTCTACCTTTACGGTTATGGTTTACGGAATGTAAATATTGTAATTACTGAAATAGTTTTTAAAATTATTCGTTTCGGCCTTGAACGGAACTTACGATGACTTATAACAAAATACACACGGTAATAAAATACATCCTTTAATATGTTCTACTTTACAGAGAGCCAGTTTATAAAGGACAGTTTTCCAAACCAAACAAGTTTTAAACCAAGGCCCAGTTTTTAGTTTCATAGTTAAAATAACTAATTGTTTTGCTACTAATAGTCTAGTCAAATTAGACATGAACCCTGCAATAATTCGCATACAGCTGAAAATTGGTACGAATGTTCGGAGCACCATTATGAATTAACTGTGAAAAGTCTCCATGGATCCGACAAGACGTTCTAAAAAAAATTCTATGTCAAAGTTAAAAAATACGGGTTTTTGAGATTTTCAGCCAAACGGTAAGTTTTATCACAAAAATATGTATGACAAGGTTTAAGACCATACAATTATCTATCAAAATTGTCTATACACTTTCTCCTAAGAGTCAGCGTTTCTGAGATTCGATGATCCGAAGAGTCAAAAAAGTGTTTTCTTCATAACGGTCTTACACATAAATATTAAATGGTTAAATATTAAAAAATGTAAACAAATATTTAAAAAATGTACTTAAAGTCAAGCTAACCATTGTTCGAAAAACTTCTTCTATAATTGGTTCTTCTTCTTCTTTTTTAATGATGTTGGCAATACACGTCGAGGTCGACTTGACAAAGATCAAGTAATGATTTAATGAAGGATGATAGATGATACCCCTTCCCACCCTTTGAGTCTCAGTAAAGTGGTGGTGCTTTACTGAGACCTCCTATGGACAACTTGAGAGAACCAGAAGAATCACGATGCACTGTTTTGCTTCACTACCCCACACTCACGCACGTTCACCAACACTCAATGGTTAATAATCCACCATTATTACACATTAATAGTCGCCCAGACACGAATTTGAGAAAATAAAACAAAACCGCTAACATGACGCTTCAGATTCCCGCCAAGAAGCCCCGACTATTGGTTATTTTAACTACTAATCAAAAACTGGGTCTTAGAAAACATTTTGCAGCTTCTGTCACCTATGTTAAAACGTTTTAGCAATGAAGCAAAAATACTTACTTTTGTATATTATCGTACTTTTTAATTAATAAAATATCTAACTCTACATATTAATGAAAGTTTTCATTTCCTTTCAGCTTTACCTAGAGAAGCGTATGATCTGGAATGGAACGAGGGTAGTCCGCCACACTCTCCAATTCGGAGCGCTCATGCTGTGCTGGTTCACGGTCCTATCCAGGATCTCAGACAACAGGCACCACTGGAGTGACGTGCTAGCTGGACTCTCCTTGGGTCTTGTTGGAGCTGTAGTTATGGTTAGTATTGGAACTGTTTAGATCTGAGATGGAATTGTGTAAAGCAATCGTAATCTTTTGACAGTTCATAACGTACGATAAAGTCAGTTAAACAAAGCGTTTGACAGAATAATGGTACGTTATGAACTGTCAAATGATTACGATTGCTTTATTACACAATTCCACCTCTGGTACTGGAACGTACAGGGTGGAATTTTGTAATGCCACCTGGAGGGAAAGTACTTTTAATACTGTAGATAGAAAACTTTACTCAAAGAAAACATTCCTTTATTTTTGAAAAGAAGTAGAACTGCATTCAGAGATATTTCCAAAAATTTCCTGCGACCATTACTAAATGATCCGGTCCGTAGTTGCGACTCGACAACTGTTTGTTTAGCCCTACCTACTGCTACCTAAAATCTTGGTAGTTCACTCTATCTTCAACCTCTAAGGGCCCACTTAAGCTTGCTGAATATACCTGCTGGAGTCATTTGCCTCGTCAGTCCTTTAATTATGATAGTTACGAGTAGAAAGAGCACTAGTTAGGTCTGATATCAATATTTCTAAAGCTGTACTGAAAATTGTTTATTTTTTTTTATTAAAACTTTAAACAATATTCAAGCTAACATAATTGGTTAAGTGATAACTTAATTATTATAGACTTTTAAGTAAATGACTTAATGACTTCCAAGTTAATTATCTCAGTTAAATTGAATTGAGATTGAAGTTTTAAGGTTGCGATGTTGTTTAGTGAAAATATGACGAGTAGTATCAGGTTGTTTACTTTACAAATAAATAATATAAACCTATTTACTGCAATTTCCTGCACTTGTCTTATCTTGAACTAAATAGTAGTCTTTATTACTCGTGTATTAAAATGTAATCTAGGTAAAACTCTACGTGCTAAATAAGCCCTAAATAAATAAGATATTTTGATATCCATAAAAACAAGAGCACGTGTAATTTTGCCAGTTCTGAAAAAAACGAGGAAAAATACGAGATTTCAAGTCATCCATACAAGGGAAAGTAACACTGTCTGTCTGTCACGCTTTCACGTCTAAAGCACTGAACTGATTTTGATTAAATTTGACATAGAGATAGTTTGAGTCCCGGGAAAGGACACAGGATAGTTTTTATCCCGGTTATTGAAACAGGGACGAGCGCGATAAAGTTTTTCTGCGAACCCGCGGGCAAAACTTGACTGTTTTACATTATGTTCTTCCTTGGACGCCTGTCTCTGGAGCTATGACTTGTATTTAATGACCATATTAATGATAATGTATTTTATTTTTGTATTTGATTTGACATGGTAATCCTAATTTATGACATGCAACTAAATGTAAATTAATTATATTATATACTAGCTGACCCGGCGAACTTTGTACCGCCTTAATGGCAATAAATAAGCAGACTTTTTGTTATTTCGAACGGGATAAAAAGTATCCTATGTCCTTCTCCTGGCTCTAAACTACCTCCCTGACAATTTTCAGCTAAATCGGTTCAGCCGTTCTTGAGTTATAAGTGGAGTAACTAACACGACTTTCTTTTATATACAGGGTGTTAGGTAAATGGGTATATGACCCGACACTAGTCCATGTTAACATGGGCATATAAATGATATGGTGAAGTTAGAAAATTGATATCTTCATTTTAGTTATTTTAATTTTCATACAAATCGGATTTTATAAAATTTATTTTGTATGAAAATAAAAAAAAATAAAATGATTGTATCAAATTTCTGACTTCACCATACCATTTATATGCCCATGTTAACATGGGCTAGTGTCGGCTCATATACCCATTTACCTAACACCCTGTATATAGATATGTGTTTTGGACCTGTCTGTAAACATACATTTTCTGATAATAAATAAATAAAAAAAAAGAAAGGTTTTTTTATTTTGTGGATGTCGTAAGAGGATAAATATGCGAACATCAGGTCTCCCCAACCTATTTGGCCAGGGTGGAAAGTGAAGGCCAAATCCTTCATTTGCTTCTAGTATATAGAAGAGCGTCATTTCCTGCAGTGGATACTAAATAACCTGAAAATAATGACGTATGTTTTCCAAATCATTAATAAGTGATTTCTCACCTCCTGTGCTGTCTCTGTAACGCAGCTTGTTGCAGCTTGATTCCCAAGCTGTTTGCAGCGTGAGCAGTTATTACTGATACTGTCCAATATAAACTAATGTCTCACCGCCTGTGCTGTCTCTGTAATGCAGCTTGCCGCAGCTTGCTGCCCTTATCGCGGGATGCTGCGACCAGCTGCTCCCAAGCTATCTGAAGCGCATGGAGTTGTTCTGATACTTCCGCTGCACGAGCCGGGTCTGATGTCTGGAGGGACTGGCCGATCTAAGGCACAACACAAAATAAAGATATACATACACATGATAATAAAAAGTTTGGCAAATGACCCATAAGGGATGAAAAATTTTAAGTTTTAGCAACTTGACAATTTAAGGGTCAACAATAAGGAGAACATTCATAAAATCGACATGGAAAACCATCAAAAATTTACTTAATGACAAGATTTTAGGGATCCCATTCATTTTGCGTGAAAACATGCAAAAAATCTGACGATGACCGCCGTAAAAATTGCGGACTTCTTATTCAATCATAATTATGTATTTTTTTATCATCATTTTATCAAAGTTTTAGTAAAAACAATCCCACCAAAAACATTCTGTAAAAAACTAGCCAAGTCTCGGTGAAGCTGCTTGTTTATCTCNACATTACACTATCGTTATGTGCAAGTACACGTACACACACAAGTAAAGCTCACTCGCATTTGTGAGTTGCAAGAACTACAACAACCTTAGTATTATGTCGTAAAGACCAAAACATAATAAGGCCACAGTTTACCTGTAGCTCTGATCTTTCGCCGTTTTAGTTTTGTCCTGGATCCAACTCTGGAGTTCTTCTGCAGCGGCGAGGAACTAAAAATAAAAATTAATCAGTTAATTTCATTATTTTGCAATTAACGATTCATGCGCGACTGTCATGAAAAGAATTCTAATTGGAATTAGTGCACCCTATTTCGGGTCGTGTTTTGATGCTGGAGTGTATCTAAGATACTATTACGGGACTATTCCCACCTCTCGTTCCCACCACTGCAACTCCTGTGTAGCCAGGATCTACAGGTTGGCCGCCATAAAAACCCGACCAATGAAGGTCAAGTTTGTCCCGGGGGAAAGTTAAACAGTCATTGGAACCGCAACGAAATTAATCAGAAGAACATAGGAGGAGTTCGAAATTAAGGTTCGACTTTCCTCCATTTCAAAGCGGATGACAAGTGACAAACAATGGTTTAAAACCTTTAAGAAAAATACGTCTTTAGTCGTATAATAATACGGCGGTAGTTTCGCCACTGGCAATTAGCATAGTAATCTTGATTGTTTTTAAATACGAACCTGTTGATGCGCCAAGCTGGCGAGTAGCGCCCGCCTTCTATCCGCCGCAGCGTGTCGCACCGCGTCGCGTTTCTGTACGACTGCGTCTCGCCGCGCTACGATGCTGGAAGAAAAGTGTTTATTAGTATTGTCCTTCATATACATAATATACGAGCAGACTTTCTGGTCGAAATTTCTCGAGAATCGCCGAGAAATATGACCTTATAATAGAAACAATTTGTCGCTTTAGAGATATTGAAAATTGGCATACATGTTTGATTTTGCACAATGACCCCCAATAGTTGCTTAAGTGAAGCAGCAAATCGAACGCACAGCGCTGAATAGAGCTCTGTGATTGGTTCGTGTGTCGCCCTGTGCGTCCAAACGCACTGTGAGGCCTCATAGTAATGTTTGTGAAGGGCGTTAGTGAATACTCAGTGCTAGGAAAGTTAGCGCTGGAAGTGTTGGTGAATATTCACTATTCAATTAGTGTTGAGAGAGTTGTTGAGTATTCACTTGTCAGTAGAGTAATCTTGGGTTGAGTGTTGTTAAGTGCCTACTATAGTCTGGTCTGTAAGTATGTAGAATTTTGTCCAATGACCCCAAGCTACCCATCCTTATCGCTCGCGCGTAATTATATTGCTGTCGCGACTGTGCGACGGGCGCCCGCAGTGAGTGTGCGAGCGCGACAGCAACATAATTACGCGCGAGCGATAAGGATGGATAGCTTGGGGTCATTGGACATAATTCTACGTGTTCACAGACCGGGCTTTAGTCAGTTTAATAGTTTTGGTAAGTATTCCCGTAGTGTTGAAGGGTGTTCCCTTAGTGTTGGTGGGTGTTCCCTTAGTGTTGGTGGGTGTTTCCTTAGTGTTGGTGGGTGTTTCCTTAGTGTTGGTGGGTATTCCCTTAGTGTTGGTGGTGTTTCCTTAGTGTTGGTGGGTGTTCCCTTAGTGTTTGTGGGTGTTTCCTTAGTGTTGGTGGGTGTTCCCTTACTGTTGCGAGTATTACTGGGTGGCTCTTAGTGTGCGATTGGCAGTTAGTAGTGTTGTATACTCACTGGTCAGCAGCATAGTGCTGTTGTCGCTGTAAGTTGGCGGCTCTTTGCTTGAGCGCAGCCAGGCGATCGTCTTGTGCTGCTAGACGCGCCTCTAATTCTTCGTGTCTCTTGAGAAGCGCCTCTGCTTCGTCCACAGACGACTGGGAACAAGAAGTAAATACAGGGTGTTAGGTAAATGGGTATATGAGCCGACACTAGCCCATGTTAACATGGCCATATAAATGGTATGGTGAAGTCAGAAAATTGATATCTTCATTTTAATTATTTTAATTTTCATACAAATCGGATTTTATAAAATTTATTTTGTATGAAAATTTAAAAAAATTAAATGATGATATCAAATTTCTAACTTCACCATATCATTCATATGCCCATGTTAACATGGGCTAGTGTCGGCTCATATACCCATTTACCTAACACCCTGTATAAATAAATAAATATGGACATTTTACACAGGAACATCAGTCTGGAAGTGAGTAAAAAACACCGTAAAGCCGGTCGTACAGCATATTATTGTATTTGCTTGCCATTGACCTTCATCCACTTGCCTGATATAGGTCTAGCGCTATCTGTCGGGCGCTTTGATAGATGTCGCCACGGTTTACATCGTAGCTTAGTTGTGTACGTACCGTACGACGACATCGTAAAGATAGCAGGGAAGCGCTGGACGCAGGCCGCTACCAATCGATCAACGTGGAAAGCATTGGGGGAGGCCTATGTTCAGCAGTGGACGTCCTATAGCTGAGATGATGATGATGATGATGTGTACGTACCCCAGTATGACGGTAGTCGAGGCAAGCCAGGTGCGCGCCGCTGGCCGCGTCGATGTGGTCGGCCTCGCGGTTGAAACTAGCTAGTTGTACTAGCTGCTTTAGACGCGCGTCTTTCTCCGCCCAGTCTGGAGAAGAGAAGAAGAAGAATATGAGCACTTTCACATTTAGACGATTTAGTAATTAGCCGAAAATTTCATACTATGCGACAACGAATGTACCACATTATCTCGGTGAATAAATAATCTTTGAATCTTTGAATGCATGCCTTCACATTATAAAAACACCGCTGCCGCGCTGTAGTCGCGTTTCTAACGCCCTAATGTGAAAGAGCTCTATAGCCTTATTTACACAAAAAGAAAAAAATACACATTGAGCACGATGTTGTGTAATGAAACGCTCCTTCGTAATTAAAATTGCTTAAGGCGATTAGAGTCCTCAATGACCTTCACACTCCGCACAACTCCCGCGTACCCCGCACGAAAACTCCGATCACCATTGACACCGATCAAAAATACACGGGCATAGGTAGGTAAGTGATTTCTATGCACACTCGTAGTTTCCAGTCACCCCTCACGCGTTCGTCAAATAGTTTTCGAAATATTAAGTCAATCAAGTCTATAATAATGCCCTTTAGGGCAACACCATTCATACTAATCAACCAACAAGTTCTTCAAACGAGTTCTTTCTCAACCCTTCAGGGTATAATAAGTTCAAACCTATTTGGACCGTAACACAATAAAATAAGATTCAAAATATGGTCTCCCACCATATTCAGATTGTTTAATTAGTGTGCAGTTACACCATCTTACTTTGACTTTAACAAACGTCAAAAATCTGTCGAATTCCGTACAAAAAGCACCGGTTATCGCTATAGTTACAGTTAAAGTTAGGTGGTGCAACTCAGCCTTATGTTTATATCTGTTGTCTAGTACCCATAGTTAGGGTTGCCAGGCGTCCGGATAAAGCCGGACATGGTTAGGCTCTTTGCGTGTCCGGCCAAAATAACCGTTGTCCGGCTTTAGTAAAGGGTCAAACAACGACTCACGTTTCTCAACAGCCTTCTGCTCGTCGTGCAGATGGTTGATCTTGTCGGCGACGTCGGTCAGCGACGGGTTGTTGCCGACCAGCTGCTTGCCCAGACCGATCACCTCTTTGAACCTGGGGACGGATGGAACATTCGGATTAAAGCGTCGATTTAAGACACAGTAGACATAATCCCACTAAATAATTTCAAGAAAACTAAGAGCAATATGAATACAAATTATTATTGCTCGCTCGAAAAAACAAACTTCAAACTCTCATCATAACGTATAGTATTCCGTGTATAGTTCTTGCAACTCAGGAAGGCGAGTGAGCTTTACTTGTGTGTGTGTACGTGCACATGCACATAACGATAGTGTAAAGTCTATCAAAACTTTTGAAAAACGAACAGTAGCGAGTCACCACACATGTAAAGCTCACTCGCCGACGTAAATTGCAACAATTATAAAGTTTTTTAAGATCTTTACAAGCAAACCCCATAAGTATCCAGTGTGACTAGGACACATACAATCTTATCGATTTAAGACAAGCCCATGTCCTCTACTGGACAAAGGTCTGGCAATGTACTGCCTGAATTCAGGTGCTACTCGCGACCGTCATTAGATTGTGAGATCACAAACCACATAGTATTGACCATAATTTGTCGTTCAAAATCGATACAATACTACGATACGATAGTTAAGTTATCATTGTAATTTTATTGAATTGTATTCTGTGGTTGTGCCTTTAAATAAATAAATAAATAAGAAATCATCATGACACGCATCCTAGCTTTGCTGAAAAAGCAACCCACATGCATACTAATAAAGGACAACATAGAAGCTAGCAAAAGTATCATAAAGTAACTCACTCATCCTCGTGCGCCTTGATGTCATCGCCAAGCTCCTGGTGTCTCTTGTGCAGCGCTTCAGCCGTCGCCACGTCCTTGGCCGATGCTTCGGAAGACAGCTGCTCGTGCACGTTCTATAAGGAAATAGATATGAGTATCATCAGGTCTTCACTGCAGGAACAGTAGTCTCTAAAGCCCAGTCGCCGAGTACGTAGAATTTCGTCCAATGACCCCAAGCTACACATCCTTATCGCTCGCACGTAATTATGTTGCTGTCGCGCTCGCACACTCACTGCGGCCGCCCGTCGCACAGTCGCGACAGCAATATAATTACGCGCGAGCGATAAGGATGGGCTAAGCTTGGGGTCATTGGCCAAAATTCTACGTGCTCGGCGACCGGACTATAGTTATCAGGGAATAGTGGAGGATTTGGTAGACTCTCACCACGCTGATCAGATGGCTTGGAAAAAATAGCGCCATCTACGTAATACCAGATTAAATTTGTAAACAAACAAATAGCACAAATACTTATTGCCTGCAGCATCTGGCTACTTCTCCCAAAGATTTGGTATTCCACAGCGCCCAAAATGATCTCAATTAAAGTGGTGGGTGTGAAATTAAGGTGTCAAATAAATAATTTAGGTTGTGAATACGAGACTATTCCAGCCTCTCTTTCCCACATCTGCAACTCCTGTGTAGCCAGGATCTTCAGCTTGACCGCCAATAACCCAACCAGTGAAGGTCAAATTTGTCCCGGGGGAAAGTTAAACTGTCACTGAACCCGCAAGAAAATTAATCAGAAAAACATAGGAGGAGTTCGAAGTTAAGGTACGACTTCCCTCCAGTGCGAAGCGGATGAAAGTAGACAAAAGAAAGGTTAAGTAACTTTAAGAAAATATATGCACCACGGACAGTAAGTATGGGGACCTATCTTGTGAGCTATGAAGTTGTGGATGTGATAAACAATTTTTACCTGCAGCCAATCCTGCAGCATCTGGCTGCTCCTGCCAAAGATCTGGTGTCCTACAGCGCTTTATATGTCAACTACTCAAAGTTGTGTTTGTGAGAGATTTAGAAGATGGTGCCTTGATGTAACATGTTTATGGTGTCGTCAACTACCCAATTTAAAGTCTTTGTGATTGAAGATTATTACCTGCAGCCAATCCCGCAGCATCTGGCTGCTCCGTCCAAAGATTTGGTGTACCACCGCGCTCAATATGGTGTATAGTGGTGTGTGTGTGTAAAATTAAGGTGTCAAATACGCGCACTATTATTATTATTTATGTACATGTATATTTTATGCAGTATAGGTTAGTGTCCGTGACTCCCACTCGGCATGGGGCACACTGAAAACCAGCGTCGTGGCCTCCCTCACCGGGGGCCATGGCATATGCTGAGTGGGGTCCCATTGCGATGGGCATCGCTGTGCGACAGGGTGGCAGTGCTCAGTTTATGTTACCTCTGTCTTATTTGCTTTTCTTTTATTTACATCTTTTGTGTTTCTTTCTTTCTTAAATACTGTAGGAATGATAGAATGTGAATGATCATTACCTGCAGCCAATCCTGCAGCATCTGGCTGCTTCTGCCAAATATCTGGTGTCCCACGGCGCTCTCCAGCCGGGAGCGTCGCTCGGCGGCCTGCGCCTGGCACCGCTCCCATACTGCCTTGATCTCTTGCTGACGGGCTTCCACGTTCGCCCGCTCGTTGGGGTATTGGTTCTTGACGCTGTGGGAATAGAGTTGGTATTAGCATGGCGCCGGTAAGATGAGCTGGGGGTCCTTCAATAGTTTTGTAAGAATATCCTAAGTTAAGACGCTGGTTTAAATCGAGTCGCCGTTCGCACTAAGTGCTCGCGTGCGATCGTGTTTGTGTCTAGTTCGCTTGTCAATAATGTCTAAGCTCGTGATCGTACTCACTTGCTCCGGCAGAGCTGTTGTGTACTCAGTGCCCAAGAGGTTGATACTCACTGGGTGGTCAGCAAGCAAGTTGAAACTCACTCAGTGGCCAGCAAGTTGAGACAAACTCGGCGGCCAGCAGGTTGACATGAAGTAATTTCTCTCCTTTCGTCTCGTCTTCTCTACGTTTGGGTGGGAACTGGGTCTGATGGTCTGATGGTCATCGGTGGACCTGCTGTGTACTCACTCAGTGGCCAACAGTTTTTTTGACGGTGGACACCTCTCGAGTGATTCCATCTATGCTTGGCTGTCTCCAGGGCGGTGCAGGTCTAAATGCTGTGCGTTGCTGGCACCTGATGTGTACTCACTCAGTGGCCAGCAGATTGACAGTAGACACCTTCTCCCTCAGCGGCTCCAAATCCCTCTCCAGCTGTGCGTGGCGTCGCTGCAAGGCCTGCACTGTGCGCAGGTCGGAAGGCGGCGCGTTGCTGGCCGCTAGCTGATGTGTAGTCACTCAGTAGCCAGCAGTTTGACACTGACTCAGCGACCAGCAAGTTGAGACTCAATCAGTGGCCAGCAGATTGACACTCAGGTGCCAGTAGGTTGACACTCATTGGCTAGTATGTTGACACTCAGTGACCAGTAGGTAGACACTCAGTGACCAGTAGGTAGACACTCAATGACCAGTAGGTAGACACTCAGTGACCAGTAGGTAGACACTCAGTGACCAGTAGGTAGACACTCAGTGACCAGTAGGTAGACACTCAGTGACCAGTAGGTAGACACTCAGTGACCAGTAGGTTTATGCGGAAGGTGAGTTACTTGCTGTGAGCTGCTGCATAGTTATTTACTGTGCGTTACTTACTAAGAGCTGCTGTGTACTAACTCAGTAGCCAGTAGGATACTCACTCAGTGGCCAGCAAGTTGACACTCGTTCAGTGGCTAGTATGTTGACACTCAGGGGTCATTAGGTTGACACTCAGTGCCCAGCAGGATACTTACTCAGTGGCCAGCAGGTTGACAGTAGACACCTTCTCCCTCAGCGGCTCCAGCTCTCTCTCCAGCTGTGCGTGTCGCCGCTGCAAGGCCTGCACTGTGCGCAGGTCGGAAGGCGGCGCGTTGCTGGCCGCTAGCTACTGTTACCTGCTGTGCACTAACTTAGTACCTAGCAGGTTGACACTCACTTCAAGTCCAGCAGATTGGCACTCAGTGTCCAGCAGATTGACACTCACTTAGTGTCCTGTAGACTGTAGGTTGACACGCAGTAACCAGTAGGTTCACACTCAAAGGCATGTAGGTTGACACTCAGTGTCCAGTAAGATACTCACTCAGTGGCCAACAGTTTTTTTGACGGTGGAATCCTCTCGAGTGATTCCAGCTATGCGTGGCTGTCTCCAGGACGGTGCAGGTTTGAATGCTGTGCGTTAATAGCACCTGATGTGTACTCACTCAGTGGCCAGCAGGTTCACAGTAGACACCTTCTCTCTCAGCGGCTCCAACTCTCTCTCCAGCTGTGCGTGTCGCCGCTGCAAGGCCTGCACTGTGCGCAGGTCGGAAGGCGGCGCGTTGCTGGCCGCTAGCTGATGTGTAGTCACTCAGTGGCCAGCAGATTGACATTAAGTAATATACCGACAGATGACGGCAACAAACAGCTCACATCTCCTCTATTCTCGTCTCGCCTTCTCTCCGCTTCGGTGGAAATAAGGTCTGATGGATTTCTGATGAACAGCGGCCAGCAGGTTGACACTCACTTAGTGACCAGCAGGTTGATACTCACTCAGTGGCCAGCAAATTGATACTCAGTGGCCAGTAGATTGACATTCACTAAGCGGTCAGTAAATTGATACTCAGTGACCAGCAGGATTCTCACTCAGTGGCTATAGCAGATTAGTGCAGACTTACGTTACTTGCTGTGAGTGCTGTGTACTCCGTGGCCAGTAGGTTGACACAGAGTAACCAGCAGGATACTCACCCAGTGGCCAGCAAGTTGAGACTCACTCAGCGGTCAGTAAATTGACACTCAGTGCCCAGCAGGATACTTACTCAGTGGCCAGCAGGTTGACAGTAGACACCTTCTCCCTCAGCGGCTCCAACTCTCTCTCCAGCTGTGCGTGTCGTCGCTGCAAGGCCTGCACTGTGCGCAGGTCGGAAGGCGGCGCGTTGCTGGCCGCTAGCTGATGTGTAGTCACTCAGTAGCCAGCAGTTTGACACTGACTCAGCGACCAGCAAGTTGAGACTCAATCAGTGGCCAGCAGATTGACACTCAGGTGCCAGTAGGTTGACACTCATTGGCTAGTATGTTGACACTCAGTGACCAGTAGGTAGACACTCAGTGACCAGTAGGTAGACACTCAGTGACCAGTAGGTAGACACTCAGTGACCAGTAGGTAGACACTCAGTGACCAGTAGGTAGACACTCAGTGACCAGTAGGTAGACACTCAGTGACCAGTAGGTTTATGCGGAAGGTGAGTTACTTGCTGTGAGCTGCTGCATAGTTATTTACTGTGCGTTACTTACTAAGAGCTGCTGTGTACTAACTCAGTGGCCAGTAGGATACTCACTCAGTGGCCAGCAAGTTGACACTCGTTCAGTGGCTAGTATGTTGACACTCAGGGGTCATTAGGTTGACACTCAGTGCCCAGCAGGATACTTACTCAGTGGCCAGCAAGTTGACAGTAGACACCTTCTCCCTCAGCGGCTCCAACTCCCTCTCCAGCTGTGCGTGGCGTCGCTGCAAGGCCTGCACTGTGCGCAGGTCGGAAGGCGGCGCGTTGCTGGCCGCTAGCTGTTGTTCCTTCTCGGCCATCCAGTCGAGGGCCTCGTCGCAAGTCCGGCCGAAGAGTTCCACGCTGGAGACGAAAATAAAGATTAGTTACAGGTTGTTGTTAAAAATACAAAAAAAATATGGAGTCTGAGGTAGGCTAGGGCCTCATTGTCATTTTAGACAATAGCAGTTCTTTAAGCTGCTTCCCCCCTAGAAGCAGCTTTTTTGCAGCTATTAATTACGTATAAACCGATTTTACAACTCTAAAAAGACGACTCGCCTAAGAGCCACCTCCTAACCCATACTACACATCATTCTACAATCCCCACAATGAACATACCTCCCGAACTCCTAAAATTCCCATGGTTATCTTTACCTAATGTATGTAGCGGCCTGCATCCAGCGCCTTCCTGCTAACTTTGCGGTCCATCTTATGAGAGAACGTCCCACGCTGCGTTTTCCGGTCCAACTATTTTACAGCTCTATAAAGACGGCTCGTCTAAATGCCACCTAACCTACTAAATTCCTACATCATTCTACAGCCCCCACACCTAACATGAACCCTGTACTCCTAAAATTCCCAGGGTTGTCTTTACCTAAAGTCCCCGACACACAAATTACTCCCTAAGAGCGCTTTCACATTAGGACGTTAGTAGCGCGACAGCAGCGCGGCAGCGGTGTTTTTTATAATGTGAAGGCATGCATCCGCTGTCACATAGTATGAAATTTTCGGCAGCGCGTCTGTCGCGCTGCTAAATCGCCTAAATGTGACAGCGCTCTAAAGCTTAAAGCCCGGTCTGTGAGCACGTAGAATTTTGTCCAATGACCCCAAGCTACCTATCCTTATCGCTCGCGTGTAATTATGTTGCTGTCGCGCTCGCACACTCACTGCGGGCGCCCGTCGCACAGTCGCGACAAAATTGTACGTGCTCGCAGACCAGACTATAGCTCCCTAGCCTCTCTCACTCACCTGGAAGCGCCTTCCAAGCTCTTCTCCTTCTGCTGCTTGAGCCGCAGCAGCCGGTCCCACTGCTGCTTCAGCTGCTGCCTCCTGGCGGTCGCCTTGCCAGCCTGGCTGTGCTTGGCAGCCACCAGCTGTTCAGCTGCTGCGTCGATGTGTTCCAGACGCTTGGAGGCTGCTGAGAGGTCCGTGACGAATTTCTGGGTGGAGAAAAATTTACATTGTATTGTCAACTTGTAATTCAGCATCAAGAAGTGTGTGAAGCATTAGCTATACATATTTGTTTCAAAATGGCATGACATGTATGTAAAATAGCGTGTTTATTGCTGCTGTCGCATGATCTATACAAAATGGCGGCTTATCCACACCTTAGATCCTGATGATGTCCACATTTCGTACCGGGGTCTCTAGAGATACGTCATCCCTTCACCAGGCTCTTAGGTCACTAAAGAGACACGTCAGTCCCACATCCGTCACTTGGACCAATAAAGAGACACACCATCAACTAAACCGTACTTGGGTCTCTAAAGAGACTTCTCACCTCCTCTCTAAAGAAACGAATCATATCCTATCCTCAAACTAGGGTGTCTAAAGAGACAAATTATTCGTCTCTGCGTCTCTAAAGGGTCTCTAACACACACTAGGGTCGCTACCGAGACACGTCACCCCCTCATCTCGTACTTGGGTCTCTATAGAGACGCGTCATACCCTGATGTGTTACTTGAGTCTTTAGAGAGACACCTCACCCCTGCCCACACCTGGTACTTGGTAACAAAGACAGTATATCCCTTTGCCTGCTACTTGGGCTTCGAAGGAGACGCCATCCTCTCACCTGGTCTGTAAAAAGAAACAGTTTCTCCCCTCACCTCAAGCTAAAGACCCTAGTTCCTCTCACCTCGTACTTCCTCTTGGCCGTGTCCACGCTGTCGCCCGCGTCGTCAGTCCGCAGCATTCTCTCGCGCTCCTTCATCCACTTGTCGAAGTCGTCGCACTCCGCGAAGAAGCCGTACAGTTGGATGGCGTCTTCTAGTTGAGCTCGGCGAGCCTCCGAGAGTTGGAGGAGCTCCTCTGTAACAAACAAGGAGTTTATAGATCGATTCATCCACGAAGACGCGCCCCACCATTCTTCCACTAATGTTTGAGTGTTATCGGTACAAGTTAAACAATATTGACGCTCGGATTGCTCGGATCAAACTCCTTGCACCCCACGCTTCCCTCAACCAAAAATTGGTGATGAAACGATCTATCTCGAAAATCAATAGTAAATCAATTTAAACAGTGTGAAAAATAAAATTAATTGATTGTAGGCATTCATTACAGGGGACATTTTGATTACAGGGGCAGCAATAACTTTTCATAGCAAGCATGTGAATTCGCAGTCCGTCTTCGTACCACCACCCTTTTCCACAGTGTCTCACCTTTACACAACTTGGTTGTTCGTAGGCTCTCAAAAACTGAATGTACACAATCTCTCTTCTGTCTACCACCATAGTTTCCACAGTGACTCAGCTTCACAAAGGTTTATTGTTTCTCCTAAAGACTAGATCAATCCAGGTTCTTCGACCAGTGGCCGTGGTCTCGAGTTTACGCTCATTGTCCAAGCTTCTCGATCAGCTACAGCTGATCGGTATCGGGGACATCGCTTGTGCAACGGACTTCTCTGCACCTCGACCCTAGTACTAGACAAAGTCCTTAAGATTCCAATCTCACCGTAATCTTTCTTGATAGCCGCTCGCCTGTCTTCAACGGTGGGCAGACGGGCGGGGGCGGCGCGGGACGCGCGGCGGGCGTGCGGTCGCGGACGACGCACAGGCACCACCTGGGAGAAAGAAATAAAAATATAAGTCTATCCAATATAGCTTGATTAGAATGACAGCTGCCATCAAAAGTAACGACATAACTTTGTAGTAGCGATCAATGAGAGCTAAATATTGGCGGACGTGAAATAATTCACGTCTGACCTACAAACAATATTTTCGACGACAGTGCTTCCAATAAAAATTTTAATTTCGTGTAAATGCAGCGTTAAATTACACCAATAAGTAGTAATTCGAAATTATAAAAATCAAGCTAGAGTATTAACGACGTCTCTACAAGGTTATCTCGAGTTACAAAAATGTTAGTGTTGGGACATATCGACAAATGTCATATTAAATTAAAACTAATTTTTTAACATATTTATCAAAAAAAAATTCTAACTAATTTTTTAACATTATTTAAGTCAAGTTATACGTTTTTCTAAATGTTCACTATTAAAAACCAAAAAACATTTCATTCTTAAATAATCAAACATCGGAAATCAATCACCGGTAATTATTTGGGTATTCATAGCACCGTTGCTCTAGAAGAGATGCCCACCGCCCTCTAGCGAGAGGAAAAAACCACTGAAGAACACTGATGATAATGACTACGACTTAGGTTGTACACCCTTGACATGAATTTTAAATTTTACTGTCTTTAAATTTAAATCATAATTGTCATTTTTATATAAGAAAAATTGGGTGCATTTTTTAAATCATTTTTTCGAAAACTTATCGATACATCTATGTGAACCGTATCCCAGCACTAGTCACATTCGTTTGACAGCTGTCATTCTAATCAAGCTATATTGGATAGACTTATAGCAACAAAATTACAAACCAATGTCATCCAAAATCGGTTTCTATTGACAGTTCGTGGTCGTTGCTCTACAGGGTGAAAACGATAAGTGATCTCACTCGATTATTTCTAAATTAAACAAGATATCAAAAAACTAGTTACTGATCCTAAAAGTGCTTCATGAGCTCTATCAAACGGTATTAATAATAGGTTACATAATAAGCTGGATCTATCCGAAAATTCAATGTTTCCAGCTTCCATACATTTGGTAAAGTCACATTATTTTAAAAACTACACATGATATCGTAAAACTGATTACTGATTCTTAAAGTGCTTCACAAGCTCTATCCGATGGTATCAATAATAGGTTGCAGAATAAACTGGATCTATCAGAAAATTTTGTCTGGTCAGTGTGTCTGGCATTTAGTATGGAAACTGGAAACATTGAATTTTCAGATACATCCAGTTTATTCTGTAACCTATTATTGGTACCGTTTGAACGAGCTCATGAAGCACTTTCAGGATCAGTAACCAGTTTTTCAATATCTTGTACAGTTTAGAAATAATTGAGTGAGATCACTTATCGTTTCCACCCTGTAGAAAACAAAAATCATTTTAAAAATGTTGCCAAAAAGTTTCCCACTCCGTATGGGCTTTAGAACACTGAACTGTCCCTGATATGGCATTTACAGGAGGGCGCTACTATCAATACTGGGCTATTACACATCTGACTTGACGTTTCAGTTGTTGGACTATAATTTTTTTCCTCTTTTTTTTAAAGAAAGAAATTAAATGAAAAAGATTATAAGAATATATTAATGAAACTTGTGGGTAGATCCACTGCCAAAGAGTTGGGACGAGAAAGATAAAACAAAAGAAAATTACCTGCTTCACTAGGACCGTCTTCTTCACGCGCTGGACAGTACGGACTTTCTCTGGGCGGCGAACTTGCACCTGGAAAGGAATGATTTATTTTAGGATCAGATTTAGGGCTAGCTCTAATACCCAAAAAGTTTTTTAGTTCTTTATTTTTACTTTTCTCTTAGTACTCAATAGAACCAGGGTCGGACTGGGCCGGAAGGGCCCGGGTGGCTGATCGCAATCCCGAGGCCCGAGACTAGATCATGGTGATGGGATACTATCGAAAAATACTGAGNTTTTTTTCTTCCAATTACTTATTTATTTATTTATTTATTTATTTATTTACTTATTGTAAAGAAAACGTTATAACTTTTATACTAAGAGGTATATCCTGTAAAAACAGTAATAATGCTAAATAACAGACGATGCTAAAAAAAATACATAAAATACTCAGAAAATGCCAACAAATAATAAAAAACGATAATTTTTGAAAAAATCTGCCTTTAAATTCGTGTTTTTTTTTGTTATTTGATAATTTTCTCCAAAAATGCCCCTATAACAGGTGGTTTTTATTACTTTGTATTATTCTCTATCGTATTACCTTTGTAAAACCAAAAATCGCTTGTCTCTATCCCTATCACAACATTTGCTATGATCGTTTGAACTAAGCCTCTCCGGGCGCGCCATTCAACGCTTCGTTAACAACGAAACTGAAAATGGCTCTAGATTTGTAATTTTGATAAAGACAAGTTAGATTTCAAATAAAAACCAAAGATTTCGAAGTAAAATAAGCATTTTAGCTAAAATTAAAATTGTCCCTACCTGTAGCGGAGAATAATGTTGTGGTAGGCCTTTGTTCAAACTATCATAGAATATGTTTTGATTTTTGGTTTGACAAAGGTAATACGATAGAGAATAATACAAAGCAATAAAAACCACCTGTTATAGGGGGATTTATTGGAAAAAAATATCAAATAACAAAAAAAAACACGAATTTATAAGCAGATTTTTTTCAAAAAGTATCATTTTTTATTATTTGATGGCATTTTCTGAGTATTTTTTGGTATCGTCTGTTATTTAGCATTATTACTGTTTTTACAGGATATACCTCTTAGTATAAATTTACATATTGAAATTGATATTATAAATTATCTGTATTGTATAACTTGTTGGCGCGTTGGACTTTCTGTAAGCCTTCAAGCAGATTATAAATAAATAAATAAAATAAAATAAATAAATAAAAGTTATTACGTTTTCTTTACAATAAGTAATTGGAAGAAAAAAAATCTATAATTTAAAAAAATAAACTCTAAAAACTTTTGACCTCTTATTGTCGATAAAAATAGATCTAGTTTCACCTAATTTCATATGTGAACTTTATCGTGACTCCCGTTTTATTTTCTCACAAGTTTTATTTTGCTTTTTTTTATGTATTAACATAAAAACCACTTTTCATGCAAATAAACTGATTTGATTTGATTTGATTTAAAAAAAAGCAAAATAAAACTCCCGTCATTTTCCGGCAATTTTCCGAGTATTGCATAATTTATTAGAGGACGCAATTTTATTTTTGGGACATGTGTGGGTCAATGTGGTCAATAGAAGCTTAACCTCAAGTTTTTGGGGTCGCCACTCTTGTCCCCCAACCGCCATCATCTTGAAAAAAAGGGGTGAAAACACTTTTGTAAGTCTTACAAAAATTCGCTATTGCATAATTTGTAGCAAATTGTTTTGCCTACAAATAATATGTTACATAACTTTTTGTCCTAAATTAAAAATTAGAGAAGTTATACATAAGCAAAAAGGTTTTTTTTATTTTAGGCTTATAACTTCTTTAATCTTTAATTTTAGGCAAAAAGTTATACTAACATATTTGTAGGCAAAGCAATTTTCTACAAATTATGACTGTACAATTTTTTTGTACGACGCATAGTTTCTGAGACATGCACGCGGGCAATCCTAGCACAGGGGCCACGCTGCGCGGGCCCAGGCCCCTCTTTCCCACTGGGCACTTTAGGCACGTGCCCAGGGCCCTGCGACCGAGGGGTCTTATTAATGTCTCTGTTGGCTACCATTTGTAGGTATATTTATCTTAAAAAAATAACAATAATAATATTATAAATTTCAAAATATGTATTTAAAGAGTCAAAAAATCCCTAAAAATACCCCTAAAAATTTTAGACCCCTAAAATTTTTATCCCATCTCACTTATTTACCCCGTAAATCTGGGGGGAAAACCCCTAAGTTGGCAACACTGGGGGCCCCCGTCTACTCAAAATACCTTTCTTCAGATGATATGGGCCCCCTTGATCTTTAAGTGCCCAGGGCCCCTAATAGGTTAAAGACGGCCCTGCGCGGGCCCTCTGTGCTACGGTTGCCGCATGCCCCGCAACCCAGGCCCGTGGGGGGCCCGCGCAGGCTGGGGCCCGGCTGGCAAATGCCACCCCGACTGTATGGCCAGTCCGACGCTGAATAGAACTGCTCTTGCGAGTAGACAATACTATGTGCGTTGTTCATTCCTTTACAACAAAATAAACAAAATCCTTGATATTTACACTTACCCACGTAACAAATTCAAAATTACATTGAAAAATTGGTTGCAAGATCTCACATTTCACGAAACAGAGAATCTCATAAAGTCGCCATAATTGATTGCAGTTATAGAGAGAAAATTGAGTGGTTGTCTATCTTTTACAGATAAAACCGATCCCAAGATCTACATCGCAGGGCTCTTTCTTTCTTTCTTTCCTTCTTTCTCTCTTACACACTCACTTGTTTTAATATGCACTGCACACGTACGTACAATTTCAAATACATATTCTACTCTCTCTTACACACACTCGACACACACACACACACACACACACACACACACACACACGACACTCACACACTCACAAGTAGGTACCTATTTACCAAAAGCTATAGTACTTAATTAAAATTATGTTTGGCATCATCAACTAAATTACAACTGTGAAATTAAATTGGTGGAAGAATTAGCGTCTGTCACACAGTTTAAATGTAACTAGTATAGACGTTAATGATCCCTATCTTAATACAGCTCCTATTGTTAAATGTAATTTTTTCGTTAAGATACCATGTGCATTGTTAAAGACAGAATAAAGTTATTTATAAAGTTATAAAAGTTATAAATGTTGTAGGTATGTTCTTAGAGTAGTTTTTCATATTTTTTATACATCAATCTGTCTCCCTCCACCCCATAATTACAAACGTAACATTCTTAACGCCATCACCAATCGCTCTCACTTACCGGCACAACCCTCGGCTCGATCTCTCGCACATAATTAGCGGGGACAAAGCCATCGGTCCTGTCAGCTTTCCGCACCGACCACCAGTCCGGATTGGTCTTGTTGATGAGGAACATCACCTCGCCCTTTTGCATTGATATGCCTTGCCCGGTAAACGCGTAGAGGGCCTTGACCTGGACGAATTAAATAGAATATATTAAATCAGGGATTACTTAGGTTAATTTTACTATGACGCCATGGAGAATTTGTCAAAGGGGTTCCGGTGAAAACTAGAGGTGGTTTTTAACTCGTCTAAGATCTAGAAGCTATCGTCTGGGCCTGTTTAACGTTTACTGACTGGTTTTAGCGGCCGAGCTGTAGATGTTAACTGTACAGGCGTAGCATGGTGGAAACTATAGTTGGATGGTGGAAAACCTCGGTTTGGACTGGCCATGAATCCTTCCAGCAGCGCTTACTTCAATACGCTGTTTACGTAACGTGGTTTTGAAGTTATCTGTTACGGTCATCGTGGAACATGATGTCATTCATGGCAGCATCTCACTTTGCGTGAGAAAGATGGAAACATTCTAAACTTCTGATTACGTTCTAGGGACCTCATAGATACTCTCGGGTCTATCTATCACCTTCGTTCGTGCCAGCATCACGCTTTACGGAAGAGGGACAGATAGTATACCTCTCAATCACAGATGCTCTTGGGTCTATCTGTCACTGTCGCTCATGTCGGCATTCCGGTATGTGCGAGAGGGATGGAAACATACTATACTAAACTGTATTATTCTTACCACCTGTATCAATCATGTGACAAGTAAATAAATAAATGAATAAATAAATCAAAATACCTGCGGCACGCTGCGCTCCTCGGTGACGGTGCGATGTTCCAGTCTCTCCACGGGCTCTTCCTCCCAGACTTCTGTCGGCACCAGCCGGGATTCCTTTTATATCTGTCACCGTCACTCATACCATCATCATGCTTTGCTTGAGAGGGATGGAAACATTGGATGGCGCTTCAGTCGCAAATGCTGCCGGGTAGTGACAGCTATTTGTCATTGTCACTCATACCAGTCTCCCGCCTTGTACGAGAGGGATAGAAACCTACCGGCGGCACGCTGCGATAGTCTCACAATCATAGATGCTTTTGGATCTACCTGTCTCTGTTACTCACGCCGCCATCCTGCTTTGAATGAAAGGGATAGAAACATACCTGCGGCACGCTTCGCTCCTCGGTGACGGTGCGGTGTTCCAGTCTCTCCACGGGCTCTTCCTCCCAGACTTCTGTCGGCACCAGCCGGGATTCTATCTGTCACTGTCACTCATGCTGACATCTGACTTTGCATGAAAGGGATAGAAACATACCTGCGGCACGCTATGCTGCTCGGTGACGGTGCGATGCTCCAATCTCTCCACGGGCTCTTCTTCCCACACTTCGGTGGGTACCAGCTGAGAGACTATCTGTCACTATTGCTCATGCCGGCCTCCCGCTTAGTGCGAGAAAGATGGATAGTCTACCTGTGGTACGCTGCGATAGCCACCATCTATCTGTCACCGTCACTCATACCAACATTTTACTTCGCGTGAGAGGGATAGAAACATACCTGCGGCACGCTTCGCTCCTCGGTGACGGTGCGGTGTTCCAATCTTTCCACGGGCTCTTCCTCCCAGACTTCTGTCGGCACCAGCCGGGATTCCTTGACCCATTCTTCTTCTTCTAAAGCCGCTGCGGACTCGACTTCTGTGGGGAGCTGGGGACAGAATACTAAATTTGAGGGTCATTATCGTAATTGGAATATTATGTTAAAGAAAGAAGGACAATAGGCCTGCCAGCGGTAGAAAGAAAGGAAGTAGATTTCTGATTTTTTTAACAGTTCCTTTGATTAGCTTAATGCGCTGACAGACCAGAGAAACAATATCAATCAACAATATAAAAACCAAAATCACTAGGTATTTGAAAATTAACATCATATTAGCGTCACGCGTGAAATGTTTCTCTATTATTCAAATTCAAATCCAAATATTTCATTCAGTACATAGGCCCTTTCCAAGGCACTTATAAACGTCCCAAATATAGCTTGCCCTACCACAATTCGGGAAAACATAATATGGGCAGGTGCTGAGAAGAAGTGGCGGAAGAAACTCAGTCACGTTTGTTTTATTTATTTCCGAGATTTTTCATTCTATCTGCTGTAACGTATGTATCAGTCTAGCCTCTGGTCTAACAATCAGCCTCTCAGCATTATCTTCCAAGGCTTTTACTCGACTTACAGCGATGCAGCGCCATCTATCAAGCCAGTAAAGCTTGCTTCTAATTTACTTTCGACTACCCTACAGATATCCTACCTGTAGCGTATGTATCCCTCTAGCAGTCAATCTTTCAGCATTAGCTTCCAAGGCTGCTAGCTCAGCGGCGTGAGCTCTGAGCTCGTCATGTAGCGCCCTCTACCGACCTAGTAGCTACACTAGTAACTAACAAGCAAGCACTAGCTTGCTTCTACCTTACTACTATCTTACTTCATCATCATCATCATAATTTCAGCCATAGGACGTCCACTGCTGAACATTGGCCTCCCCCAATGATTTCCACAATGGCCAGTTGGTGGCGGCCTGCATCCAGCGCCTACCTGCTACCTTTATGATGTCGTCGGTCCTTCTTGTGGGTGGACGTCCCACGCTGCGTTTTCCTGTACGTAGCCTCCACTCCTTGCTGCCTTATAGGCCATCGGTTCTGCGTACTTTATGCTCTGTCCTATCTCACCTGTAGCGTATGTATCCCTCTAGCGGTTAATCTCTCAGCATTCGCTTCCAAGGCTGCTAGCTCAGCCGCGTGAGCTCTGAGCTCGTCATGCAACGCCCTCTACCAGACCAGTAGTCACTAATGCTTGCTTCTAGTTCCATTCTACTATCATACAGTAGCAGCTACTTCTTTTATCCTATCCTAACTGTAGCGTGTTCTTCGCTCCTAATCTCACCTGTAGCGTATCTATCTGTAGCGTATCTTACCTGTAGCGTATGTATCCCTCTAGCGGTCAATCTCTCAGCATTAGCTTCCAAGGTTGCTAGCTCAGCCGCGTGAGCTCTGAGCTCGTCATGCAGCGCCCTCTACCAGACCAGTAACCACTAATGCTTGCTTCTAGTTCCATTCTACTATGATACAGTAGCAGCTACTTCTTTTATCCTATCCTAACTGTAGCGCGTTCCTCTCTTCTATCTCACCTGTAGCGTATCTATCTGTAGCGTATCTTACCTGTAACGTATGTATCCCTCTAGCGGTCAATCGCTCAGCATTCGCTTCCAATGCTGCTAGCTCAGCCGCGTGAGCTCTGAGCTCGTCATGCAGCGCCCTCTATCGACCTAGCTACACTAGTAACTAACAAGCATGCAGTAGCTTGCTTCCTTACTACTATCTTTATTCATCATCAACATCATAATTTCAGCCATAGGACGTCCACTGCTGAACATAGGCCTCCCCCAACGATTTCCACAATGGCCAGCTGGTGGCGGCCTGCATCCAGCGCCTACCTGCTACCTTTATGATGTCGTCGGTCCTTCTTGTGGGTGGACGTCCCACGCTGCGTTTTCCTGTACGTAGCCTCCACTCCTTGCTGCCTTATAGGCCATCGGTTCTGCGTACTTTATGCTCTGTCCTATCTCACCTGTAGCGTATGTATTCCTCTAGCGGTCAATCTCTCAGCATTCGCTTCCAAGGCTGCTAGCTCAGCCGCGTGAGCTCTGAGCTCGTCATGCAGCGCCCTCTGGCGAGCTAACAAGGCAGCGGCTTCGTGAGCGTCGCGGCCGCAGTCTTCAGTCGCAACCAGCGCTCGTTTCTCCTTCATCCAGGATTCAGCTTCGTTGGCGTCGCCGTAGAACTGTGAACGAAACAAATGTTGAGTATTTAGCATTTGCGATTTGTATTTTGGGTCACTGGTGACTCTTGTAGTTACTAAAATGACAGTAAGATACGAAGAAAGTATTAATTTTATACAAAAACACAAATCATGTTGAAATCACAAGAGAACGGGAGAGGTTTTTCTCTCTCTTCTCTCGGATGTCATGAAAGGCCACTAATGCACTTTTTATGCAGAACAAAGCTGCCAAAAATATGCGAACATCAGGCCTTTCCATTTCTCCAACACGCCTTATCAACGTAGGGGGTGTAGTCATATCTTCAATTTGCCTCTAGTAGAAGCAAATTAAAGTGAGAGATCGTTCCCTGCAGTGAAAGACATGACCTGATGATGATGTGGAGATATGACCAAGTGTCTTACCTGGTGCGCCTCGGCGGCGTCTGCGAGCTGTTTTTTTTATCCACAACGAGGAAGCTCTTTGCCTGTATCTCACCTGAAGGTAAGTGACGATCAGGCCGAAGGTGGAAGCTAGCTTCACCCGGAATCCTCAACCACGGAGTAACTGGCTATCTTACCTCTAACTGCCGGAACACAACAATGCTGTTAACATTGTTGTTATGGCGACAGACTTAGGTAAGATGGTGGTAGCTAGTCAGGCGGACTTAGAACAAGCCCTACCACCAACCAAACCGAACAGAAAAATCTGCCACCACTGGAATCGAACCGGGACCTCTGCGTCTGAAGCAGGTGCTCTTACCACCCGACCACAGAGGCGGTTGAGACCAAGTGTCTCACCTGGTGCGCCTCGGCCGCGTCTGCCAGCTGCTTGTCGCGCGCGTCATCCAGTTCCTTGAGCGTTGCCCACTGCTGCTGCAGCGAGGACAGCCGGCGCTCGATCTCGGCGCTCTTGGGGTGCTTGGCGTCGATCAGGCTAGTAGAAACAACAATGGGTACATAAATAACCGGTAATGGGTGCTTGGCATCGATTAAACTAGTGGGAACAACAATGATACATAAAAATCATCAATCAATCAATGATACATAAAAACATCTTTTGTACTAGCGTTGCTGTGGCGAGGAGAAAACTAGGCGACCGTTTTTTTAAGGACAGCTAAATTGTTTTTCTGTTTGGCAATGTTTTCCAATACTTTTTATTTAAGTATATTATAGTAGTGTAGTACGTAGTATGTAGTAAACCTGGTGCAAAGGCTCACAATTTTTTTTAAATTATTTTTACCTGTGGGAACTTATAAGTGGTTTATTTATTTATTTATTTATTTATTTAGGAAAACCAGGGTTTTACAGTGTGTAATAATGACATAAGATAGGCAACGAGTAAACCACTTATAGGATCCCACAGGTAAAAATTTGCCTATCTTATGTCATTATTACACACTGTAAAACCCTGGTTTTCCTAATTAAATAAATAAATAAAAATAAAAAACCAGTAAGGTAGTCGTTATAGGTCGCGCAGCGAGAGTTGCGACGATCAACACATGCAAAGATTTGTATTCGCGCTGAACGGACAAGGCAAGCAAAGATTTGTATCGGTATACGCTCGCTGCGCTCTTGCGAAGTCTGACGGATAAGTGCTTTCTGTCTCGCCTTCACACATTTAGCAAGAGCGAGGTAGCTAGTCTATTCGATATTTGAACTTGAATGTGTAATGTGTTGTGGTCAAATATTACATAAATGAGAATAATATTGTATTCGCCTAAACTTTCGCTGCGCGACTTATGATAGATTGATCATTGCGTCATACGAGTATGTATTTCGTGTCATATTTTAGATAAAGCACGGATGCTTTGGATTCTGTGAATGCCCCATGAATGGGACACACGGTTTTCATGCTCCTATGAAGAAAATATTCATATGCTTGTCGTCCTTACAATTATTTCTCAGTTGCTGCGAACGAAGTGAGTCGTTTTTGTATTCCCCTCCCATGTCACTTCCATATTTATTTCAGGTTCACCTCTGACTTTTGGAAACAAAATCTAAGACTTGGTTTGGGCTGGTTATTTCTAGTTCTCGACAATGAGGGCTATCGTTTTAGAGCTCACCAGTTAGCGCCACTGTAGAGTAAGGTCCTGTCACTTGCTAGTAGCGAAGACAGTGGCACCAACCGGTGAGCGCGAAAGTGGTAGGAGGACTATCGCATTTGCACTCATCAAGATGGCGCCACTGTAGAGTAAGATCCTGTCAATCGCCAGGGGTGCCAACTGCTAAGTATAAAAACGATAGCCCTCATTACCTCTGTCCCTTGGCGCGGTGTCTCTGCGCCACGTGGTCTCTCGCCCTGAGCTCGTGACGTAACGCCGCGTGTTTGTGTCGCAGCGCGAGCACTGCGCGCAAATCCTTCGCTGCGACGTCCGCGCGGCAGATGCGCTGCTTCTCTGTCACCCAGCCTGTTATAATGAAAAAAAAAAAAGTTAACTACCTGTTCGCATAAGAAGGCTCAAGGTCACCCAAAGAGCGATGGAGCGTGCTATGCTCGGAGTTTCCCTGCGTGATCGAATCAGAAATGAGGAGATCCGTAGGAGAACCAGAGTGACTGACATAGCCCGCAGAATCGCTAAAATCAAGTGGCAGTGGGCGGGGCACATAGCTCGAAGAGCCGATGGCCGCTGGGGCAGGAAAGTTCTTGAGTGGCGACCACGAGCTGGAAGACGTAGCGTGGGCAGGCCTCCCACTAGGTGGACCGACGATCTGGTGAAGGTCGCGGGAAGTACCTGGATGCAAGCGGCGCAGGACCGGTCTTTGTGGAAATCCTTGGGGGAGGCCTTTGTCCAGCAGTGGACGTCTTTCGGCTGAAACGACGACGACCTGTTCGCACTAACTTTGCCGGTTCGTGGAATGCGCGTTCCCTCCCCCAACCGCGATTAAACGCAATTAAGTGTAAAAAATATTTAAAAAAAAAGTTTGCTATAGTTATAGACGCTTTCCTTCGAGTGAAGTCATATCGCCAGTGGCAAACTTATCGCGAACGGATAGTAACTATGGATCATGTGAATAAATAAATAAAATAAAATAAAAAATACTTGACAAGCATCTCAGATTAAAATCTATTGAAATTAAAATTAAAACTTGAATAAATTCGTTATAAATCTAAATTAATATCAATTAAAATTTCAAATGCAGTCAAAAATTCAAATCGAACTAAAACAAATTTTAAATCAAGTCACATTTGTATTCAAATCAAAATTTTGATTTAATTTGAGACAATTAAAAATTCTAATCAAACACTTTGTTTGATTAGAATTAAAAAGACGCGCCCCACCAATGTTTGGTCTGGGGAAGCGCAGGGTGCGGGGAGTTTGATCCGAGCACTCATAGATAATTTTAGTGCTTACCGATAACACTCAAACATTAGCGGAAGAATAGTGGGGCGCGTCTTCACTCCTCGTGGATGGTACGATCTATGTATATTCAAATCAATTTTTATGTACATACGTTTGCCAGCACAAACTGCTGGAGAAAAATACTTGTCAATTTGTTTTTTTGACACTCATTTAGCAAGGTTTATGTGGACCAGAATCAACTGCTGTTTGCTGGACGCATATAAAATAAATAAACCTTACCTTCTTCCTCGTCATGGTCTTCCAAGAACTGGTACAGGTTTCTCGCGTCCTCAAGCCTGGCCTTGCGGTCCTTGGCTGCGGCCACCAGACTGTAAATTAAGGTACATATTAGTATGACCTTTCTAATCTCTATGGAAACGGTAATGACGCTTTGTTACCAAAAGTAGAACATTCGTGCTTTTGAGTTACCAAAAGGAGAACATTCGTGCTTTGAGTTATCAAAAGTAGAACATTCGTGCTTTTGAGTTACCAAAAGAAGAACATTCGTGCTTTTGAGTTACCAAAAGAAGAACATTCGTGCTTTTGAGTTACCAAAAGAACATTCGTGCTTTTGAGTTACCAAAAGAAGAACATTCGTGCTTTTGAGTTACCAAAAGAAGAACATTCGTGCTTTTGAGTTACCAAAAGTAAAACATTCGTGCTTTTGAGTTACCAAAAGTAAAACATTCGTGCTTTTGAGTTACCAAAAGAAGAACATTCGTGCTTTTGAGTTACCAAAAGTAGAACATTCGTAAAACCCATCGAAAGCATCTTACAAGCAGCTGTCGCTGCAAATTTCCAGCTGTTCGGCGCAAATTTCCAGCTGTTCCCAGCGTCAGTCCCCTGTCCAGAGCGTCAGTCAGCTGTCCAGCGATTAGACACCTTGTGCTCCTAGTGTCAGTCACCTGTCCGGCATCTAAACACCCTGGCCTCCTAGCGTCACCTGTCCAGCGCGTCAGTCCCCTGTCCGCTAGTCCCCTGTGGCGCGTCAGTCCCCTGTGGCGCGTCAGTCCCCTGTGGCACGTCAGTTCCCTGTGGCACATCAGTCCCCTGTGGTGCGTCAGTATCCTGTGGCGCGTCAGTTTCCTGTCCGTCAGTCCCATGTGGCGCGTCAGTCCCCTGTCCGCCAGTCCCCTGTGGCGCGTCAGTGCCCTGCCCGCCAGTACCTGTCCAGTCAGTCCCCTGCCCGCCAGTCCCCTGTCCAGCGCGTCAGTCCCCTGTCCAGTCCCCTGTCCAGCGCGTCAGTCCCCTGTCCACTGTCAGTCCCCTGTCCAGCGTTAGTCCCCTGTCCACTGTCCAGCGTCAGTCCCCGCCAGTCCCCTGTCCAGCGCGTCAGTCCCCTGTGTCGCGTCAGTCCAGTGTCCAGCGCGTCAATCCCCTGTCCAGCATCTAAACACCCTGGGCTCTTAGTGGCGTCACCTGTCCAGCGCGTCCTCGAGCGCCCGCAGCTGGCGCGCGAGCTGGGCCCGCGGCGGCTGCGGGCCGTCGGCGGCGGCGCCCTGCCGGACCAGGCGGCGGATGCCCTCGTCGACGGCGCCTAGTTGGAGCTCTTGTAACGCGTGCGCTTGCAACAGGCGCTCCACGTCCACCAGGTCAGGCACCTGTCAGTCTAGTGTAGGTCACTGTGTAGGTCAGTCCTGTCCAGCATCTAGACACCTTAGGATCCTAGCGTCAGTCACCTGTCTAGAGTCTAGACACCTTGGGCTCCTGGCGTCAGTCACCTGTCCAGCGTCTAGCCTAGCTATGTACCATTCAGTGTTTCCCAGCTGCTTTGTACTGACTACAGAATAGATAACTGATATAAGTAAATATAGGTGGTCGTTTGTTTCAGCCAGTCATTTGGCATTTAGACAAAAGCTCCCCTAAGGATTTCCACAACGTGTTCCTAAAACAGAGGACCTAGCTAGTAATGTCCGTTTTCACCATCGATCCCTAATTTTTAAGTGACCCCTATGGTAACACATGACAGGAATTTTGTTTTCATAGGGGTCTCTTAAAATTACTATCAATTAGGGATTGATAGTGAAGACTGGCATTAAGTGACCTGTCCAGCGTCAGTCACCTGTCCAGAGCGCCACCTGTCCGGCGTCTGAGACACCCTGGGCTCCCAGCGTCAGTCCCCTGTCCAGCGCATCAGTCCTCGCCAGTCCCCTGTCCAGCGCGTCAGTCCCCGTCAGTCACCCGTCCATCGCGTCAGTCCCTGTCCACTGTCCAGCGTCAGTCCCTGTGGCGCGTTAGTCCCCTGACCAGTGTCAGTCCCTGTCCAATGTCAGTCACCTGTCCAGCGCGTCAGTCCCCTGTCCACTATCTAGCGTCAGTCCCCTGTCCACTGTCCAGCGTCAGTCCCCTGTCCTTAGACACCTTGGGCTCCTAGGTCAGTCCCCTGTCCAGCGCGTCAGTCCCCTGTCGTCACCTGTCCAGCGCGTCCTCCAGCGCCCGCAGCTGGCGCGCGAGCTGGGCCCGCGGCGGCTGCGGGCCGTCGGCGGCGGCGCCCTGCCGGACCAGGCGGCGGATGCCCTCGTCGACGGCGCCTAGTTGGAGCTCTTGTAACGCGTGCGCTTGCAGCAGACGCTCCACGTCCACCAGGTCAGGCAGCTGTCAGTCTGTAGTGTAGGTCACTCCTGTCTAGAGCGTCAGTCACCTGTCGAGCGTCAGTCATCTGTCCAGCGTCTATACACCCTGGGCTCGCATCGTCAGTCACTAGCTAGACACCTTGGGCTCCTAGGTCAGTCACCTGTCCGTCATCTAGATACCTTGGGCTCCTAGCGTCAGTCACCTGTACAGAGCGTCAGTCACCTGTACAGAGCGTCAGTCACCTGTCTAGATCGCCAGTCACCTGTGTCGTTTCTTCTAAGAAGACACGCCTCACCCCTTTTTGGTCGAAAGAAGCGCGGGGTGCGGGAAGTTTGATCCGAGCAATCCGAGCGGCATTAGTGTGTGATAACAGCGTTGCAATTAAGCGACCTATATCATAGGGGTCACTTAAAAACTAGGGATTGATAAAAACTGGCATTAAGTGACCTGTCCAGCGCGTCTTTCAGTATCCTCTGTCCAGCACCAGTCTCTTGTCTAGCGTCAGTCAGCTGTCCAGCGTCAGTCACCTGTCCAGCATGTCAGTCACCTGTCCGGAGCCTGTTCAAATCGTCAGTCACCTGTCCAGCATCAAAACATCTTGGTCTCCTAGAGCCCGTCCAAAGCGTCACTTGTCCAGCATGTCAGTCACCTGTCCAGCATGTCAGTCCCCTGTCGTCACCTGTCCAGCGCGTCCTCGAGCGCCCGCAGCTGGCGCGCGAGCTGGGCCCGCGGCGGCTGCGGGCCGTCGGCGGCGGCGCCCTGCCGGACCAGGCGGCGGATGCCCTCGTCGACGGCGCCTAGTTGGAGCTCTTGTAACGCGTGCGCTTGCAACAGGCGCTCCACGTCCACCAGGTCGGGCAGCTGTCAGTCTAGTGTAGGTTACTGTGTAGGTCAGTCCTGTCCAGAGCGTCAGTCACTTGTCCAGCGTCAGTCATCTGTCTAGTGTCTAGACACCTTGGGCTCCTAAGTCAGTCACCTGTCCGTCATCTAGATACCTTGGGCTCGTAGCGTCTAGACTCCTTGGGCTCGTAGCGTCTAGACACCTTGGGCTTCTAGCGTCTAGACACCTTGGGCTCGTAGCGTCTAGACACCTTGGGCTTCTAGCGTCTAGACACCTTGGGCTCCTAGCGTCTAGACACCTTGGGCTCGTAGCGTCTAGACACCTTGGGCTTCTAGCGTCTAGACACCCTGGGCTCGTAGCGTCTAGACACCTTGCTCCTAGCGTCTAGACACCTTGGGCTCCTAACGTTAGTCACCTGACCAGCATCCAGGACACTTCTGTGTCAGTCACCTGTCCGTCATCTAGACACCTTGGTCTCCTAGAGCCTGTCCATCATGTCAGTCCCCTGTCCAGCGCGTCAGTCCCCTGTCGTCACCTGTCCAGCGCGTCCTCGAGCGCCCGCAGCTGGCGCGCGAGCTGGGCCCGCGGCGGCTGCGGGCCGTCGGCGGCGGCGCCCTGCCGGACCAGGCGGCGGATGCCCTCGTCGACGGCGCCTAGTTGGAGCTCTTGTAGCGCGTGCGCTTGCAACAGGCGCTCCACGTCCACCAGGTCAGTCCTTGTCCAGCATCTAGACACCTTGGGCTACTAGCGTCAGTCACCTTGACACCTTGGGCTCCGTCTAGACACCCTGGGCTCCTAGTGTCAGTCACCAGTCCAGCGCGTCAGTCACTCGAAGCGTCAGCCACCTGTCTAGAACGCCAGTCACCTGTGTCGTTTCTTCTAAGAAGACACGCCTCACCCCTTTTTGGTTTCGGGGAGTTTAATCCGAGCGTCACTAAAGAAGTGTGTGATAATAGCGTTGCAATTAAGCGACCTATATCATAGGGATCACTTAAAAATTAGGGATTGACGGTGAAAACTGGCATTAAGTCACTTGTCCAGCGTCTAGACACCTTATGCTCCTAACGTCAGTCACCTGTCCAGAGCGTCAGTCACCTGTGTCGTTTCATGTACGAAGACGCGCCCCACCACTTTTTAGTCATTTTAGTTTCTGTGATCTGTGTGTGTTACCATAGGGGTCACTTAAAAACTAGGGATTGATGAAAACTGGCATTAAGTGACCTGTCCAGCACCAGTCTCTTGTCCAGCGTCAGTCAGCTGTCCGTCATCTAGACACCTTGGGCTCCTGGCGTCAGTGACCTGTCCGGAGCCTGTTCAAATCGTCAGTCACCTGTCCAGCGCGTCCTCGAGCGCCCGCAGCTGGCGCGCGAGCTGGGCCCGCGGCGGCTGCGGGCCGTCGGCGGCGGCGCCCTGCCGGACCAGGCGGCGGATGCCCTCGTCGACGGCGCCTAGTTGGAGCTCTTGTAACGCGTGCGCTTGCAACAGGCGCTCCACGTCCACCAGGTGCCGGCCTACTTCTTCGGATTGGAACTGGGCCTGAGGATTAGAAAGAGAAACAGGTTAGCGCATACAGATTGAATATACAGGGTGGAATTTTGTAATGCCACCTGGAAGGAAAGTACTCTTAATATTGTAGATAGAATTTGTTTCTCAAAGAAAACATTCCTTTATTTTTTAAAAGAAATAGAACTGCATACAAAGTTTTCAAAAAATTTGCTTGTCAAACCCGGGAATAGAACCAACTAAAATCTGTCAAAAATTACACCCTGTATTTTTATTACATCGATCGTTAGGGTTAAGTATAAGGATGAAATCTCTCTAAAATACTTGATAAATCTAATGAAAGGATAACCACAAAATCTTAAATTATTTTAATTATGTTACAGAAAATTGTATGGTATGGTAGTGAATTTTCGAAAAATTTACGAAAATCTTTGAATGCAGTTCTCTTTCTTTTAAAAAATAAAGGAATGTTTTCTTTCAGTAAAATTTTCTATCTACAGTATTAAGAGTACTTTCCCTCCAGATGGCATTTCAAAATTCCACCCTGTATAGGGTGTCCCAAAATGTTAACGTGACACTGACACCAGAGTTGAATGAGCTTAAGACGCATCTAAGAAGTGGGATCGTAACCTAGATTAATTGGTTAAAATCTGGTCTTTTTTTCTGTCGGCAAGCTTATTTTCTTTGAATGCTGTATTTGCCTGTAAAGGCATATCTTTTAGATTATACATGTAAATTGATATGTTGTTGGTAAATCTTAAACAATAAATAAATAAACCGTATCAACTCGAGGCGAACAGTATTCTTGGTATGAAACTCAATACTACAACGCACACTTATGTGCATAATCCGCGTAACGTAAACGCCTCGCCTCGCGGATGACAGCACGCTAAAGGCGATGATAGCTTGCGAAAGGCGATATGGTGTTGATCTCTTTCCGAGTTAATAAATAAGTAAATAAATCTTTTGGACAATTTCACAGCTAGCAAATTTTGCAGCTAGCCCCAAAGTAAGCAACTCAATGCTTGTGTTATGGGTGCTAGCTTAACGGATATACTACTTATTTTTTTTAAATTAAATACATACATATTATACATATTTACACCCAGACCCGTCACAGAAATTAAAATTCATCATTTCAATTTCTGCCCGGCCGGGAATCGAACCCGGGACCTCTCGGCATAGTAGTCCGTTCTGAACCACAACACCAAACGGCCGACAAAATTAATAAGTCTGCTATATCCTTAACTCAGCATTACTCATACTACAGTTCCAGATGTATTCTCAAGCATTGTAGAACAGTTTAGAGCTGGGTGGAGGTTCACAACACCATTATAGATATGAAACCACAACTACGTCGTGACGTCACATCTACGCTCTGGTACGGACGGGGCAAACGCGGGGAGGTGTGTGAGTGCGAGGGAGAGTCGCATTGCAGTGAGTTGCGCAGTTACTCGATCTGGTTGTATTTGGTACCTATGTTATGCAAATAAACGTTTTATCTATCTATCTATCTATCTATGTCTTCCCAGTTTCACTTAACAGCGCCATAAGGTAAGCCAACTTAACCAGCTGGCTTCTGTTTCTCCAGCAGTTCAAGCAGTTCCCTCCAGCGCTGTAAGACAGCTGATTCTACGTAGGATGGTATTAACTCACCTTCATCTCCTGCAAAGTCTGTCCAATGGTGTCTGCTTCTCTTAAGAGCGCCGTGAGGTGAGCCAACTTGGCCAGCTGGCTCCTGTGCTTCTCCAGAAGTTCCAGGAGTTCCCTCCAGCGCTGTAAGGCAGCTGATTCTACGTTGGATGGTATAAACTTACCTTCATCTATTGCAAAATCTGTCCAATGGTGTCTGCTTCTCGTAACAAGGCCATGAGGTGAGCCAACTTGGGCAGCTGGCTCCTGTGCTTCTCCAGAAGTTCCAGTAGTTCCCTCCAGCGCTGTAAGGCAGCTGATTCTACGTTGGATGGTATAAACTTACCTTCATCTCTTGTAAAGTCTGTCCAATGGTGTCTGCTTCCCTCAACAAGGCCATAAGGTGAGACAACTTGGCCAGCTGGCTTCTGTTTCTCCAGCAGTTCAAGCAGTTCCCACCAGCGCTGAAAGACAGCCAGTTGTACGCTGGATAGTATAAACTCACCTTCATCTCTTGCAAAGTCTGCCCAATGGTGTCTGCTTCCCTCAACAAGGCCATGAGATGAGCCAATTTGGCCAACTGGCTCCTGTGCTTCTCCAGAAGTTCCCTCCAGCGCTGTAAGGCAGCTGATTCTACGTTGGATGGTATAAACTTACCTTCATCTCTTGCAAAGTCTGTCCAATGGTGTCTGCTTCTCGTAACAAGGCCATGAGGTGAGCCAACTTGACCAGCTGGCTCCTGTGCTTCTCCAGAAGTTCAAGCAGTGCTCTCCAGCGCTGTAAGACAGCTAGTTCTACACTGGATGGTATAAACTCACCTTCATCTCTTGCAAAGTCTGTCCAATGGTGTCTGCTTCCCTCAACAAGGCCATGAGGTGAGCCAACTTGGCCAGTTGGCTTCTGTGTTTTTCCAGAAGTTTCAGCAATTCCCTCCAGCGTTGTAAGATAGCTGATTCTACACTGGATGGTATAAACTTACCTTCATCTCTTGCAAAGTCTGTCCAATGGTGTCTGCTTCCCTCAACAAGGCCATAAGCTGAGCCAACTTGGCCAGCTGGCTCCTGTGCTTCTCCAGCAGTTCAAGCAGTTCCCTCCAGTGCTGTAAGACAGCTAGTTCTACGCTGGATGGTATAAACTCACCTTCATTTCCTGCAAAGTCTGTCCAATGGTGTCTGCTTCTCTTAAGAGCGCCATGAGGTGAGCCAACTTGGCTAACTGGCTTCTGTGCTTCTCCAGCAGTTCAAGCAGTTCCCTCCAGCGCTGTAAGACAGCTTGTTCAGTCCGTGACACGGCTTCGGCGCCGTGGNTCCGCTGTGTCCTGAAGAAAATTTTTTTTTCACCTACTTTTTTCAAAAAAAGTACCATACAATGGTACATATTTATAATCCTGATAAATGTAGCTTTCAGGACATATTTTTTTATTAGATTATCTCCAGTGGTTTAAAAGTAAACGACGTTTATTTAAAAAAATACTTTTTGGTTTTTGTGAATTTTACTCCATATTTCTATTTTTTTGTATGAAAAGGCAAAAAGTTTGTTCTAGAAATGAATTCGCCATCCTTTGATTATCCGAAAATGACACCACACTTGCCCTAATTCCCATAGTTTTGAAGATATGGGCCTTAAAGTGAAGCGCGGCAGAAGGAAACTTGCCCCCCCCTCCCCCTGCTACCACAGGGGGGGCTCCCGATGTCTACCGACGGAAATCTACTCAGGAGCACCCAAAGAACAACTGGTGCAAAAATGAGCCTTCTATACCAAAGTGGAGGGGTCTCCATACAAATCATTGCACTAAATTCCCTACTATAATACGTAAACATCATCCAGCGATTGCAACAGTGTCGGAGTAACATAATGTAGAAGTAACGTTTGTCCAGCGTCAGTCACCTGTCCAGCGCGTCAGTCACCTGTCCAGTGTCAGTCCCCTATCCAGCGCGTCAGTCCCCTGTCCACTGTCCAGCGTCAGTCCCCTGTCCAGCGCGTCAGTCCCCGTCAGTCCCCTGTCCACTGTCCAGAGTCAGTCACCTGTCCAGAGTCAGTCACCTGTCCAGCGCGTCAGTCCCCTGTCCGCCAGTCCCCTGTCCCCTGTCCAGCGTCAGTCCCCCGTCCAGCGCGTCAGTCCTCGTCAGTCCCCTGTCCAGCGCGTCAGTCCCCGCCAGTCACCTGTCCAGCGCGTCAGTCCCCGCCAGTCACCTGTCCAGCGCGTCCTCGAGCGCCCGCAGCTGGCGCGCGAGCTGGGCCCGCGGCGGCTGCGGGCCGTCGGCGGCGGCGCCCTGCCGGACCAGGCGGCGGATGCCCTCGTCGACGGCGCCTAGTTGGAGCTCTTGTAACGCGTGCGCTTGCAACAGACGCTCCACGTCCACTAGGTGCCGGCCTACTTCTTCGGATTGGAACTGGGCCTGAGGATTAGAAAAAGAAAGAGAAATCAGTTATAGTCCGGTCGCCGAGCACATAGAATTTTGTCCAATGACCCCAAGCTACCCATCCTTATCGCTCGCGCGTAATTATGTTGCTGTCGCGCTCGCACACTGCGGGCGCCCGTCGCACAGTCGCGACAGCAACATAATTACGCGCGAGCGATAAGGATGGGTAGCTTGGGGTCATTGGACAAAATTCTACGTGCTCGCAGACCAGACTATAAAAGTGTGCCATAAAGGCCTCCAGCATTGACATGATAAAGTGTACCACAACGCTGACTTGGTATGTGACGTGACTAATGTTGCCAGATCCAAAAACAGAAAAGCCGGATTCAGTGCTTAATTTGACCGGACATTTTACCCTAAAAGGCGGACATACACCTGGGAACTCTAGACGTGACATGACCATTCCCCGAAACCACTGAAATGGTCATGTAGTTTATCCTCTAAAAACCCTATTTTAGTGTGTCGCTTTGGAGTTGGCAAACATATACCACACACATCTTGAGTTCCAGACGTTACATATAGAACAGTTTATTAGAGCTGGATAGAGGTTTCTGTGCAATAGTTCCCTTTACGACACCATTAAAGAAAAGTAAACCTAGCCAGTGCTTCTCAAAGACTTCCAGCAGTATCTCCAGCAATGTAAAACGTCTTGTTCGTTCCTGAATGGTATAAACTCACCTTCATCTCTTGCAAAGTCTGTCCAATGGTGTCTGCTTCCCTCAACAACGCCATGAGGTGAGCCAACTTGGCCAGCTGGCTTCTGTGTTTCTCCAGAAGTTCCCTCCAGCGCTGTAAGGCAGCTAGTTCTACACTGGATGGTATAAACTCACCTTCATCTCTTGCAAAGTCTGCCCAATGGTGTCTGCTTCCCTCAACAAGGCCATGAGGTGAGCCAACTTGGCCAGCTGGCTTCTGTGTTTCTCCAGAAGTTCCCTCCAGCGCTGTAAGGCAGCTAGTTCTACACTGGATGGTATAAACTCACCTTCATCTCCTGCAAAGTCTGTCCAATGGTGTCTGCTTCCCTCAACAGCGCCATAAGATGAGCCAACTTGGCTAACTGGCTCCTATGCTTCTCCAGCAGTTCAAGCAGTTCCCTCCAGCGCTGTAAGACAGCTTGTTCAGTCCGCGAGACGGCTTCAGCGCCGTGGTAGTTCTCGCGAACTAGTTCTGCTGCCATAGCGGACAGGTCTTCGAAACGTTCCGTTCTGGAAGGAAAACGATGTTGTTAAGAAAGGTTTAGACTAGCAATAAAACTTGCAGAAGTTTACTTCCTAGCTAGCTTTCTTAGCCGCCTCTGTGGTCTAGTGGTAATACCACCTGCTTCAGACGCAGAGGTCCCGGGCTCGATTCCCAGTGGGGGCAGATTTTTCTGTTCAATTTGGTTGGTGGTAGGGCTTGTTCTAAGTCCGCCTGGCTAGATTACACCATCTGTCATCATTAAGTCTGTCGCCATAACAACAATGTTAACAGCATTGTTGTGTTCCGGCAGTTAGAGGTAAGATAGCCAGTTCCTCCGTGGTTGAGGATTCCGGGTGAAGCTCGCTTCCACCTTCGGCCTGATCATCACTTACCATCAGGTGAGATACAGGCTATGCTCACCCGACGGATATGTTTTCAAGTATGTCAGTCGAAATGGTAAATGGTCCACCACGTTTGTTCCTACACTATACTGCACCTAGCACTTGCAGCGAAAGGAACGAAAGCTGATAATAGTTTCTGCCTTTATTGGGACTTTCTTTCATCTTCTGGGAATAGTGTTGCGACTTCAACCCATAACCTCTAGGGTCCAGCAGACGTCTGACGCTCACCTGGCAGTATACCAATTGCAACGACGGGAAAAAATGGTAGAAATGGTGGTGGATAGGTAGGACCTTTATTTGCCTTGGTCAAACTTGGGTTGTAGTTTGGTTGGTTGGGATTTTTTTATGCATAACAAGGCAGGTATTTGACCATAATCGCACCTGGTGTTAAGTGGGATGCAGTCTAGGATGGTACATATCTGCCATGTAAGTGCCTATTCACTCTCGCCTTGAAAAGGCCCGGATTATAGTCTTCGGATTTGGACCTGGACATCTCCTTGAGGTAGCCCTTGCGGAGACGCTGCAGCAGACACCTCACTCACCTGGCGAGTATATCCGCGGAGATAGCCTCGTGTTTCTTGACGGTGGCGTCGACCTGCGCCAGGTTGGATCCGTAGCGAGGGTCTGAGAGCACCTGGATCATCTCCTTTAGGTAGCCCTTGCGGAGTACACTCTGTGGGAGACATACAAAAATATCATGAAGATTGGAAGGATGGCGTTGGATGCAGGCTGCTACTAACCGGCAAATCTGGAAATCATTAGGTTGAATCGAACAAATGACAGCCTTGATCCAGCAGAGTAGAATATTAGCACTTACATTCTAACCATGGATGTCGTACACTATGGGACAAATATGAAAACATTGTCTATCCAGGTATGGGCAGTGTATTCAAAAGAGTACTTCAAACTATCTCAAAAAGTTGAGGTCTCAAGTAAAGTAAATGTTTAGAAAGCCATAAGTTACATGTTTTATACTATTATTACTATTTATTTAGACTAAAATCGGTTATTACCACATAATGCTTACCTTGGTGTTGAATTTGTAGTTGAGTTGTTCTAATCTCTGCTGCCGCAGGAGTTCTGTCCTCAGCGCTATTTCACGCGCGTGCTCCGCCTGAAAATAACATAATAGATTAACCATCGACCCCATAACGATATCACGATATCAATGTGACATGCAAATACATAAATGTGTCCGTTCTCCTATATTGTAAGCACACATTGTAAAAATTACTGCCAAATTATTCGAAATTAAACAAAACAGTTGTCGTCGTTCCACCATTCTGCATCGTATTAATGTGAAAGGAAAGCTTCGATCTCCATATAAACAGTCCTAACTTCCAAACCCTAGCCAGGTCTTAGACAGTTACTCTGCAGAAGACAAAGGAACAACGCCCGTACTTACAAACGATGCTTGCTTAAGTGAAGGAAGCAGCAAACCGAATAGTAATGTTTGTGAATACGGGCGTAAATCTCTTAGTCCTGACCTGTTAAACCTCCTAACAGACTCTTACACAATGATCTCTGAAAACATATAGATCTCCAAGTCCTGACCTGCGCGAGCTACTGCCAAGCCCTCTCCAGGTCTAAGTCAGTTACCCTGCACTAACCAAAAGGAGTCTCCAAGTCCTCCTGCTAAACCTCCTGACTGACTCGCTCTAGGTCTAAGACAGTTACCAGCGACTCTGCATTGAAACAGGAATAAATCTCCAAGTCATGTGCTGCTAAACCTTCGGCAGACTCTCACCAGGTCCTAGACCAATGGAAATATCTAGAATAAATCTCCAGGTCCTCACCTGCTCCAGCTGCTGCCAGGCTCTCTCCAAGTCTTGAGGCAGCTGGCCCTCGAGCGGCGCCCAGGTTTCACCCACCAGGCTCTTCTGCATCGTGTTGATGTGGAAGAACGGCTTGCATATCGATGGAAACAGTTCTTACCTGCTGCTGCCATTTCTAGCCAGGTCTTACGCCTTCTAAATTGATACTAGAGAACATTTTTCAAGGTAGCAGTCTTGCTCCAGGTCTTGATTTACTTTAGGAGCCTGAGGCCCGTGGCGGCGCACTAGTGACCTGTGCTACATTAGCGGACGACCCGAGGGGATAATGCAATGCACACATGGGTTACTTTTAAGACCGTGACTGTATATCTTTCTTTTTTATACTTTTACAAAGAGAAAAGGGGAAAAAGTCGACTCATTTTTATCTATAGAGAGACATACTGTCACGGTGACGTAGCCCGTGCGCGCGCGCCTTAATTGTCTATGTTCAAACATGCTCCATTACCAAGCTCGTTCCAGGTCTAAGACTGCATGAAAAAAAGCAATAAATCTCCAAGTTCCGACCTGTTCCAGCTGCCAGCCAAGCCCTCTCCAGGTCTAAGACAGTAACTGTGCATGAAAACAATTAAATAAGTCCTGTTCAGCTAAGCCTTGTGACTGACTCGCTCCAGGTCCTAGACTCTGCAAGAAAACAATGGAAATATCTAGAATAAATCTCCAGGTCCTCACCTGTTCCAGCTGCTGCCAGGCTCTCTCCAGGTCTTGAGGCAGCTGGCCCTCGAGCGGCGCCCAGGTCTCGCCCACCAGGCTCTTCTGCATCGTGTTGATGTGGAAGAACAGGGCTTCGATCTCCGAGCGCTCTTTATACCTGGAATGGAGGTTAAAATATTACAATTGCCGTTTTAAATAAGTAATTTTTCAGTTCTCTTAATCTTTCTTAAAATCTATGAATGAATGGCTTTAATGACTATCATCATCAACAGCCCTTTACAGTCCACAGCTGGACTATGAGCCTCCTCCACTAAAGTGGAGGGTTTTGCCATAATCCCCACGCTTGGCAGGCGGGTTGGAGATCGCAGTTTATAAGATTGATGTTTTTCAGAGAGCGCTGCTGCCCGTTTTTATTTGATGTGTAGTCCCTAAGACGCCTCTTACGACACCCGCGGGAAGAGTAGGGCTTGGTGACAAATGTATTCTACTCTGCCGTCATCACACGGCAATTGTGCAATTAATGACTATATTCTTACTTAAAGTCGCTGACCTATCTAGCCAGCGTGAGGAGTGAAGGTCAAATTCTCCATTTGGGGAAGTAAATTGGGGATGGTTGTGCTTCTGCAGTGATGACTAAATAAGAGACCTGATTATGTTGGTGATGGAACACAGGTCACTGCCTTCAAGCTATAGATTCTGGCTAAAGCCTGGTCCGTGAGCACATAGAATCCCGTCCAATGACCCCAAGCTACCCATCCCTATCGCTCGCGCGTAATTATGTTGCTGTCGCGACTGTGCGACGGGCGCCCACAGTGAGTGTGCGAGCTTTAGAAACGAGTGATGGGAATAGACTCGTGTCTTGGTAGCGACCTGATGTTTGAAGAGGTAAGATAGCCAGTTCCTCCGTGGTTGAGGATTCCGGGTGAAGCTCGCTTCCACCTTCGGCCTGATCGTCACATACCATCAGGTGAGATACAGGCCAAGAGCTTCCTCGTTGTGGATAAAAAAAACTGGATCCCACTGTGTTAGTGGCTCTATGTGCATTCACTCAGGCAGCTTCTTTCCTATCTGGTACTACTTAAGAGCGACCTGATGATGGTGATGATGAAACACTGGGGTCACTGCTTTCAAGCCACAGGAATGGCAGCGATGGGAACGAGAGGTGGGAATATCTTGGCTACATAGGAATTGTATCGGTGGGATCGTGAGGTGGGAGTAGTCCCGTGTCTTTATGGATTCATGTGCACTCACTTGGACATCTCTAAGGACCCAAATAATCCAATGGAAACCTAATGATGGAACACTGAGCCTGTGCACTTATTTGGGTGACTTCGAGCTGTCCACTATTGTTTAAACGAGACCTATGATAATGGTGATGGAACACTAAGGTCTACTAAAGCTGTAGATACACCAGGAGTAGCAGCGGTGGGGCCGTGAGAATAGTCCCGTGTCTTGATGGCGAAGAAAATTTTGATTACTTGGGCGGCTTTTCCACGGTTCTATACTGCTTGAAAGCCAGCAACAGCCGCTGTATGCCATCCAGCGAGTTAGGCAGCAGATGCTCAAGCTATTAATCCAGGCTACACAGGAGTTGCAGCGGCGAGAGTGGGAATATTCCCGTACCTTTGCGGCTCTATGAGCTCTTTCTTGGGCATTACTAAACTCCTGTACTGCCTGAAGGAACTGTTAGCTTTACTTGTACTTACTTCGGTGGCTTCTCGACGGTTCTGTACTGCTTGAAAGCCAACAGCAGCCGCTGGATGCTATCCAGCGAGTTAGGTAGCAGAAGCTCAAGCTGTAAATCCTGGCTACACAGGAGTTGCAGCGGCGAGAGTGGGAATATTCCCGTACCTTGGCGGTTCTATGACCATTTTGGGCATCATTAAACTCCTGTGCTGCCTGAAGGAACTGTTACTATGTGTACTTACTTCGGTGGCTTCTCCACGGTTCTGTACTGTTTAAAAGCCAGCAACAGCCGCTGTATGCCATCCAGCGAGTTAGGCAGCAGATGTTCAAGCTGTAAATCCAGGCTACACAGGATTTGCAGCAGTGGGAACGAGAGTGGGAATATTCCCGTACCTTGGCGGTTCTATGAGCTCTCTCTTGGGCATAATAAACTCATGTACTGCCTCAAAGAACTATTACTTCTATGTGCACTTACTTCGGTGGCTTCTCGACGGTTCTATACTGCTTGAAAGCCAACAGCAGCCGCTGGATGCCATCCAGCGAGTTGGGAAGTTCCCGGTCATTGAGCTCTTGGATCTTAAGCCGGATCCACTCCAGCAGGGCTGAGATGAGGCGCCCGTACTCCGTCTTCAGGCCGTCGCAGTCCATCAGCTGGCCTATGATCTGGTGGAAGAAAAAAAATAGGGTAAANATACAATTTGCCTGCGACAGATAGAACAGTTCAGTATTTTGGAACGATATCGTTATAGCCAATGAGCTGCTGTCATAGTGACATTGACGTATTGTCAATGTCACACGAGAATCAAACGTCAGTATAGCGGGACGCGCGGAGACGACTCCCCGCGCTTTTGTGCTATAATAAGTAATAAATTGTATTTAAAACTAGCGGCCGCCCGCGACTTCGTACGCGTGGATCCCGTTTTACCCCCTTTTCCCGAATTTTCTTTGCTATAAACCTCACGGAGCCCGAGACCTTTCCAACGAATGCAAAACCGTGGAAATCTGTTCGTACGTTCTGGAGTTATAGCGTCAGGGAGAAAAACCCGACTTATTTTTATATAGTAGAAGATAAGGCAATATAGTGTGAAAGTTGAGTATTCAGTGTTTTATTTAAGAGAATAGATCTACCGGCCTCTAATACAAGTGATCTAAGAAGCTCTTCCTCCATAACAAATGGGCCAGTGCTGAGGAGCAGCGCAAGAAAGTCGTGCCCGTTTTCACCATCAATCACTAATTTTTAAGTGACCTCTATGAAAATAATCCCCTAATCCTGTTATGTGTCTTACCATTGGGGTCACTTATTAGGGATTGATGGTGAAAACAGGCATCAGTCACTCAATTGGTCAAAATTAAATCAGAAGAAAGTTATCAATTGGCTTACCTTGGTGTTGAATTTGTAGTTCAGTTGTTCCAATCTCTGCTGCCGCAGCAGTTCTGTTCTCAGCGCTATTTCGCGCGCGTGCTCCGCCTGAAAATAACATAGGGTCATGAATCGTTGTTGCGCTGATGATAAACATCGTGGCATCTTATGTAAAAATTCTTTGTAATATGGCACATTATAACATTTTCTAGATTTTCATCTGCTCCAGCAGTTACTAGGTTCGCTCCAGGTCTAAGATAGTAACTCATCATTCAAACAATAAATAACAATAAAAAGCAATAAATATCCAAGTCCTGACTTGCTCCAACTGCTGCCAAGCTCCATCCAGATCTAAGACAGTTACTCTGCATGAACACAAATGAATAGTTCTTTGTGGTCTGACCTGCTAAACCTCCTGCCAGGGTGGTCCCAGGTCAAAACAGATATTTTGCATGAAAACAAATTTATTTGTGTTTAAACCTAACCCAGCAGTTACCAGGCCCGCACTAAGTATTAGAAAATGACTCTGCATGAAACAAAGGAATAAATCCCCAAGTCACAAACTATTTCAGCTGCTGCTAAGCTCGCTCCAGGTCTTACACAATAATTTTATTTTATTTTATTTTATTTTTTATTTTTTTAGGGACAACAAACAATTGTACAAACGGTTTTACAAAAAGTCTTACAGATATATCTTAAATAAATGCACAACCAGCACCGTTATCCACGAAAATAACAAACAGAACAGCTACTAAGGTCGCACACGTTTGAAGAAATTATTTAATTTTAAGTTTATGACAATAAATTCCATGCAAATTTTAAATTTGGTAAGTTGAAATTGACAAATTCTAAGACAAAAGATAGGATAATAATCTCTGAAAACAAATAGTTCTCCAGGTCCTCACCTGTTCCAGCTGCTGCCAGGCTCTCTCCAGGTCTTGAGGCAGCTGCCCCTCGAGCGGCGCCCAGGTTTCACCCACCAGGCTCTTCTGCATCGTGTTGATGTGGAAGAACAGGGCTTCGATCTCCGAGCGCTCTTTGTACCTGGAAAAGGACGCATATGATTAGATTATGCAGTTTAAATTCTTCTTCTTCTTCTGCCTCGCCTTGCGCGGGGTCGGCTTTCCCAATCATGCGCCGCCATTTGATTCTATCATGAACGTTTTGTTCGTGAAGTCCCAATACTTCCATGATCCATGTTCTTTTGAACATTCGTCATCCAGGTGTTTTTTTTATCCACAACGAGGAAGCTCTTGGCCTATATCTCACCTGATGGTAAGTGACGATCATTACCTAGTGTACTTTAAATTACAGGACAAAATTTTCAAGGGTGCTTGAAATTCAAAACTGTAAGACTTGAGGATGGTCAAGGCTAAAATTATATATTATTATATGTCGGCCGTTTGGTGTAGTGGTTCAGAGCGGACTACTATGCCGAGAGGTCCCGGGTTCGATTCCCGGCCGGGGAGAAATTGAAATGATGAATTTTAATTTCTGTGACGGGTCTGGGTGTTACTATGTATAATATGTATGTATTTAAAAAAGTATACTATAAGTAGTATATCGGTCAAGCTAGCACCCATAACACAAGCATTTAAGTTGCTTACTTTGGGGCTAGCTGCCGCTGTGTGAAATTGTCCAAAGATTTATTATTATTATTATATCAATAACACTGAGGCCACCGTTTTGATAGCCCTCACTAGTTGGGTTTATGTCAATATATCTATAGATACTGGCTACAGGACAGGAGTTACAACAGTAGGACTGAGAAGTGGAATGAAACACCAAGGCTACTGCTTTGGTGATTTTCACTTGTTGGAATTTTGCAAGCTGTAGATTATACATAGGAGTTGCAGCGTTAAGAACGAGAGTGAGAATATTCCCGTACCTTGGCAGCTATATGAGCTCTCTCTTAGGCATTACAAACTCCTGTACTGCCTGAAGGAACTGTTAGCTTTACTTGTACTTACTTCGGTGGCTTTTCGACGGTTCTGTACTGTTTAAAAGCCAGCCGCTTTATGCCATACAGAGAGTTAGGCAGCAGATGCTTAAGCTAAAAATCCTGGCTACACAGGAGTTGCAGCAGTGGGAACGAGAGTGGGAATATTCCCGTACCTTGGCGGTTCTATGAGCTCTCTCTTGGGCATTATAAACTCATGTACTGCCTGAAGGAACTGTTAGCTCTACTTGCACTTACTTCGGTGGCTTCTCGACGGTTCTGTACTGCTTGAAAGCAAGTAAAAGCCGTTGGATCCCATCTAGCGAGTTAGGTAGTTCCCGGTCGTTGAGCTCTTGGATCTTAAGCCGGATCCACTCCAGCAGTGCTGAGATGAGGCGCCCGTACTCCGTCTTCAGGCCGTCGCAGTCCATCAGCTGGCCTATGATCTGGTGGAAGAAAAAAATACATTTTTAAAGGAATTGTTAGAAGTCAGCGTGCAACTTGGCAGGAGTCATGCTTAGTACTCAAAGAAAACGCGAAACAATGCTGTTGGCAGATCATAGGAGTATGGCTATACAGGGTGTCCCAGAATGGGTGAATCAAACTTCTAGGGGAGGTAGCTCTACTAATGTACTATCCCTAAAAATAGAAAAAAAAAATAAAGCACATAAGGAAACAAAAAAAATTTTTTTTTTAAAGTTAAAATAAATCAGCTTTGCCTAAGTATCTGGCTATAATTGCTGCGTTTGGAGTTTATTTGTACTTTTTTCTTACTAATATTAATTGTACATGATCGCTTCGTTTATCTGTAAACAAACTTTTGAAAATAACGACTAGATTTCGAGTTTAGAGCACTTTGTTTAAAAAAAAATCCGAACTTTTTTTTTATATTTTTAGGGTAGTAGGTACATTAGTAGAGCTACCTCCCCTAGCAGTTTGATTCACCCATTCTGGGACACCCTGTATTTTAGGTGGGTTCTGAGGAGTTCTAGGGATATTTTAGGTGGGGAAATCCTTGGAAAAGGAAGTCAGAAAATACGTTTTTAGGAGGAAAGAATGAATAAATAATCTTTGAATCTTTGAAGAGGGGTACATTTTGAAGGGTGTGTGAGTAAAATAGTGCTTACGTTAGCGATCCTCCTGCCACTCTTCTGTTCGTTCTTCATTCGGGCAAAGGTGTGGTAGTAGCTCGCTACGTACGTCATCACAGACTTCTCGTCAGGGCGGGTCGTGTCCACGTCTGGAAGCAAGAGAGAAAGTTATGTTATACATCATCATCTCATCATCATTCATATCAGTCAAAAGACGTCCACTAATCCATCGGACTAATATCAGCGACTTTAGTTCGTTTACGGATCTCCTCATTTCTGATTCGATCACGTAGAGAGACACCGAGTATTGCCCTCTCCTGTGCAACTTTGGAGTCTTTTCGAGGCCACGTTTCAGAGTCATATGTCATCACTGGTAACATACACAAATTCAAATTCAAATTCAAATATATATTTGCACAATTTTGGGTAAACACAGTTATGCTTATGGATGGATAATAATTTATTTATTTATTTATTTACAAGACAGACACAAATCAAGCAAATAATAATAATAACATGTACAGGGTGTTAGGTAAATGGGTATATTTTAATTTTCATACGAATCGGATTTTATAAAAATTATTTTGTATGAAAATTAAAAAAAAAATAAAATGATGATATCTGACTTCACCATACCATTTATATGACCATGTTAGCATGGGCTAGTGTCGGCTCATATACCCATTTACCTAACACCCTGTATAGAAACGAATTTCCGCTATGTATTTGGAGCTTTAGTTCCTTGCATTAAGCTTCACAATGAAATGGGAAGTAAAGCACCACCTACTCAAATTCTCTGTTTTGCCTAGGGTGATGAGATGGTAGAGAATGTCACATGGCATTAAGCTCGGATTTTGTACCGTTTATTTTTATGTGTATGCAATGAAATTTTTAAATAAATAAATAAATGGGGAGAGGGGTGTGCTATGTCAACCTGACAAGAAATGACGAATTTCCACAATGAATTTTGAATCCTATCCTTCTACAATAAAGTTCAAAATCGTCACAACAAATTGTCTGCTTACCTTCAGCATCAAGCAGGCGCGGGATGCCCAGATGTTTGTGCGCGACATCGAAGGCGTGATTCAGGGTCTCCACCGGCTCCGCCACCGGCACTTCCGACCAGCGGAAGAGATCGGGCCTGAGAGACAAAACAAATAAATGAATATTAACAAAAAAACGAAATTAAATCATTTGAAAATTATAAATAACTTGAAAAAATCGAACTGCCTAAGGCGGGAATTGAACCCACGACCTTCCGCTTGCCGGGCGACTGCTCTTCCAACTGAGCTACTAAGACACTGGATGAACCCGTCGAAATTTTAAAGTGTAATACCAGAGTATAGATGTATACAACATTTGTACTGTGGTCTGTGCCGGTGTGTATACAGTTTGTACCTGTGAACTTGTACACACGACAGCACATCAGGTTACCCATTTTTGTTGCAAACTCGCCCCTATTACAACTGCACAAGAACCCACAGTGGTTACGTTGACGTGCCGTCGTCCGTACCTATGCCCGTGTCAAGTGGTACCTGTGCGCTGTACCTATGCCCATGTTATATACCTGTGCGCGTGTATTAGCGCGTTGAACCCGAACCCGGAGCGCCAGGAATCAATGAAATTGTGGATGTGCACGCCGTGGTAGCTACTTGTCTTCAGCTGGCACCACAGGTTACAGCTGGTACTGTGTGCGTGTTACAGTGGCCGTGTCGAGTGGTACCTGTGCTAGTACAACTGTGCCCGCGTCGAATACCTGTGCGCATGTGTATACAGTTGGTACCTTTTTTTTTATCCACAACAAAGAAGCTCTTGGCCTGTATCTCATCTGATGGCAAGTGATGATCAGGCCGAAGGTGGAAGCGAGCTTCACCCGGAATCCTCAACCACGGAGGAACTGGCTATCTTACCTCTAACTGCCGGAACACAACAATGCTGTTAACATTGTTGTTATGGCGACAGACTTAGGTAAGATGGTGGTAGCTAGCCAGGCGGACTTAGAACAAGCCCTACAACCAACCAAACCGAACAGAAAAATCTGCCCCCACTGGGAATCGAACCCCGGACCTCTGCGTCTGAAGCAGGTGGTCTTACCACTAGACCACAGAGGCGGTTAAACCTGTACCCATATCGAGTGGTACCTGTGCTCATGCGTGGCTCATGTATACACTGTACTGTATTATGTACCTGTGCGCGTGTATAAGCGCGTTGAACCCGAGTCCTGAACGCCATGAGTCGGTGAAGTTGTGGATGTGAACGCCGTGATAACCGCTGGTCTTCCGTTGACACCAGAGGAGCAGCGCGTCCTTGGCGGACTTCTTCTCTGAGGACTCATTTTCTTCATCCTGGGGAGGAGAAAACACGTTATTCTCTATGACAATAGATCAAGAAACCAATGGGTCGGTGTTGGACTGCCGATTCGAAACCAGTGGCGATTGTAGCAATAAAAAGGAAGGACCTATGTTTTATCTTGTTTCGGTGAATAAATAATCTCAATGTTTAAAAATTCATCATTCTCGACTGACTCTCTTTGCTTTGAATTTTTGCCGTTAATACATCTATGTAGGTATACAGGGTGGAATTTTGAAATGCCACCTGGAGGGAAAGTACTCTTAATACTGTAGATAGAAAATTTTACTCAAAGAAAACATTCTTTTATTTTTTAAAAGAAACAGATCTGCCTTCAAAGATTTCCAAAAATTTGCTTGCAACACCCGGGAAACGAACCGACTAAAATCTGTTAAAAATTACACCCTGTATTTTTATTGCACAGATCGGTGTCGTTTGTGGTCGGTTTTATCCTTTCAATATCTAATGTGGACTAAGCGCTAGTGAACGCCAGACCTACGTTATTTTATAAAAGCTAAAAGTTTGTCAACGTTGGTCGTTGGTACATCATATAAAGTTTGGGTCATCGTGGCTTTGGCAACTACCCTAAAATGATTGGCAAGGGGTAGGAACGGTCAAAACTATCTGGCTGATGAGGAAACAACTTCACATCATCATCATCATCATAATTTCAGCCATAGAACGTCCACTGATGAACATAGGCCTCCCCCAATCCTTTCCACGTTAATCGATTGGTAGCGGCCTGCGTCCAGCGCTTCCCTGCTACCTTTACGATGTCGTCGGTCCACCTTGTAGGTGGACGTCCCACATACCGTAAAACACCTTCTAATTTCTTTATTTATTATTGCCAAAATAATCATTATTTGTTCTTAATAGTACCCTGTAGACAGAAAGGTATTCATTGTCACGGATACTTCGAGTTTTGGCAACAAGAATTTTAATTAAAATTTGATAACGGGACCTTGACGACGTGATAGGTAGCGAGGCTTAGCCTAATCCGAGAGATAAGGAGTTATTTAAGGCAAGACGAACATGAAATGTATATGTTATTGATTTTTTTTGCCGGGCGTCTGCACTTGACTACTGTGATCCAGCATCGTTTCATCAATATTGGTTCTACAGAGGTAAATGAAAGATAATACATGTATAATCCCCACGCTGGGGTCGGAGAGACGTTCGTATATCAATCGCCTCTTACGACGACATCCAAGCAAATAGTTGGAGCCTATCTACTCTGCCGAAACCATAGCGGACTGCTGATGATTTACAGTTTAACGGGACCATTGTCACCTCTCGTTCCCGCCGCTGCAACTCCTGTGTAGCCAGGATCTACAGCTTCATCATCATAATCATCATTTCAGCCATAGGACGTCCACTGCTGAACATAGGCCTCCCCCAATGATTAGAGCCGCAACGAAATCAATTAGAAGAATATAGGAGGAGTTCGAAGATAAGGATCGATTTCCCTCCAGTACAAATTGGATGTCAGGTGACAAAAGTGTTGCAGCAGGCAACGAATTCCAGTCCCTAGCTGTTCACAAAAGAGTTTGCGAAAAATTTAGTGCGAGCTGGTGGAATGTCGACAGTACGCTAACCTGCGATTTTGTGAAAAATATTATTGGCAGGTAGTTGCTAATTGCTCATAAGATAGGCCCGCCCTTAATTGATATTTATTTTCCGTGGTGCATAAGGTTTTAAACCTTTGTTTGTCACCTGTCATCCGCTTTNTACATTTTTAAAGGAATTCTTAGAAGTCTGAGTGCAACTTGCCAGGAGTCATGCAGTACTCAAAGAAAACGCGAAACAATGCTGTTGGCAGATCATAGGAGTATGGCTATACAGGGTGTCCCAGAATGGGTGAATCAAACTTCTAGGGGAGGTAGCTCTACTAATGTACTATCCCTAAAAATAGGAAAAAATAAATAAAGCACATAAGGAAACAAAAAAAAAATTTTTGAAAAAATTAAAATAAATCAGCTTTGCCTATGTATCTATGGCTATAATTGCTGCGTTTGGAGTTTATTTGTAGTTTTTTCTTACTAATATTAACTGTACATGATCGCTTCGTTTATCTGTAAACAAACTTTTGAAAATAATGACTAGATTTCGAGTTTAGAGCACTTTGTTTAAAAAAAAATCCGATCTCAATTTTTTTTAAAATATTTTTAGGGTAGTAGGTACATTAGTAGAGCTACCTCCCCTAGCAGTTTGATTCACTCATTCTGGGACACCCTGTATTTTAGGTGGGTTCTGAGGAGTTCTAGGGATATTGTAGGTGGGGAAATCCTTGGAAAGGGAAGTCAGAAAATAAGTTTTTAGGAGGAAAGAGGGGTACATTTTGAAGGGTGTGTGAGTAAGATAGTACATACGTTAGCAATCCTCCTGCCGCTCTTCTGTTCGTTCTTCATACGCGCGAAGGTGTGGTAGTAGCTCGCTACGTACGTCATCACAGACTTCTCGTCAGGGCGGGTCGTGTCCACGTCTGGAAACAATTTGTTCAATTTTGAGCTTTGTGTCTGTATGATAAGGTTCAAAGTCCTTTGAAGTCTTTTTGTGTCAAGTTTTTGGACTTTATCTCTTTACAATCAGGTTCAAATTCGATTGGTTAGTAATATGTAGTTAGTAAGGTCTTATGACAGGTTGACTGTCACAAATTGAATTCTTCATTAGATTTTGAACTTTATCCGTTTGCAATACGCTTTAAAATCAACAAGGCCTTTAGCGGTAAGTCGTTTTTGATGTATTTTGAAGTTTACCTCCCTTATAACAAGGTTAAAAATCAATTAACGACACATTTAATAGTAACTTGAAGTGTCAATCAAGTGATGCCCATGCTTATTACTTTATTTCTTCACGATACAGTTGCAAATCATTTTTTTTTATGCTAGACAAGGTAGGTATTTGACCACAATCGCACCTGGTGTTAAGTGAGATGCAGTCTAATATGGTAGGTACATATCTGCCCTGTAAGTGCCTATTCACTCTCGCCTTGAAAACGCCCGGATTAGTGTTCAGGAAATACAGCAGCAGGCAGCGAATTCCAGTCCCTAGCTGTTCACATTATAAACGAGTCGTCGACGCTTAGTGCGAGCTGGTGGAATGTCGACAATGTAGGGATGGTACGCTAACCTGCGTCTGACAATGAGGGCTATCGTTTTTATACTTAACAGTTGGCACCCCTGGCGATTGACAGGACCTTACTCTACAGTGGCGCCATCTTGATGAGTGCAAATGCGATAGTCCTCCTACCACTTTAGCGCTCACAAGTTGGCGCCAGCCACTGTCTTCGCTACTAGCAAGTGACAGGACCTTACTCTACAGTGGCGCTAAAACGATAGCCCTCATTGACAATCATTAAGCGGCAAGTCGATCACGAATTCACGATGGATTTGGAGCTTTATCATTTGCCAATAAAGTTCAAATTGCTTACCCTCAGCATCGAGCAGGCGTGGGATGCCCAGATGTTTGTGCGCGACATCGAAGGCGTGATTCAGGGTCTCCACAGGCTCCGCCACCGGCACTTCCGACCAGCGGAAGAGATCAGGCCTGAGGGACAAAACAAATAAATGAATATTAACAAAAAAACGAAATTAAATCATTTGAAAATTATAAATAACTTGAAAAAATAGAACTGCCTAAGGCGGGAATTGAACCCACGACCTTCCGCTTGCCGGGCGACTGCTCTTCCAACTGAGCTACTTAGACACTGGATGAACCCGTCGAAATTTTCAAGTGTAATACCAGAGTAAATACAAATGAGTAGGTCATCTTCATAGAAACGCACCGAGCGCGGTTTGTATGTGAGCGTGCCAACACACTGACAAAATTTAGCGGGGATTAGCGGTGAGACAGGCGCACGGTCTAGATGTATACAACATTTATACTGTGCCGGTGTGTATACAGTTTGTACCTGTGAACTTGTACCTATGCCCGTGTCAAGTGGTACCTGTGCGTTGTACCTATGCCCATGTTTTATACCTGTGCGCGTGTATAAGCGCGTTAAACCCGAGTCCTGAACGCCATGAGTCGGTGAAGTTGTGGATGTGAACGCCGTGATAACCGCTGGTCTTCCGTTGACACCAGAGGAGTAGCGCGTCCTTGGCGGACTTCTTCTCTGAGGACTCATTTTCTTCGTCCTGGGGAGGGAAAAACGTAATTACTATATGATAAAAAAAGCTTTGCAACTTTTGAGCTTCCTTATACGGCCTGTAGAGTTATTAGAGCCTATTGTTGTTAGAGGCTACGTTTCAGAACCACATACAATCACTGGTAACCCACACTGATTGTAGACTTTCGTTTTTAGACAATAGCCCAAGTAGTAAGTCGTTGTGCAGTTGACAGTGGCGATACCAATGTTAAACTTGCTCTGTGCATTGTTGAATTACGGATTATATACCTATGCAATACCTAAAAATGGTAGGATAGGCCCTTAACCAGATAGTAATTTCAGCATTTGGAATAGAAGGAATTTTACTATCTTCTTAAAAGTACCTACATATAGTCTGGTCCGTGAGCACGTAGAATTTTGTCTAATGACCCCTAGCTACCCATCCTTATCGCTCGCGGGTAATTAATTATGTTGCTATCGCGCTCGCACACTCACTGCGGGTGCCAGTCGCACAGTCGCGAAAGCAATATAATTACGCGCGAGCGATAAGGATGGGTAGCTAGGAGTCATTGGACAAAATTCTACGTGCTCACGGACCGGGCTTTAGTAGACAGAGGTACCTATTCAATGTCACGGATACCGAGTTTTGGCAACAAGAATTTTAATTACAATTTGATAACGGGACCTTGACAACGTGATAGGTAGCGAGGCTTAACCTAATCCGACAGATAAGAACTTATTTAAAGAAAGTACATAAACTGTATAAGTAATTGCTTTTTTGCCGGGCGTCTGCATTGACTACTGTAATCCAGCATCGTTTTGTCAATAATGGATCTACAGAGGAAGGCAAATGAAAGATTTAGCCTATAATCCCCACGCTGTACAGTCCTGAAGTTTGTATATTAAGTCCTTTAGTCGCCCTTTACAGATTGGTATTATCTACTCTGTCAGAATCACACGGTGGACTGCTCTATACGCCGATGATTTACAGGAACTATTCCCACCTCTCGTTCCCACCGCTGCAACTCCTGTGTAGCCAGGATCTACAGCTTGACCGCCAATAAAAACCCAACCAGTGAAGGCCGAGTTAGTCCCGGGGGAAAGTCAAACTGATTAGAACCGCAACGAAATTAATTAAAAGAATATAGGTAGGAGGAGTTCGAAGATAAAGGAAGGCTGGGATCGACTTGAGGGAAAGTACAAATTGGATGTTAGGTGACAAAAGTGTTCGGGAAAGACAGAATCAGGCAACGAATTCCTGTCCCTAGCTGTTCACATTATAAAAGAGTTTGCGAAAAATTTAGTGCGAGCTGGTGGAATGTCGACAGACAGTACGCTTACCTGCGATTTTGTGAAAAATATTATTGGCAGTTAAGTAGTTGCTAATTGCTCATAAGATAGGCCCCCATAATTGATATTTATTTTCCGTGGTGCTTAATCTTTACTTAAAGGTTTTAAACCTTTGTTTGTCACCTGTCATCCGTTTGCAATGGAGGGAAGTCGAACCTTAATTTCGAACTCCTATGTTCTTCTGATTAATTTCGTTGCGGGTCCAATGACAGTTTAACTTTCCCCCGGGACAAAATTGACCCTCACTGGTTGGGTTTTATTGGCGGTCAAGCTGTAGATCCTGGCTACACAGGAGTTGCAGCGGTGGGAACGAGAGGTGGGAATAATCCGGTGCTTAATCTATGATACTTAAACACCCGTATTCACAAATGATGCTTGCTTAAGTGAAGCAGCAAATCGAAAGCACAGCTTTTCAAAGCTGTGAATCACAGAGCTCTATTCATAGCTCTGTGATTGGTTCGTGTATCACCCTGTGCGTCCGCACGTACTATGAGACCTCATACTAATGTTTGTGAATACGGGCGTAAGAGATGATGAGACTAAGATCTATATACTGACCACATCGATCTCGATCTCCTGGATCTGAAAGCGCAGGATGATGGTCCAGATGAGCCCGAGGATGAGGCGAGGGTTGCCGTCCACTATGTCTTCAGCGCCGATGGACTCCAGACGCACCTGGTAGAAGAATATTGGTATTTAGTCTTCATTGTCAAAATCAAAGCGNCACTACAGCCTGCATGCATGTATTGGGGTCGATAAAACGTGTGTGGCCTTAGGGTTCTTCCAAATAGGGTATTTGCCACCACCAATCAATTCACGTACTTTTGAAACTGTCAAAACGACTCTCAAATACTTAGAGTAGGCGCACACCGTTGATTTTTAGTTGGCCGATAGTTTTGCCCGATTTTAAATTGTATGAAAAATCGGCCAAATCGAATCGGCGTAGTGTGCGTACTCCCATACATGCCCATACTGATCAACTGCCCGACTAAACTATCGGCCGACGAAAAATCAACGGTGTGCGCCTACTCTTACTAGCCTGTGACGTTACAACTTTATCAACCCAATTAAACTACTTTTTTCAATAACATTACAATGCAACCAATAATCTTAATTTACGGGTAATTTAAAATTAATTAAGTTTTAAAAAAAGTTGTGCTTTAGAATTAATTATTGGGGAATGGTGTCAAATAGTCTTTAACTGTACGAGTAAATAACTGAGTCTAACTACCTGTACCTACCTATGTCTAATGGTTCGAAGGCAATAAATACATTTTTTATTTATTTATTTATTTAAATTATGTATAATTAGTTTATAAATTTATTGTTCTTAGTTCGTAGTACTCCATATTATAATATTCCAGGCATTATGCAATGGAAGGAAACCTACACCGTGCGGTCGCTTCGAAGGCTTCGTCGACGGTTAACGTACTTCTTGTTATTATGTACTATCGATGACATACTTAAAGGATGCATCGTTAAGAATAAAGCATTTAGTAGTTCCAATCAATAGAGAATCCTTAGGTTTCGCTTGACGGTTTTGTTTTAGCTTAGAACATCAATTCGAGTCGGTGTCTCTCTGAAGATATATATATCTGAGACGCGATACCACAACAAGGGCTTTCGCCGAAAACCAGTTTCTTGACATGCCCTTACGAACATGTCAAGTGCTGAGCAGTGGCCCACTATTTTCTATGTTCCTTTTGTGTTATTGTTTATAAATTGTGCTTTTTGCTTGATATAGGGGTTTCACAAAGAGTTGATACTATATTTTTTAAGTAGATCTAATAACTATACTAACATGCCAATTACAAAAAGTTAGACAAAAATAATATTTTATTGTTTACATAAACACCTTCCTCTTTTTTTTTAATTCACAATGAGGTACTAAGTTCTTTTCATTAATTGGAAACTAATTCATAGCCTAATTTTAAAGGAATTTAAACATTCTAGTGGTTAAACAATTTGATTCTTTGATCCGAAGGTCATGAGTTCGATCATATACGTCCCCGATTGCGTGTACTTATTCGCTTTAGCGCAATCAAAGTCAGTTATTATACCTACAATTTCATGGAACAACAAGCCATGCCAAGCCATAAACGAACTTGTACGTGACCAAAAACAATAGAGCACTACACTAATCTGTAATCTACACTAATCTGGCTACCCGTCGTTACACCCGGTCACCGCTAATATTGTCGAGCGTGTAATATCTACTGATAAGCACTGATAACGGCCGACCTTGGTGGCCAGGACTAATTATGCAATAATGTAGACAAACATCTTTTGTTCAAGAATTTCTTGTTCTTAAACTTTTCCATAATATTGGTCTCATAAAATCATAATTTAACCTTTATTTGTCTTTGATGCGATTGCTGCAGAAACCTCCAACACCGAACACGTTTTCGGACTTGATGTACCTGATTCTGACCACGTCACGGCTGCAGGGTTACCTACTCCGAAACGCTGTCTACGTTACTTAGCTTTGGGTCTATCTGTCACCGTCGCTCATGCTGGCATTTCAATTTGCGTGAGAGAGATGGGACGGAAAAATTTGAAACTTCGAATAACGTTTTTCGGAGTAACCCCGCGATTCAGGCACCGACCATAGAGCTGCAACCAACTCAGGCCTCAACCTTCTTCTCAACTTCCGTGGGCATAATGTAAGTGAAGCTTCGTCGAGAAATGGCTCGCGTCATACAGTAAGAGAAGCTTTGCCTTCGCCTAGAGGAATGGTTCGCCTTAAAAATGTGACCGTCCGTGGCATGTGTATCGCCGCCTTTACATTTGAGCTAAGTCCACCTGCTGTGAACCTTACTAGGGTGGGGTTCTATGTTCAACTACAATTTTATATTCAGCTAAGCTTAGCTTGTGTACTGACCTTGGTGTGCAGAAAGCCGCTTTAGGGTGACAATGGGCTATGGGAAATACTACCCATTTTCGAACGTAGGGAATCTTCTTGGAGGCGGCGAAAGCACGCAAGGGTCAATCTTCTCTCACGTTCAGAAATGTAGGGCGGAGGACCAAGTGGAGAGCCCTTACAAGGCCAAGAGTCGGCGTCGGACTGGGGATAGGGTCAGTAGTATCACGTAGTATGATCCTCGTCATCGGTTGAAGACACAAGCATTATTATAGTTTAGAATGTGGTCTCCTATAAACGCTGTATGACGCGTACGGCCTCACGCCGTAGGCCGCGTCACAACGCTTATCATAGAAATGTACTGCTGTGGTCTCCTTCAGACTTTGACGTCGGCGTATGGCGTTGATAGGAACGTTTGACTCTGACGTCTCACGCTGGCGTTTGAGTCTGTGTCCCACGCTGCGTATAGCGTCTAATAGATGATCTTAACCCTAGTGTGTTATCCACTGACCTTGGTGTGCAAGAAGCTCAAGCTTTTATTGACGTTTTCAATCTTGTGCACGCGCATGCGACCCGAGTTGGGCCGCGGCAGGCGCTCGCCGCTGATGATTTCCAGCAGCTTGAGGAGTCGCCGGCCGTCTGCTAGGTCGGCGAACAGGTCGTCTACCTCCATGCGGGCCTGGAAAGATGGGATATGGCAATGATATTACAGAACTATAGATATGTTACGTTCATAGAAATTACGATTTTAATCCGTGCAGAGCTATTCCAAATTGCACACATTGACAAATGTAACTGATAAGTGAAACAAAAGATACGAAATAGCACGCAAATGAAAGAGATAGCTATAGTTTTTAACGATTCTGCACTAACTAATATATGTCCGCAGCGTACGCATCCTTATCGCTCTAACGTCAAAACAAGATCGCTTTCTCTTTCTTAACTTGAACATGGCGCATGGCGTCTTGATTGTTTGCATAAATAATTGAAAATATAAATACTAAATAATTTTGCATAATCACATGTGGTAAGAGATCCCTTGTATTTTGTTTACTTTAGAGTGATAATTAGTACACTTTCGAAACACACACGATGGCATTTTTTATTTATTTTGGTAAGAACACAGGAACTTACGGTGTGGTACGCACGCGATTGCGCACGACGCAGGCCACACGAAGACTAAACACAAGACGTCCCAATTGGGACGTATTTGAGTATTCACAGCGCGAGCGCTTATAACATATCTGCTTTTGTTTTTATATAATATCATTGGGATATGGGTTTAGTTTTGTGACACTGGTTTATGGGACAGAGTATATAATAATCATACGTCGTACATCGTAGGATAGATATACCAAATTACAGCACAATAAGCTAACGCAATAATTCACTCAAGCAGTTGTAGAGTGCGTGAGCTGGTACCTAAGCAATTTCTTCAGAATGAAGGGGTGAGTGGACAAAGGTCTTAACTAACAAAATGAGTTATAAGTGTTTGAAAATGTTAACCTGCTCATACCACATTTGAATCCTGAAATGTATGAATGCTTGTCAGATAACACCTTTGTTAAGGTTTGACACGTAACAAAATTGCTTGTTTTGAGCTCATTAGTCGATTTTATCATCACTTAAAACCTATGTTCATGCAAAAAAGTCGATTCTTCAGTTTTGTCAGATAACACCTTTGTCCACTCACCCCTTCATTAGGTTCGGATGCTTAGAGAGTAAACATTCTAAAAGCCCGCCTCTAGGGGAGGGGATAAAGTTCCCATTTTTTAGTATTTCATTAATACGAGTATCTTTTAAATTGTGCTTCATACAGAAAAAAATATCTATGACGCGATGAAAGCTAATTCTAGAACTTTTGTTCTAAACACTTTTTTGAAATTCCTACCCCTTTTCAACCGACTTCAAAAAAAAGGAGGAGGTTCTCAATTCGACCCGTATGTTTTTTTTTTTTCTATGTTTGTTACGCGATAACTCCGCCAATTATGAACCGATTTGAACAAATCTTTTTTCGGCGTATAGGTAATACCTCAAGGGTGGTCCCATTTAAATTTAATTATAGAAAAAACAACCCCCAAGGGTGGAAAATTGGGGATGAACTTTTTTATACGCAATATCTCCGCCGATTATAAATCAATTTGAACGATTATTTTTTTGTTGAATAGGTATTATCAAAAGGGTGGTTTCATGCGAATTTGAAGAAAATATTTCACCCCCAAGGGTGGAAAATTGGGGATGAACTTTTTTATACGCAATTTTTAGTTTTTTTTTGTGTTCACGCATTTGAAGTCGGTTTTATTTTTTTAAAAAGTTATCGAACTACTCGTCCGGAAAAGTGTGTGGAACAGTTTTTTTTATAATAAAGAGCTCAACTCATAAAACTCATTTGTTTTTTGTAAACAGGCTCTCAAAGAGCACTTTTACACATCCCAACCCTACCACTGCTTCGGGACTAAGAAGGGTAATTAATATAATATGGGCCAGTCAATGATTATATAATATCATTGGGGCCAGTGCTGAGAAGAAGCAGCGCAAGAAACTCAGACTTTAATTTTAAAAAACTATTGAGTGAGTGAAAAACTGTTCGTTTAAATAATAAATGTCGTGCAAATGAGTATGTATTTGTATCAATTGTGCTTATTTCGCAATAGATATCGCAGTTTCGATAAGGCAATTATTATTAGACTGGAAATGAGTGAGTGATAATTTATAATTGAATGTTTATCTCCGGCGCCGATTGATGTTGATGATGTTTTTAATAAATTAACGGTTATGTTCAATTATTTGCAATTATAATTATGTGTGCCATTGAATTGTTAAAATAATAATAATAATAAACAATATGCTGGCTTTTTGACGTGGTTTTATACGATGGATTTACATCTTATTTGCACCATCTTACTTTAACTTTGACAAAAGTCAAAAATCTGTCAAACAAAAACCACCGGTTATCGTTAGTTAGGTACGGTTAAAGTTAGGTGGTTCAACTCAGTCTTGAATACGAATCTCTCGATCAAAAACCATTTCTTGACCAAATTATGAACTTCACCAAGTAAAACCTGTCATCTGCTTTGCACTGGCCCAGTCGAACCTTAACTTCCAACTCCTATGTTCTTCTGATTAATTTCGCCACGGATCCGATGACAGTTTAACTTTCCCCCGGGACAAACTTGACCTTCATTGGTTGGGTTTTATTGGCGGTCAAGCTATAAATCCTGGCTACACAGGAGTTGCAGCGGTGGGAACGAGATATGGCAATAGTCCCATTAAAAATTAATCTTACAAGTTCTTGATTACTTTTATTATAATTCGCTTAATAATCCAAAGAATGTAATATCATGTCTACTTAATTTTCATCATTGCTCACATATTCGTCATCTACCATCTAAGTACCTATAGCAAATTCCTATTCATACTGTCATTTCGTCAGTTTTTGTCGCATATGGCCAAAGATTAGTCATTTGCTATAGTTTCATTTTAACAGACATGTGGTGGAGATATTTTGGTGGTGGTTATGAGTGTTGACATGAGACTTTACGACATGTTTTACTTAGCTCATGGAGCGGAGGTGATTCCAAGTGCAAAATTAACATTATTTTCTATCAGTTTACTCGTATGTCTGTTTATCAACAACTTTAGAATCAACTACTCAAAATACAGGCGATTTAAAGATGCGCTAGCAAGAGATTCCTAACCAAAATTTAACTGTATGATAAAAAAATATATTTTAAACTGTTTAGAGGTAGCTTTCAGAGCTAGAATATAGTATTTTTTACTAGTTTTTCCTTGTAATTTTTGGTTATTGGTCGTCTACATAAAAAGTTACTTTAAACGAGATTTAAACTCGCGCTAACTACTCGTACTGTTACAAAAAGTAAGAAGGAGATAAAATTATTCTCATTTCTTTCCACAAAGTTTGTCTTATTCAAATCTCCAAGCACATACATATTAGGTAAAATTAACACAACACAGTGTATGTATTATGGCCTTATTATATTCTCACATGACTCATTGCTATTTGTAAAACGATTGCGCGGTCACTATGTCATCGGCTATGAGATCAGCGTAAACAAAATAAGTAAATAACGCTACGCCATTTTAATTGAGTAATTTACAGCAATTACAATGCACAAATTCTCTAAAAACTTGATTTTTATTCTGGGTAAGTGGAAAAGAGAAGTTATAGGTTCTTATGCCATTCAAAATGTATGGCAATTGGTAAGTCTATAGAAGAAAATAATCTTATTTCACGTCACTTGCAGTAAATAAACTAATGCAAGAAATGAAGAAGTTACTAAACTATTGATTTCACAAAAAGGTTATGTAGGGATCGAAAATAGGAAATTTTGTCCTAGTTTTAGTTTCTCTAAGCATGTTTTGTCATAAAATTAATCCGAAAGGTAACATTTAAGAAAAACTGCTACTAGGCAGTATTTTTCATTTTTATAGCCATAAAAGTTGGCTCAAGCGTAACTACCTATTTTTTGAAGAAGGTGACTCTGGATTCTTCTACAGACACATTTTGGGGTAAAAACCTTTCCTTTAATGAAATGAAGTCTAGAACTAGGCTTTTAAATGGTGCCAATATTGGTGGGAAGTGGGGATGCATACGTTTGAAAGTGCTTGTCGCGGGAGGGTCGATTTTTGTGATGACCAGTGTATATGTTACGGCTAAAGATAGGTGTGAAAATAAACTTAAGATTAGCCGGCTAAACTTAAGTTTATCTTCGACGAGGTGTTAATGTTAGTTTCTTCTATCTTTAGCCGGCTAAACTTAAGTGTAACCGCAGACCCCTGGCTAAAAATGTAGAAAGAAATGGAAAAGGAAACAATGTAATAATGTTTACTATTTTAACACGAAAACTTTATTAAGAAATAATCACTTTCATTACACATACTTTTATGTACCTATGTAGGTATTCAAAATTACAATTATTACAATAACAAAATATTAATTACTTAAAACAATATCTACCTAATCATTAAAATAAAATAATAAGGAACCACTTGGTCATTACAGAATCTTCTGTAGGTATTTAAAATTACAAAATAAAACTGCGCGCGCGTTGTCTCCCCACCGCCCCCTCAAGCCCTCCGCTGGCCTGGCGCGCCCATCAAATACATTTTTAGCCGTTTCGTTTTGGCTAATGTGCACATTAGTCGGCTAAAGATGGAATATCACGACGCAAACTAACATGTTATCGAACTTTAGCTGCTTCTCGAAGACAAACTTAAGTTTAGCCGGCTAATCTTAAGTTTATGTTCACAACTATCTTTAGCCGTAACATATACACCACTAAATTTTAATCACCGAAAAAAAAAATTCTGGGTAATGAGTTATTGATACTGATCCCATTTGTGCAAAAAAAAGAGTAAAATAAAGTGACTCAAAATATCCTCCTAAAATTGGTAATTTATTGACACACGCGTCGCTAGCACTATTTTAAGTACGATAATGTAACACTTATTAGAATTAAAAATAGTCTAAGTTAGCTAAGTATGTAATAATAACACTGGAAGCGTGGTCGAGGTGTGAGCGATACAGACAGATCGATGCAGCGTGCGAGCGTGTACGATTACTCTAGCGAGCAGAGGAGTGACCCAGCTGTGACGCGTAAAATACGGACTAACGAAAATTTAATAAAAAAATTAACTTCATGAAAACCATTTCTTTTTCTTTTGCTTTCAATATTCCACACGTTTCTACATAACCTGTTAAAATTTTTTTGGTGATAAAAATTTAGTGGTGTATAAATACCAATTTTTATTACTCCCGGAAAACTTTCCAGGTAAAACTACCAAATGACTGGACTATAGCACGAGGGGGTATTGGGGGAATGATGAGTAATAGTAATTTGTGCACAAACAAATGATTAAAAAAATAATGGATGCTAGCCTACTGATGACGTCACCAGACACTCACGTCACTACTTACTGACCAGGAGGTCCCTGTACTCCGCAAGCTCCTCCTGCTCCGGAGTTCTGTTGGCCTGGCAGCGTCCGGGAGTAAGAAGGAATTAATGCCCGTTTTAACCATCAACCCTATGGTAAGTATGGTAAGTGACCCCTATGGTAACACATCAGGAATTTTGTATTCAAAGGGGTCACTTAAATATTTGGGATTGATGGTGAAAGTTAAAGGGATTGAAGGCTTATGCCCGATAAGCCTCACAGTCATTATGTCAAAGTTTCAGGTTTGTTTTATATCCATTGTAGACATTATAGTACACAACTTACTAATAAATCGACACTGAAAAAAACTGTAAAATTGAAAAATTCGAGTTGGCTACACACAGTTTTCTACTCAAGAATAGCTAGACGGTTTTTAATTATCACTGATTTGATGGATTCAAATCTAGTTCGTCTCCACTGCAGGAGTAAGACTCTCTAATTTACCAGAGGTCTGTCTGGTAATCGAGGATATGGTTGAGGATCCCTACGCCCCGCTGAACAGGCTGGTTGGGAATGCCAGATTCAGCTAGCATTATAAATATGTGTTGCACACATTTAAGCCGAAGAACCTGAGGGATCTTGTTCCGTTAACACTCATAGGCGGAGAAGCTGAGGGATCTTGATCTGTCAGAGAGCCATAGTCTTGGACAGAGCCGCGAAAGAATGTCCAAACCGTCTAGCAAGAGTTCTGAGTCTCGGAGTATACGGTCAGGTTTTAGGGAGTATTATACTCCGCTCATCTAGCAGGTGCCAGATCCACCTAAATCCCCACAAAAAGCACTGGTCCCTTCTGAAGAGTAATGGGTGTGGAACAAAAGGCAGAGGCAAAGTAGTACGTTTAATGTTGGACGTACCTTCTGCAGGAATGAGTTGATCCATTTCGTGAATGTTTTCTTCTGGATGTGCAGGCGCTCCTCTTGGAGGGCCTTGATGCGGCCCTGCTCGAACTTGAGCGCGTCCTCGCGCTGCGTCATGTTGGTACGCTGCTGCACTGCCGTCGCGTACCCGCCCGGCTCATACTGCGGCCCTGGAGAATAGAGGAGACAATTTAATTAATTAAATTTCAGGGTACTTCAGGATTCTTCACAGTGGATATGCGGTCAAATGGCTTACATGATCCAAGCGACGTTCAATTTGACCTAACGTAACCGCACCCAGTGTAGCAAATCTTTCACTCGTCCCAAACATTGTTTCCTTTACCACCACCACTGCTGGCGATGAGGAGGTGGTGGAAAATTTTATGTACAGTCAGCGTCAAATAATTCGTGACCCCCATTTGAGTGGTTGGCATGATTTTATTCATATTGAAACAAAGACGTGTTGCAAAATTCTGGCTACTTTGGGTGTTACGAACTATTTGGTGCCGTCTTTACAATGTACAGACGATAGCGAGCTTACCTGTTGAATCATATTACTTGTGAGTATTAGGTGCTATTTTGCACCAAAAATGTATATTTTATAGTCTTGATCGTGGACCGTAAGTGGTTTGACCGATTATGATGTTTGACTGTAACATATACAATATGCTGAGCTTGTCTGTCGACTGTACAGTAAATGTTAATGCGGTTTTATTATAGTTCCAACGTGGTAAATCGATCATCTGTGTACTCTGCCTGCATTACAACAAATTGGAAAAAATATAACACAGAAATGTTTTTCAACGTAATTCTAAGGCTAGAAATACGAGTATACACTTGCGAACCTCCTCATTTTTTAAATTCGGTTAAAAAGAGCCTTAAATTATGACAATATGACAATTTACCATATCTCCTAGCCGGCTGGTAGTCCTGGTACGAATGGTAGCTGACGTTGCTGAGTTGGCGCTGCATGTCGTCACCGCATCGGGGTGGCGCTTCTGTCGCTTATGTCTAATCTTTGGCACTGTTATCACTAATACTGTGGATAGCTCGTGATGGTCGGCGTTCTAGGGTTTAGATTAGGGTTTGATTCTTCACTTTAAACGGATGGATCGACGATCAAGCGCTGTTTTAATTGTTTGGTAAGTTGGCCGTAATTCATATTTCCAAAAATGAAGCAAGAAGTTTTAGTTCTCTATCCTTGCAAAAAATCCATTTATTGGTGTATTACAATCGATTATTGAAGTTATTGTAAGCTAAAACTTCTTGCTCCATTTTGGAAATAATTAATTTCTGTCAACTAACCAAACTACTGCAACAGCGCTTGATCGCTTGTAAAGAATGTCGAAGTCGTACTAAAATAAGGTGTACGGATGCAGTATGGTTAAGTTCAACATATCGAGTGTTATTTAATGTCAAAATCGCGAAATCTTATGCGTAGTACTAGTACGTATACATCGATGATATTTTGTATGTAAATAATTCAAAACAAAACTTTTTTTCTCTTAATTCCAGGGATAGATTTCAATGCGCTCCGGTTTACAAATTAGTATTGGCCTGAGGAACAAAATGCACTATGGTTTCAATCTGGGCAGCACTTGGTCCAACTTCCATACATGGATTGGCACTGTCCTTTAAATAAATTATTAAGGGAGGCTTATGTTCAGCAGTGGACGTCCTATGGCTGAAATGATGATGATGAACTTCTTAAATACATATAGGTATTTCTAAAGTGCATGGATAACGACAGCTCATTCGTCGATCTCATACATTAAATCAAGCACGTCTGTTTTGACTAGAGATGAAACGGATATCCGGCAACTATCCGGTAGGCCGGATATCCGGCCTAAATTTACTATCCGGCCGGATACCGGATAGTAGCTCACTATCCGGCCGGATACCGGATATTAAAAAAACTACGAAAATTTCCTATAATAAAATGAAACACATTAATCTTTGAGTCAAATATCAATAAAATGGCTTTTAATAATGACGGTTTTTATCTAAAGGCCAAAAAGTTACAAAAAAGCCATATTAAGGCCTTTCAAAAAACTGATTTCTTATCTGGGCTATTTACTCTAATGACGAATACGTATAAATAGTAAATATATTTTAATGTCGAAATATTGCCAAATAAAATAGGCGATCTTTTTTTTCACTGATGGTCTGATGACATACAGGGTGACTTTGAAATCGTTGGCATCCTTTTAATATAAGACTACTCATGATACATGGTGCTCTTAAAAAGAGTTTAAAACTATTGTACAGTCAACAGCACATCATCCTATACATTTTGTTGCAAAATAACACTTAATACATTGAAATAAGATGCCACAATATGAAGATTTATGTGCAGATGTTCTGTACAATATTTCAAATATTGAAATTTTAATTCATTTGATATGACTCATATTTGGGAAATCATGATGGGAGTGGGATGTCCTGTGATGACAGTGTAGTGTTGTTGTCGTTGTAAATAAATAAATAAAAAAAATGAGTAGTCTGATTTTAAAAAGAATGCCAACGANTTCGCCTTCGCCTAGAGGAATGGTTCGCCTTAAAAATGTGACCGTCCGTGGCATGTGTATCGCCGCCTTTACATTTGAGCTAAGTCCACCTGCTGTGAACCTTACTAGGGTGGGGTTCTATGTTCAGCTACAATTTTATATTCAAGCTAAGCTTAGCTTGTGTACTGACCATGGTGTACAGGGAGCCGCTTTAGGGTGACAATGGGCTATGGGAAATACTACCCATTTTCGAACGTAGGGAATCTTCTTGATGGCGGCAAAAGCACACAAGGGTCAATCTTCGCTCACGTTCAGAAATGTAGGGTGGAAGAACAAGTGGGAGAGTCGTTACAGGGCTAAGAGAATCGGCGACGGACTGAAGATAGGGTCAGTAGTATGATCCTCGTCATCGGTTGAAGACACGAGCATTATTATAGTTTAGGATGTGTTCTCCTATAAACGCTGTATGACGCGTACAGCTTCACGCCGTAGGCCGCGTCACAACGCTTATCATAGAAATGTACTGTTGTGGTCACCTTCAGATTTTGACGTCGGCGTATGGCGTCGACAGGAACGTTTGACTCTGACGTCTCACGCTGGCGTTTGAGGCTGTGTCCCACGCTGCGTATAGCGTCTAATAGATGATCTTAACCCTAGTGTGTTATGTACTGACCTTGGTGTGCAAGAAGCTCAAGCTTTTATTGACGTTTTCAATCTTGTGCACGCGCATGCGACCCGAGTTGGGCCGCGGCAGGCGCTCGCCGCTGATGATCTCCAGCAGCTTGAGGAGTCGCCGTCTGTCCACCAGGTGGACGACCTGTTGTCTAGACTCTAGGGCTAGCCTTACAACAGCCTTGCGATGGAACCCTCTATGACAGCTGGTGGCTTGTCTTTGCAGGGTTTGCTGCAGAAGCCTCGAATCTTGTGAGGACTCATTTGGTCACCTGATGCTGACCATATCGCGGCTTGATTCAGGCACCGCTCTTAAAGCTGCCATCAGTTTGTCTCCGTTCTAGTCGACGTCTAGCCAGATGATCCAGAAGTTTCGAAGACTGGTTTGACTTCAACGGTGTATTATGCCCAGTTAGGTGATCCATCTGCATAGTATGTCCACTTACCTTGGCATGCAGTTGCTTTAGGGAGACCAATGGGCCAAGGTAGTCAGCATCGAACTGTCGATAGAATCGGTAGTTTGATCCTCGTCATCTGTTGGACTATACAGTGTGAGTCACGTTAAAGTGTACATATGAAAATAGATGAAAGTAGACCTATTTTTATCGACAAAAAAGAGGTCAAAAATTTTTTGAGATTTTTTTTTAATTTTTTATAGAATTTTTTTTCTTCGAATTACTTATTGTAAAGAAAGCGTAATAACTTTTAAACTAAGCGGTATATCCTGATAAAATAAAAACAGTAATAATGCTAAATAACAGGCAATACTAAAAAAATACATAAAATACACAAAAAAGGCCAACAAATAATAAAAAATTATACTTTTTGAAAAAAATCTGCTTAAAAATTCGTGTTTTTTTGGTTATTTGTTAAATTTCTCAAAAAAATGCCCCTATAACCGGTGGTTTTTATTACTTTGTATTATTTTCTATCGTATTACTTTCGTAAAACCAAAAATCGCATGTCTCTATCCCTATCACAACGTTTGCAATGATCGTTTGAACTAAGCCTCTCCGGGCGCGCCATTCAACGCTTCGTTAACAACGAAACTGAAAATGGCTCTAGATTTGTAATTTTGATAAAGACAAGTTAGATTTCAAATAAAAACAAAAGATTTCGAAGTAAAATAAGCATTTTAGTTAAAATTAAAATTGTCTCTACCTGTAGCGGAGAATAATGTTGTGGCAGGCCTTTGTTCAAACGATCATAGCAAATGTTGTGATAGGGATAGAGACATGCGATTTTTGGTTTTACAAAGATAATACGATAGAGAATAATACAAAGTAATAAAAACCACCTGTTATAGGGGCATTTTTTGGAGAAATTTATCAAATAACCAAAAAAACACGAATTTAAAAGCAGTTTTTTTTTCAAAAGTATCATTTTTTATTATTTGTTGGAATTTTTTGTGTATTTAATGTATTTTTTTAGTATTGCCTGTTATTCAGCATTATTGCTGTTTTTATTTTATCAGGATATACCGCTTAGTTTAAAAGTTATTACGTTTTCTTTACAATAAGTAATTGGAAGAAAAAAAATTCTATAAAAAATTAAAAAAAATCTCAAAAATTTTTTGACCTCTTTTTTGTCGATAAAAATAGGTCTAGTTTCATCTATTTTCATATGTACACTTTAACGTGACTCACACTGTATAATAGATGTACCTACCCAGTCCTATCATGAGCATTATTGTAGTTTAGGCTGTGATCTCTATACAACGCCGTAGACCGCGTATAGCGTCACAATGTACTGTAGTTGTAGTACGTTTGGTTGTACGTTTGACTCTGACGTTCCAAGCCACGTATCGCGTTTAATAGGAGACCCTTAGTTTATGTACTGACCTTGGTGTGCAAGAAGCTCAAGCTCTTATTGACGTTTTCAATCTTGTGCACGCGCATGCGACCCGAGTTGGGCCGCGGCAGGCGCTCGCCGCTGATGATTTCCAGCAGCTTGAGGAGTCGCCGGCCGTCTGCTAGGTCGGCGAATAGGTCGTCCACCTCCATGCGGGCCTGGAAAGATGATTGTTGGTTTAGTTTCATGCCCAGGATGAATATGGAGGACATATAAAACACTATAATTATACGTCGTACATCGTAGGATAGAAATACCAAATTACAGCACCATAAGCTACTACGCAATAATAGGGATGTTTTCTGGGTCAAAGAGAAAGAGTTTTAATTAGACCGTCAGGTAACTTATCAAAAAATACTCTATGTATTTTCACTATTTCAAACTAATCAAAATTTAAACAGCTAAAGCGCGCCAAAGTTCAAAAGAAGAGGCCCGTGACGTCAATGAGTGCTTAAAGTGTCGCACTTTGCGACGTCGCGCGGAACTTCAACGCACCATAACTATGTAATTATTTGTTAGATTGACAAATAAAAATATACGTGTTCAATATTTTTTGATATTAAACATGACAGACTAAAAAAATTTTTTTAGATAACTAGCCTATTCACTCAAGCAGTTGTAGAAAGAGACCTATGCAATTTCTTCAGAAATAGATTCAGGATGTTTAGAGAGTAAACATACTAAAAGTCCGCCTCTAGGGCACCGGAGTGGAAGGAGGGGGTTAAAGTTCCCATTTTTAGTATCTTTTAAAAGCTGCTACATATAGAAAAAAATATCTATGACGCGATGAAAGCTAATTCTAGAACTTTTGTTCTAAACACTTTTTTGAAATTCCTACCCCTTTTCGAACTACTCGTCCGGAAAAGTGTGTGGAACAGTTTTTTTTTATAATAAAGAGCTCAACTCATAAAACTCATTTGTTTTTTGTAAACAGGCTCTCAAAAAGCACTTTTACACATCCCAACCCTACCACTGTTTCGGGAATAAGAAGGGTAATGGGCGTGCTGAAAAGAAGCAGTGCAAGAAACTCAAGACTT